TGTAAGTTTTCAAGATTTATGTATGTACATATGTTCAAATAAGGTCATTACGTGAACAAGATTTAAATTATTTACAAAAAACAATTTTCGAAGTCAAAAATTTATTCTCAACTTTATATCACGTTTTAGAAGCATTTGCATTAAAACAAGTTAAGGCAATAATATTAAATAATTCCAATATAACAAAATTATAATTTCAAATGATGTATTTAATTCAGTGTTTTAATAATAAATAAAAAAAATTTAGTTATTAATTAGCATCACTAAATCTAATTATTACATTTATTTATTAATGAAATGTACAGTTTTCTCAATGAATAGCATGCTATTTTTAACGTTTTAAATGCTCTCTTTGCGTTTATATAATCATTAAACTAATGTAAATACCTTCTGCACTCTTCATTTTTCAATTTATCAATTGGTTGTCAAATATATAATGGGGAGAAAAGAAAAATCCATCATGTCATTCTTTGATCAAAATATGCTACGTCAGTTAGCAGATATATGAGAAGGTCGACTGTTTTTTTATATGTATAAAAAAGTGTACGTCATTAATGTTTGTCTCATTTCTAATAGAAGAAAACATTATCAATTTGATTTATTTTTCAAAAAAATCAAGTGCGCAGAGGGTGTCACGCTTTCCATAATTTCATTCAAAATCGGAGATTAAAGATAAATTTATATTTATTTTGTAAATTATTTAAATATTGACTTTAATTATTTCACAATAAAATTTTGAATTTCAAGAAAGAGAAAATAAGTTATTAGTTGGGAATGTTGAGAACTTGAGGAATACGCATTTTCTGAAATATTTCTAAAATCTAATAACAGTAGCGCTTATTCAAAAACTTCAAGTTCATAAAATTTTATAACTTTAAAAATATTCGATTTTCAAAGCAAATGAGAAAACTTTAAAAACCACGAAATACATAAAGTAACAAAAACTCAAGAATTGTTTGTCTACATAAAAAGTGTGGCATCAAAAGAAATCTATGTATACAATAACCCCATCATTTTTACATTCCGACATTTTATGACTATTTTAAAAATGAAAAACTACTGTATTTTTTAATATTGATTCCCTTTATTTACAAATTTACTTATATGGCGAATCACGAAAAAAATAGAAAATTCTTTTTAACTAAGAAAATAAAAGATGACCGCACATATACGAATGTATAGTCTCAAAGAAGCACGTGCTATAAAGAGCAGGTATGGAATTCAAAGATTGAACCAAGAAGCCTGGTCTATGGCATTTTTCCCCTTCAATTCTCTAATAGATACACGGATGCTGTGAAGATTTCTCTTGCCATAAATGTGTAGTTACGACTTATAAGTTTCGAGGAATCTTTTTTAACGGGTTCTACTTTTAGCTTACAAAACGCGCATCGAAGGTAATTTCAGACAAGTCAAACACACCAGGGGAAGTAGCTTAAATTCTTTTCATAAAATATATAGTCTCAACAGCATTGACCAAAATATGAGCAAAAATAATAAAATGAAAAACACGTCTTGTCAGTAGGTCAGTGGAAGTTTGTTCGTTTACGTAAAAAAATTTTATGGACCTTTAAAGAAAACATTAAGAATCGTATATTACATAAGCAGACTAATTCAAAAATTTTACGATGGAAATTTTTACAACCCTATACTTTCAAATATTTTGTGAACAAAACGTTATGAGGGTAGAAATATTTGGAAACTGATGATTAAGCGCCGTGCAAGTATTATTTCAAAATAGAATATGGTTGTTGAGATGAATTTTCGAAAGTTTTCTCAAAGATCTTATAAAGATTTTTCTCGTATACCGAAAATATTGAAATATTAAAATAGTTATTTGGAGGGAGATTGAATAATAATTACATTCCATTCAGAAAAGTATCTATATCACAGAGTTACAACATCTGACGAGTTAGTTGCGCTGTCCAAGAAATATAACCCATTTCATTAATGAATCGCATTTTAGAGTCCAAAGAATTGTTTGTATTATCCAACCCTTTTTCTCTGTGCACAAATTTTAAGAACCCTAAAATTTTTCTAAATTCGTGTAAATAATATTTTTAAAAATATCTTTTTCTGGAAAATTCTTCTTAAAAATAATTTTTCAAACCCTATTTACACCCAGAGAAAAGATTTCTTTGACTTGTTTTCTTTCATTCAAAATAAAATTATCTTTGACACAAAAAAAACTTCTTAGTTTCAAAGAAAATTTCTGTGATTCAAAAAAATTTTCTTTGAATGAAAGAAATTTGTGCATTAAATCGAAGACATTCTCTAACATTGATATAGGGTCAAAGAAACATTTATTTGAATTAAATAACAAATTTCTTTGAAACGAAGATAATTTTTTTAAAACAAATAAATTTTCTTTGTATCAAATAAAAATTTGTCAAACAAATTGATTTATTTGAAACAAAGAAATCTTTCTTCTCGGTGTAAGGCTGTTTAAAAGAAAGAAAAGTTTTGAAAATATTTAAGTTTCAAAATGAATTATAGTTCTTTGAGAGCTTTTAATTCAACCTAAATTAGTGCACAAGTATACCTACATCCAGAAAAAAGATTTCTTTGACAAATTTTTCTTTGATACAAAGAAAATTTATTTGTTTCAAACAAATTATATTTGATTCAAAAACATATTATCTTCTTTTCAAATAAATTTTTTACTTAATTCAAATAAATGTTTCTTTGACCCTATATCAATGTTAGAAGCTTTTTTGGGTTTAAATAAAATTTTATTTTGAATAAAAGAAAACAAGTCAAAGAAATTGATTTCTTTAAATCAAAGAAATCTTTTCCCTTTGGTGATAATTATTGAAGAAATATGTTCTTTCAACTTTGAATCAATCCTTGGGTCTAAATATATACCATTTACAATAGATATATCAATATTTGACAAAAAATGTAACATATTGTTAAAAAATCCATTGTTATTATACTTATTTAAACTTAAAGTTCACATGTAAGCTTGCAGTGAGATCTTACATTATGAACTTGCAGTGTGTCAATATGAAATTAAAGAGTTAATAATAGAATATTATACGCAACAGGTCTACCCCGCATGTAATCAACGCACGCTACTAATTACATACCAAAGTATACATAGTTCCTAGATTTTTAATTTAAATATATGTATTTTTATTTTTATTTGACCCACAAAAAAATCCAACATTTTTGAAAACTAGGACCCAAGAAAAAATACCCGTGTCTGGCCCTTTTGCTATAGATCAAGTTGTTTGTGGTTTTTAGATATGTAAAAGCAACCCCTAAATGAAAAGTGACAAGATATATCTTTTAAAAATTATTAATATTTTATAAAACTTGTTATCTGGGGGTTTTCGGGGTCGCTCATTATTAATCTGATGTCAGATTTTTAAAATTCAAAATGGCGGATCAAATATGGCGGTCAAAAATTTAAAAAGTTATCCATTTTTAGGGTTCCGTTCGCGCAATGAACCAAAACGGAACCCTTATGGTTTCACTCATGTCCGTCCAAAAAATCCTGCACCCCCCCCCCCCCTTTAAAATCTAGCCATTTTAACCGATTGGGCTCAAATTTGGAATACATACGTATTTTTGCGAGTAGATTAAAGGAAAATTATAGCGAACTCGATTGGAATTGAATTGAATATTGTTATATGTATTCCAAAAACTCGAAATTTCGGAAAAAACGTATCCTTCCGCGCTTTAACTTTTACAGTTTTGGAGCTAAGAAGCTGCAACTTGGTACACGTATTTAATTTCATGTAGAGATTTCACATAAAATATAGCCAACCCCTTTAAAATATTATATTTAAATATTTAAATTTAAATCATCGTGAACGGAACCCTATGGTAAGCGAGTGTAACTCGTACTTGAATTTTTTATTTTATATCCGCCATTTTAAAAATTTTGAAAATCTGACATCAGATTCGTCATCAGCGACCCTAAAAATTCCAAGTTTCATAAAAAATTAATAACTTTTTAAAAATTTGATCGACATTTTTAATTTTAAAAATCTGACATCAGATTAATAATCAGCGACCCCGAAAACCCCCAGATAACAAGTTTTATAAAATATTAATAATTTTTAAAAGATATCTTGTCACTTTTCATTTAGGGGTTGTTTTCACCCCTAAAACCCGCAAACGACTTGATCTAGCAAAACGGCCAGACACGGGTATTTTTTTTGGGTCCTAGTTTCCGAAAATGTTGGATTTTTTTGTGGGTCAAAAATTGTGTCGGACGGGGAAATTGGAGAGTTAGGTTTTTCGGAAGATTATAACCTAAAATTTAATATATTTTATAAATATAATCGCATTGTTTAAGGCCAGGTGCAACTCGTCAAATGTAAACAAACATGAAAATGTACGTAATTATTGACAAATTTGCGACAGCCTTTTTTTAAATAGAAAATAAAAATTGTTCTTTTTCTATGTGGAAATGGAAAATTCATATATAAAACTACAGCCTGACACCGTATTTGACTAATAATATGAATAATATTAATAATTATAATAAAATGAAAATGAAATTGAATTAGACATTTTCTCAAGGTTACGAAAAAAACCATTTGAGTATATCTAAGGCACGGACGTTGTGAACCTAGGTGGGAGAAAGAGTTGAGCGATTGGACGATCACATCTTGGAAACGGTAAAATTCTGAAATTATACCCCCACCAGAGGACAGAGACTAGGTCTTTTACCCCTTTCCACACTATTTCTCCCACCTAGGTTCTCAACGTCTGTGCCTCAGATATACTCAAATGGTTATTTTTTCGTAAGCTTGAGAAAATTGTTGTTTCAGTGTAATTTTCATTTTATTATAATTATTAATATTATTCATATTATTAGTCAAATACGGTGTCAGGCTGTAGTTTTATATATGAATTTTCCATTTTCACATTGAGAAAGACCATTTTTTATTTTATATTAAAAAAAGGCAGACGCAAATTTGTCAATAATTACGTACATTTTCATATTTGTTTACATTTGACGAGTTGCACCTGGCCTTAAAAGTACTTACTTAAGGTTACCTGATGTTCCTCTCGCATAGAAAAAGTTTATTGTGGCGCGCAGCTAATTATTTGCTGACACATCAAATTACGTTTTGTTAGATTCGACCAGCAAACATCAGTTATAGCATATAAGCAATTCCTTTTTTCCGTCCTGCTCTCGATGCATTATTTCTGTTCTATATTTTAATTTCTCCTTTTCCTAAAAACTTGTACATTTTCTGAAAAAATTTCATGTGAAAAGATAGTTTAATAATTAAATTATGAAAAATAATTATTTTCATCAAATACAAAAAAATATGTTATTAAATAAACAACATTACTGCAAAAGAATGAAAATTATCGATAAATATAAAAGCATGCTGAATAACATCCTTATTAATGTATGTAATAATAACTAAATAAATTAAAAAACCAAGAAATTTAAATAAAAGTTGCTTTAGATCGATTATAATATATTTTTTGCGATCTTTTTGACCTCGACATAGGGGAGGTTTTGATTTGACTTTATAAAAATTTGAAGAAGCACGAATTCGAGTGGGGGTGAGAGAAATCACGGTTGTAGTGAAGAGTCCTCGCGTTTCGCTCGTGCCCCGGACAATGGTAGCATATTGTGAAAATATTGATTACAATTCGCCAACAATGGAGACAATGGAGTTGACGTCGTCGTCGACTTCGCTGTCGTGGCGGCACTCACAAAAGCGCACTCCTCGAGGACACACTCCCTTCGTGGTTTCACTCCATCATCTGGTCGAGCTTTTTAGTAAAAAAAAGAAGCGCTTGAAACAAAGTATGATTTCACAGTTCGCTCTTATTTTTCTGAAAGTGACTCGCCTCAGAAGCAAAAAAAAGAGTTAAAAGGGATGAGTGAGAATGAGAAAAAGTGGGACAACTTTTGTGTTTGAGAATCGAGCTTTTTAGACAAATATATTGGACATTTCTTTCAAGTTATAAGATGTCATGTGGCCTTGTTTCTAAAGTGCTGTCGAATACAGAAAGAGGACTTAAAATATTTATCAACAAGAGCGACAAACAAATTTTAGATACCGAAATTCTAAAGACCAAAGTTATAAGCTTGAAATGTTTTTATAGTAGTCAATTACTTGAAAGTTAAAATGAAATTGAACATTAATGAATTTAAGAAAGAAAAACGTCTGAAAATGAAAATAAGGTTTCGGAAACCATTTCCGCTCATTTTCTGAATCAAGGACTACCCTTTTGAGTCCTAAAAGTCAAATTAGAACCTGTTGTTTTTGGGAGAAATTGACCGACACCGAACGTGTAGATATTTAGTGGAAAAATTGAAATAACAAAGGGGAAGGTGACATATGTTCCAGTGTATGTTACTAATAAGTCGGTGTCGCGTGTCAAAGGCTCGTCACATGTGACTGTCACCCTCATTTCTCGGGATCATATACGCAATTAGTCGGACTAAACGACGGCACACTTTACGTAATCGCTTACGTATTCATATTTCCTGGCAAAAAAAATTCTATCGCTAATGACACCCACATATGGTGCTTCTCGAATGGTGTGTGTATAATGTCGTTTGTAACGGAATTCGTATTCTATAAAAATTTTACAAATTAAGGACACATTTATACCCAGACCTCCAGAAAAATATTTATTTCACCTTTAAAAAATTAAAATACTATTATATTAATAATATCCGCTGGAAGAATATAGATACCAATTTTCAAGAAAAAAATGTAAAACTTACAAACATTATTTATTTAAATATTTTGCATTTGATCCATATCGCTTCCTCAAAATTTTTTAAAAATGGTCCGATTTAAATTAATGATGGCTTATTTTCTTCAGAAAATTATTTTTAACCTCGTATCTGTTCTTCCAGCGGATATTATTAATAATAATATTTTAATTTTTTAAACGTCAATTAAATATTTTTTTCTTGAGGTCTACTTTTCTGGATAGAAAAACTATACTATCAGCTAAAAATCCTGAAATTACAATCTGAATAACACATATTAGAGATTGTGATTTTTCGATTATTAGAAGTGAGAAATAAAACACCAAATCACTTGTTCTCACTTCCAGTAATCGAAAAAATCTCAATTTCTAATATCAAAATAATGGAAGGAAAAAATATTTAATATTAACTGAATAACGCATGTTTATATTTTTAAACATAATGTTTTTGTCAATATTGTCTATACTATAATAAAAATATATTTATAAAGATATATTAGTTACCAAAATTGAAAAATTCATTCAAAAAATTGGAGACTCCTGTTTGAGAACTTTTCCAGAGTACACGCGCAATACGGGTTGCGTCTTCAGGGATACCATGAGCTAAAGAGTATCTGCTACTGTTTATTAATTAAATGAAAACTAAATCAATCAATAATAATATAATTACAAATTTTGGAAATTAGAAAATAATTTATTTTTTTAGTATTATTATTAATATCAAGGATCAGAAACTCATTTGGATACTCCAACTATTAATTTACTTTACTGTATAGTATAAAAACATATCAGACGCAATGATATAGAAAACCGATTCTTTTTCTTTAAACACGAACATGATTTTCACTTGATACTCAGTTAAGAATGGTCACGAATACTTATAAATTATTCATACGTTTCTCAGCCGTTTCATATGACACGTATATATTTTTATAACTGTATACGTCAGATAGATTAAGAATCGTTTTATGCAATAATGAAAACAAGTTTTGATAGATGTAATTAATTTCCATATTTTGACAAACAAGTTGTATTGATAATGCTATTTATTTATCCTTGAGCTATTTTTAAAAATAAGAATTAGAGTATTTAGTTTGATGTGTGTGACGAGAAAATTTATTGAAACATGAAGAAGAAAATAAAACGAAAAAAGAATGCTTGGAAATGATGATACATACTATATGTAAAAAATTCAATTATGTTTATAATTAAAGTAAGTAAATAAAAATATAAATAACCGTAACGAGAACTACTGTATTAGTAATGCCATATGGGCCAATGTGAAAAATTGATCGTTACATTATCAGTTTCTGTTCTCATAGATCGCACCCCGTGGCTGCGTTTCATTATAAATTTTTTTCGAATCACCGAGCCATTACGGAAACGGCCAACCTTCTCCCCGCCTCAGTGGCAAAAACAAAACGCCTACGGATCGCAAAATGCCTCTCAATCGAATTCGTATATTTAAACTGCACCCATGAGAGGGTACACCCGGTTGTGCGTAATCGTCGACCCTGTTGTTTGTGGTCACTCTTCAAGTTTCTTAACAATGAAAGTACCCTGGTGCCAATATCGAACATTTTTCTCTTGGCTGGTGCTCCTTTTATGTACAATCTTTTTTCTCTCGTTTTCAAAACGGGGGTCCATTGTTTCTCCCTTATTCCTCTCCTTCCCAACATACATATATGTATATCCAAGGATTTGTACTTTGAGATGAAATTGACTTTTGGTTTCCAGGTTATTCACAATTTTGGGGGTTGCGTCGCGCCATTCAAAATAAAATGTCAATATTAGTTCTTTCTGTGTATTAATGGGAATCGTTTATGCTTTCTAAAGCTCAATGTGATAAAAAGTGCAAGATATTTTTTTATTTATTTTTGCATTCATACTTCGTCGTGTTATCAAATTCGCGATATTCTTTAATAAGTTTATAAAAACATAAATAACAAAAAATGACACATTTATTTATATTCTTTTGAAATATGCAAAAAAGATTTTCATCTTCATCTCAACGAGAGTTTAAAATAAATTAATCACAATTTTCAGTAAAATCTATCGTTATAATTAATAACTGAAAGTGTTTCTTACAGATATAATAAATTAATATTTTAAATAATTTGGAATATTAATACACCTCAGATTCACACATACACACAGGATAGACTTTAATTGAAAAGTTATGCTTTATTGAAATGTTATGATAATTAGTATCGCTTGAAATAAACCTTTTTTAAAATAAAAATTAATCACATTTACGAGATTAATGTGATTTTTATTTCTATCTTATCAATGACTCAAGTTCGACGGTCAGGAGGACTTTGATTAGTGCAACAGTATTATATGCATATGTAGTATCATTAACCTAACGATTAAATGGTAGGTTAGTTTGTTTTCATCACCAATTTTATTACCGTTAAATTATTTATTTATTTACTTACTTTATTAAAAAGAAAAGTAAAAAAAGTTAAAGAATTTTTTTCAATTTTTCAACATTTTTTATTTATTTATTTAACATGTAAACGAGCTTCCACTCTTTTATTATTCTTTTTTTTAAATTTGAAATGAATAAAATAAATTATCTTTTTCCTTATTTAAATATTTGACTTGCCGTCAGGTATTTTATAATAAAATACGAATTTAAAGGAATAATAAAGTAAAAAAGGTTTCATTTTCTTTGTAGTAAATTTTTGAATTTCATCAACATAATAAGTAAATTGTGAATATTAAGTGAAATAAAAATGAGTGCGAGTGATATTTGGCTGCGCGATATATCTACAAAATATGGGTTTGTCATTGCGACCATCCTTTTTTTATCACTTTGGATAAATTATAAATGGTCAAAACTTCGAAATAATATCTACACGTCTTATCTGTTGGGGTTTGAAGCTGAATGTGCAGAACTTGCTGCATCTTACAAACGACGACTGTTTCGATCTTTGGAACAAATTGTTTCCCACGATGAGACTCTTAGGTTCATGGGACAAATTCGAATTCTCGAAATTGGGGTTAAAACAGGTAAGTTTTTCACTATCAACTTAAGTACATATTTATCAATTATTAAAATATAGAAAATAATAAATAAAATTTTTTTTTTTAAATTAGCATATTTTCAATGACGATTTTATCTTTTATTATTAACAAATATTAAGTATTTATTGTGCCCTACAAAGGAAAAAACATACGTGACATTTTGATGAAAAATGAGTTTTTGCTAGAACATCAATAAGACAAAACTGCTTTAATTATTGAAGATTGTTTAAATAATTAATTTTTAATTCCAAAATTAGAAAAACTACATTATATTACCCAGTAGGGTTATTTTTAATAATAAAAAATGATATCTATAGACAAAATTTTTAATGCAATGTTTTTCCGTTGTAGTGCAGTATTCTATTTTAATGAACACCAAAGCTTTCAGTTTTTAATATAAACTAAATTTTTTACTTTTTAATGATAAAAAGTCATTTTTCTCATTTGACGTACTGATCGGTTTTTCTCAAAATTTTTTTCAAAAAAACTACTTCTTTTTACAAAACTTTTAAGCCTAGCCCGATAATGAGCAAACGATTTTTACAAAAAATGTTAATATAAGTAAAAATTTTAAACACTTATTCAAATGTAGCGCGGGAGTTGATACTTTGTCATAGGTGGCGGTATCGAATGTTTACAGAATCAAATCAGAAGATGGTTCTTTAGTAATTGGCCGAATTTTAGCTTTTAGCTACCTTACCGGAATAAGTAAAAAAAGCGAGTACAGTAAGATATCTGCTCCTGTAATTACACCGAAAGAAAATGCACGAGGCTTAGGTAGTTTGTGTTCGTGGTCTAAGATAGCAAAAAACCAAATATTAAACGTTATAAACATGGATGCTTACGGGTATTATAATATAGAAAATTATATTTGTTCAGTTCCTCGTCCAAAAATAAAAACAAATAAGTTATATTTATCGTGTTCTTTAATGTCAAAATAACTTTGAAATAGAAAATTCGATATTTCTATTGTATAAACTCAATTTAAGACTTATTAAACTAAAAGGTTATGTTATTTAGATGTTAAAAAAAATTGTTAACTTTATAAAAATCGATTATTTAAACAAATATGAGAAATTAATACTAATACCGTAATTTTCTATTGCGGCACGTTTGTATCAGTTTCGGTGTATCAATTTCGGTGACCAAAATTACGTGTATTTTGAAAATACTTTGCCCGCCGAAATTGGAGCCAATGGAAATATATATAGTTTGTTCAAACTTTCATTAATATTCATTAATTATTGTGGAGTATAGATTAAAATAACTGATTTTGGCACTCCAAAGTAATTTTTTAACCTCTTCATTTATTTGTGATATCTCTTTAAAAAATTAATTTTAGAAGAGCTCAAATATTAAGTTTTGAGCTCTATACATTTGTTATTAAGAAACAAAAAAAATTTTGATTTATGGGCATATCTCTAGAACCTTTAACTTTAATGTCCCTCGCATATATTTTGGTAATTTTAATAAATTTTTCGTTGGTTTTTGTTGGAAATATTAATGCTTGATACAATCAATCATTTCCAAAAGATTCCACTTTAATTTATTAAATACATAAATAATTATTTCAATTTTAATACGCGATTTTTAACAATGTCTACTTGTCCTTAACCATACTTTCTGATGCTTTAAACGATATAGTTTTAGATTTAATAAAAATTACTAATTCTGAAATATGGTTTTTCAATGTTAATTAATCGGTGAACACATTTTCGCAGGGAAATTAATATTTTATTAATTGTGAAAAAATTTATAAGCTTTTAAAAGTTGTCCCTCACTTTTACCCTTTTCGACCGTAATCATCGTATTTATGATTTTTCTTTTATAAGACAAGCGGCACGTTAAAATAACTTATGGGAAATCAAAGATCAAGTTACTATAATTATTTTGAGACATAATAAATTGATGTGCTTCATGTCTTCAAAAAACTATTATAAGTTAAGTAAACGAAAACACGCGTGGACAAAATTTGACAACAACCGTCATACGAGTGATACTTCATGAAAATCATATAAACCCGAGGCGAAATTTGAATCCTCTTTAGCTTCCCTTAGAACCTAAATAGGCCCTCTTTACGATCTTGTAGACTCCCGTAGGCCCTCCTTTGAATCCAAACGTGGAAGAAAGGTAAATTTGCGACTGGTTGAGGAAGCTAAAGAGGGTCTAGTTCGATTAAAAAAGTACAAAAAAAATGCACAAAAAAAACTCTTTTAATTATTTTGATTAAAGCAAAATGAATTTTTTCTTCACACAATATTTCTTTAATTACCCTTTAAAAACTGGAATTAACATATTTTGAAGCGTTTTCAAAAAATTAATAGAATTAGAGCAATTTCAAAATTTTCAATATTTTAATCAATTTTTAGACCCTACTTTAAATCCAAACGTGGAAGAAAGGGAAATTTGCGACTAGTTGAGGAAGCTAAAGAGAGTCTGTTTAACTCTACTTTACTCCTTGTAAATTAGGGCTTAAATTTCGCTTCGGGAAAGTATTCGAAAAGTACTTGTATATATTTTCACATGTGCCATTTAACATCCCGTGAATGTGCTTCGAGAAAAAATACTTTATTGCAAAGATAATGTAAAAATATTCATCAATTACGGTCGACCGTAATCGACCGAAATTTTTTAGAAAGAAATTATTATGTACGAAGTTGCCGATTATAATTTTTTTTATAGAAACTGTCATTAATTATTAAAACCTGAAGGTTAAGTTTTAATGTTTATTTCGAGACACAAAAATGGATCCAAAAAAATTCATTCTGAAAAAAGATAAGATGCGAGAGAAAAGAAAAATAGAAATAGAAAAGGAAAAAAGAGAAAAGAAATTTGAATAGAAAAAAGTCTATGAAAATCGTATGGTAAATTTTAAAAATTACAATTTTACATTTTTAAAACAATTCACTATAATAAAAATCTATTTTAAAATGTAATTTAAATATTCAAATAAAAAATTTATATATCTAGTTAATTTTTGACACATGCTTTTATACCCAGTGCATTATTTCAGTATTTTATTATTCATATAAATATTGAAAATATTAAACGAATTTTATTGCTTTTTAAAATTATAACCCCTTAGAAAATTCCCTTCAACTGTTTTTTATCCTAAAAAGCAAACACCTGTTGAATATTTTTTTGTTACAGGTTAAAAATAATTTTTAATTTTAAATATTTATAACTTTTTGAAGACAACTTGTTTTATATGTCCACTTGTATAATTGGAAAGCTTAGTTCTTGAAGTTTATGTAGACAAAGTTTCAATACTGTGCTCAAAAAAAAAAAAAAAATTTTTCTTATTGAAAAGTTAAAGGTTTCAAAAATATGCCCTTATATTAACAGTTTTTATACACTGAAAAAAATAATATAATTAATAAATAATATAATAATAATAATATAATATAATTTTCACTAGTCAATTCCCCCTCGATTAAAATACATTTTTTGCAACACTAACCTCTAAAGTTAAATTTTACACACCGAAAAGTGTGTGTAAAGAAGCTCTTTTTCAAACGGTCTGTAAAGTGATTCAATTTACGCACTGAAATTTTTCTCACATAATATAAGGATTGTTTTAAACCATACAAAACCACAAAATTAAAAAAAGAACACTGAGAAAAATGTTTAGTCAGAGCAACCAAAATTTTGTTGGTATTTAAGCAACCAAACTATTTGTTTGAGTCAATCAAAAAATTTGGTTAAGAATTTTTTGTTGGCATACCAAAAATTTTTGGTTGATCAAACAAACAGTTTTTTTTGGTTCAATTAAAAATTTTATTCTACCTTATTTCTTTTCTTTTTATCTTTTTTATTTATTTCATTATTATTTATTTATTATTCAATTTAACGTTTAATTTATATTTATCTAATTGAAATATTTGTGGACTTTGAAAAATCTCATCTCCGCCTGGGATCGAACCTCTGTTTTAAAACTGAAGATCGAGAGCTCTGACCACTGGACTCCATCCTTGTGAGAGATTTAAACTAACTCTTCTCTTAAGCTATGAGCTGAGAGCGAATCAAATTATTTAGTTGTCGCAACCAAATTTTGGGTAGGACAACAAACGATCATTAGGTTTTTTAGACCAAACTATTTCGTTGTGTTAACCAAATTATTTTGTTGTCGTAACCAAATTTTGGTTGGAATTTAAAAATGTTCAACCAAATAATTTTGTTGGCATAACCAAATGTTTGGTTGAGATAACTCTACGACTTTGTTTCAGCCAACCAAAATTTGGTTACAAGAACCAAAATTGTCTAACCAAACAATTTTGTTGCAAACACTAAATTTTTTTTCTCAGTGAACTTTACTTTTAAATTTATACACTCCTGCTTAATAATATTTTTCCTGATCTTCGATTGATTTATTTAATTCTATACAATCGAAATTATTCTAATATAGAGAGTTGGAATTCTTCATAATATTAACTTTAGAGGTGGGTGTTGCAAAAAATGTTGTATGATACACACATATATAAAATTTTATATATAACTAAAATATTATTAATATGAAGGAGAGAGTAAAATATAAGAAAAAATCCAACTCACCTATAATATATGTACCACTTTACAGGTGAAAATATCCAGTATTATCCTGATGGCAGTCAATTAATTATTGTCGATTGGAACAGAAAACTAGAAAATTATCTCATTTGTGGGAAAAAATCATGGCAATTTTCCCATGTTGATTTTGAACGACAAATTTTCGGGGATGGAAGTTCATTAGAAAAAATTCCCAATGGCTCTGTTGATGCTGTTGTTACAACAAGATCTCTTTGCAGTACTATATCTGTGGCAGACACAATTCACGAAATTCATCGCGTACTTGCACCGGTAATAAGTATTAATATTTTAGATAAATTGTCACAATAAAATATCGAAATCGAACATAAAAAGGGATACCACATCGTTGTCATCTAAAGGAAATAGTGGACAGTGAATCCACAACTATGCCCATCTGTCAATACTCACCTGGACACACTAATGATGCCTAAACTATAAAGCAATTGGGAAAAACTTTTATTATTAAACAAAAACGATTTTAAATCACGCAAAATTAACAAAGAACAAAGGTTGACAAAGGCGTGACGCCATGATGAAACACATATTATATTGCATTCGCCGGTTGCTTGCTATTTGAAATTTCAGACGTCTCGGACGCACTGCTGCCAACACTAATTCCAGCGGGAAGTTTAAATTTATAATTTTAATATAAGTACAAAAGTTATTCTCTTATTAATTAATTATTAATTTTAATACTTCTATTAATAAACAGTAAATCATTATTTACAGTAGTTAAAGATATACATATATATAATATACTTTTTTAAACAAATATTATTATCAGTGAGTTCAGCGTGAAAAAATGAACTTTTCATCTTATACCGTCAATTTTAAAATTAAATAAATTTTAACTTCAAAATACATACATATCTCAATAGGCAAGTGAAGAGCTCCACGGAATAACGATCTATGGCACAATTAAAAAGCTTGGTTATGAGCTTTCAAAAAATATAAAAATTTTATAAATTAATAACAGCTGTAAGCGAATTATTGTAACTAATAAATAAATTGTAACTAATATTGTAATAAATAACAATTTACATATACATACTTATTACAAATTTCATGAAAATTTACGTTTTTAAAAAGCTCATAACCAAACTTTTCAATTGTGCCATAGATCGTTATTCCGTGGAGCTCTTCAAGTATAGGTAGAACGAATTAGCGTACACTCTCACCTCTTGGCTGACTGCCTGCCTGCCTGCAGGAGTTGTCATGGCAACATGTAGGAGTAATAGAGATAGTAAATTCAAATTTTAATTTTCTCTCTCTCTTACTCTTGCACGTTGCCATGACAACTCCTGTAGGGAGGCAAGCAGCCAAGAAGATTTGAGTGTGCCCTTAAAAAATTTCAAAAATTTTTTAAAAAATAAAAAAATTTTGAAAAAATTGTTTTCTCACAACCTAACTAGGCCTACAATTTTTGTAAAGGGAAGTAGTTTTTTGAAAATTAAAAAAAATCGAAGGATACAAACAGTTTGGAAAACAAGATTTTAACCTTTAAATTACAAAAAATATAGTAAATTTTATAATTTTTTACATGAAATTTTTGAAAAGTTCAGTTAAAAGCCACACATTTAAAAAAAACTTTTAAAATTGATGCATTTTTAAGGAAGTTATGAGCACTCAAAAATAAGAAATCGTTTAAATTCTGAAATTTAAAAAAAATTCATATCTCGTAAACGCCTTGATGAAAAAATTTGAAAAAAATCATGAAGCTCTTTTTTGAAGGGTACAAAATGGTAAAAAAATTGGAGCCAAATCAAAGAGGTCAAAGTCAACGATATGTCAATTTGGCATGGAATCCCTCATATTTATTTTGTTAAATTATTAATTGAATTTATTTTCAATAAAATTTTACCGTTTGCATGTTTTATAAAAACTTTTATAAAACATTGTAATTGTTAGATGAAAAATATGAAATAATTGTTTTTTTACGGGATAAAATTTTTCAGGGAGGAAAGTATTTCTTTATGGAGCACATTGCCGAAAACGAAGGAACATTCACTAGATGGATTCAAACAATGTTAACGAGATCGACTCTATGGCCATCATTATACGGTGATTGCCAATTAGATTTTAATCCAATCAAAGAAATAGAAAAAATTGGATTTAAAAAAGTCCAATGGAAAACAGTTACTCTCCAAGGATACGTTTCTCATCCAATTCACTTATATTTATCTCGACGTCATTTAATTGGAACTGCTATTCGATAATAAAAAATATTTATGAAAATAATCAAATTAATTTTTAAAAAAGTTATAAATTATAAAAATTTTAGAGTACTGAATTTATCAAATGATTTTCATGTTTCTTTTTTAAAAAGTTTCAAAGAAATTTCAAGTACATTCACATTTTTTAGGGTTCCATACACGGTTTGGAACCAATTGATCTGGAGGGCTGAAATTTGGTATAAAATGTGCACCGTCAACCAGGGCTTTAAGCTAGTTTTTAATTTGTAAAATATTCATTTCAAGATTTTGAAATTTGACAATTAGCTGTAATTATAGTGTGACATTTTGGCAACAAAGAAAGTGTAATATTATTAGAAATTTATCAAATACAGCGAGTCCGAATGATATCTATATATACATTCACAGATTAAGTCTTCGCGTTTGCAACGTTTCCACTAAGTCGTTACATTTGGAATCCATTTTTGTCATAATCTTCATCTTATAAAAAATATCCAATAATTCAATTAAATCGTCAAGATTTCAATTTAATCGATAGTTCCAAAAACCCTATAACTCAGATTATAGATGACTATAATTAATCCAAGTATTCATGAAAATGTTATATACACATGCACACATAATGCATGACGTTTTCTAAAAATGTGCTTTTTGTGTTCCTAATGTCAAAAAAAACATATATAAATTTGTAAAAAGGATAATATATTTGATTGTTCGTGGTTTTTGAATTTTTATAAAATGCAATTATGTTAACGAAAATTGGGATGGTGGAATATTTTCAGAAGCCCAGATAATTTTTTTAAAAGAAAAAAATTGAGTCTTATCTATTTAAATAAACTCTTCTCGATTTTATTGCAATCTTTACATTAGCAAATTCCACACCAAGTATGCGAAAAAAATTACAAACACAATGTTCTGTTTACATAATTTGCATTATTGACTTTGCCGTTTTGTAGTGCTCCGTACACTGGTCTCAACTGGTCCGTACAGAACGGCTACCATTTATGTCGTCATATTTTGTGCAAAAAAAAATCGAGATCTCTCAAACCATTGTCTATAACTAAAAAATATCTTTCCTAATTAATAATATTCTAGTAGTAATACAAAATTAATTAATTAAATTTATTCGTTATCTAAAGGATATTAATTCCCATTTTCATATAATTCTTACCCACACAGCACTTAAACTTGCAGTAATATTTGCAACATTACCTCAATATTCTAAAATGGCATTATTGAAGCAATGTTGTCAATATGTATTGTTAAAATTTTAAGTGCTGTGTGGGTAAATTAGATTTTAAATCATCAATCATGACGATTTTTAATCAGAGTATTTTTAAACAAAAATTTGGTTTTACCTAGAAAAAATTAATTTGTAATTAGGCGATTCTATGTGAAACATATGACATTTTGGGTATACCGAGGTAGACATAATTTCAATGATATCTAACTCTAAAAGTATTGAATTTTGAAATTTTTGACAAGAAAAAAAAAATTTTCAGACTTTCATCGACTTTTGAAATATGCTAACGAAAAATATTTTTTCAATTTTCCAGGTGTATAAAAATAAAAAAAAGTAAAATAAATCGGGTCAAAAGTTAAAAAAATTAATTTGTTTATAAGAAATCGTTATTTTTTAATATAAAAATTCAAAGGAATTTTTTTTGTTGGCATTTTTCAAAAGTCAATGAAAATCTGAAATTTTTTTTTCTCCTGGCAAAAATTCCTAAATTCAATAATGTTTAGATTTAAGTGTCATTGAAATTAGGTCTACCTCGAAAAACTCAGATTTTAAAAAATTGATAACCGTTACCCTTTGAATTAAGGTGTCTTTTCATATAGATAGTATAGTACTTTTAGCACTTCTGGCGAGAAGTTTAAAATATTATGAAAATAAAAGTGAGTTGAACAATATTTTCAAATTAAGCCTAAAGTTACATAAATCCCACATTTTTAAAACCATTATAAAATATTTTTTATTAAATTTTCCTAGTTCACAAATTAAAATACATAGTTATAAAAATATATTCTACAATATTGTAATATACAAAATGAATATGATGAAATATATATGAGCTTATTTTTTCAACAATTTTATACAAATATTTATTTCTTCCTTCATCCAGAATCTTTACAAAATGATGATGTTTTTTTTAATTATTGAAAAAATATTATTTTGAACACTCCAACTCTTGTTAAAGTCATTTCCTAACATTCATTGCATATATCAATTAGTTCCTCGATATCTAAGATTTTTGTTTCTTTGTTAAAAAACAATTTTGCATGTTATTATAATATATGATTATTAATAAGAATATTTTTATTGTAATTTATTAATAGAATTATAGGGGAGACTGGGGCAAACCGGCCAGGTGTTAGTTTTTCAGAATTGGTCAAACTTTAAAATATGTCAATTATAAATTCGAAAAGACTATATTAAGAATAACTTTTTTTTTAGTTTGACATTTTTTAATTGTGTTTATGCAATTTTATAAACAAAAGTTTGTTTTTTCGCTTCCGCTAGAAATTTTTACGGATCTGTTCATAAGCAATTTGTGAGAAAATCGTGTAATATTTATTAAAATTGTTTTTTAGGTTGAAAAGGTGTATGCCTCAGTTAAATTTATCGGTATATTATTTAATGATTTAAAGTTCACCGACAGACGTTTCTTCGTGAACGACAACAATTAGTTGAAAATATTTGTTTTATAATAAGTAAGATGTTTGTTTAATTGAAATTTAATCCTATCTTATTATTTTCCTTATTAGGAAGATTGTTTATTGATCTGTTATATTTAGTGACGTTTTCCTTACAATTAATTCTCTAAACAAACAAACAAAAAATAAACTGGCCGGTTTACCTCAGGGGTGGGGCAAACCGGCCAGCTTGCAAATTTTTTTAAAATTGATGCAGCAGCTAAACAATACATTTTAAGGTACATGTGTCTGTAGGAAAAAGTTGCGCAATTAGATGACTTTTCCAACAAGCTATTATAAAAGGTTTTTCATTAGTTTCTTTAGTTACTAGAGCCTTACAACTGTTAACATGGCCGGTTTGCCCCAGTCTCCCCTAATAAATATTTTCTTACTTAAAAAAATACAATTAATTTACAAATAGTTAACAAAATTAATATAAATATGGTTTCATGTAATTGCGAAAGATCATTAATACACTTATTACAATAAATAATAAATATTTCGTAATTTGTAAAATGCGAGTTTTTGTAAACAATTGTATTTTACCAAATTCAATTGAATTGGTATTAAATTATGTTTACTATGACCTTAATCTTCATTACTAAAGTTAGTCACTATGACATAAAATTGATTCCAATTGCTAAAAATATTTATCATTGTTTCCTATTGAAAAAGTTATTATAAAAAAATTCAAGATAAAGTAAATTAAATTAAATGTAACAATTCCTTTTTATTTTCATTAATCCTAGAAGGAATAACTGGGGTATAAATATACCCCTTTTTTTAGAAAAAAAAATGATCAATTTTCTAATGTTTCCGATTTTTCTTTTTACAAGTTTTTTATAATTTTTTTTACATATCAAAAAATAAAATTTGTTTTACGTGAAATATAAACCTTTTTACACAAGTTTCAAGTTACTATTTCTTTATCAACATTTTTTTATTTTTTCGCATAAATCGATTTTTGTATTTTGTTAAGTTTTTCTCTTCTGAAACACCACAAATCTTAATTTCACTGTCATTACACTTATCGTCAGTTTTAGTAAAATTTTTTTTTGTACTAAAATTTAAAATATTCTCATCATCATTATCCGAAATAAGATTCGAATCATTAACTTTTTCTTGAATTTTTGATTTTTTTAAAATATCTTTTTTTGAATTTAAAGAAATCATTTTTTTCCTACTCTTATCTTTTTCAACAACTTTCATTTTATTTTCGTTCTGTCTAAAATCAAACATATCTTCATTATCACTATCCGAAGTTAACTTCGAAAAATTTACTTTCTCTTCAATTTTCGTTTTTTTAAAGATATCCTCTCGATAATTTAAAGAAATCTCTTCTTCTCTATTCTTAATAATTTTTACTTTATTTTTTTTTTTGTCTGAAATCGAAAATATCTTCTTCATCACTATCCGAAACAAGTTCTGAATCATGGAAGCTTTCTAAAATTTTATTCTTTTCTTGTTTCAAAATCTTCTTTTCTTTTTCTTTTCGTTCAATTTTAGTGTGACTTTTTTTTGTAATTAAGTCGAAAATATCTTTATCATTTCTATTTGAATTAAGTTTCAAATCATTGAAACTTTCTTTAATTTTTGTATTTTTAGATGTTTCTTCATCTGATGAAGAGAAATCTAAATTTTTAAAAAAATGTTTGTCGTCTTTCATCGATTTATGTCTTACGATATATTTGCTTTCTTCCTTATCGGTAATAAATTTTTGTTGTTTTAAATTTTCTTCTTTTCTCGTCTGCTTGCAATTTATTTGTTTTCTCATTTGTTTAGCGTTTTCTTTTTTCAATGATTGTTTTATATTTTCTTCTTTTAAATTAAAACAAACATTGTATTTTTCCTTCTCGTCAATGTCTACTTGTTTTTTTTTCTCAAGAAATTCGAAAATATTTTCAAATTCACTTTCTTTAATATTTAGAGTATGAAGACAAGATTTTCCAGCCATTTCTGTATTTTTATGAAATTGAGTATTTAATTTAAATTGTTCGTCTATCACTGGAACTTTTAAGCTGGATTTCATTTCTTTTTTCGTAAGTTTGGAGATTTTTGTTTTTGTATTTGTCAAGTGTTTGTCATTGGACAAAATATCCTTTTCTTTTTCGTCAATTTCCTGTTTATTTTTTTTTGACGATAAATGAAAAACATCTTTAAATTTACTTTCTTCATTATCTAAAGCATGAAGACATGGTTCTTTTGATACTTGGATACTATTTTCATCAAATTGAGTATTTAATTTAAATTGTTCGTCATCCACTGGAACTTTCAAGCTGGAACTTTCTTCTTTTGTCGAGTTTTCTCCCATTTTTGGTTGTTTAGAGTTTTCTCTATTCTTTCGTTTTCTTCTTGGAATTTTCTCCTTTTGTGAAAGTTCGTCTTCAGAAGAAGATGGCACGACGATAAGTCTTGTCCATCTTCTAGAATTTGATCCATGTAATTGAATATTTAAAATCGAGTTTCTGCTGTTTTCATTTTCTTCGCTTGTATAGTGAGACAATTCCATGAGTAACGGATTGTTCTCTAGAACGTTTTCGTTGAAATGTTTTAAGTTTCTAATTTTATTTTCTTTATTTACTTCCTTCAATCCGACGATATTTCTAGATTTATGAAAAATACTCGTCATGTCGGATTCTTCATCGGACTCGATTGAGAAAATGCTTGTAAAAAGTTTCCTATTTCCTTTGGCGTCACCATTATATTTCGTCGAAATATTTTCGTTTTTCGACTCTTCAGTATCATCACTGTCTGATCGTCCGAAGGAAAAAGTTTTTTCCATTTTACAAATCGAGGGATTTGACAAATGTTTCAATTCCGATGAGTCAGATACTTTTTGCAGTTTTTTAAAATCCTTTTCTAATTTACTCGTTCGGATGTCTCTCTTCTTTTCTGTAAATTTCGAAATATTTTGTGTTGAAATTCGGACTGAATTTCTGATACTTGTGGCATTTTTTTTTCTTTCCGAATTCATTTTGTCTTGCTCTTTTTCATTTTCATTGCTGACAAACTTATCTAAACTTCTTGTTTTTTTATCTTCAGGTTGATCGGAAATTCCTTTCTCAATTGAAAAGCGATTGAGAGGTATCAAAATAATCGAGCAATGTTTAAGTTTTGGATGTTCCGATAAACTTGCCAATTTCGAATCAAACATTTCACTTTGTTGCAATTGATTTTCTTTCATCAATTGTGAATTTTTCTTGGTATCTGATATATCTGACTTTATCGTCATTTTTTTCGTAGATTTCGACTCTTTGGAAAATTTTATTTTCTTACATTCTAATGTGTCGGGTGTATCATCTCCATTTTCGCAAACTGATTTTCGTTTCTTTTGAACATTTGATAGCCTTAGGGGATTTAGAATTACTGAGCATTTTTTTAATTTCTCTTCATTAAAGGAGAATTTTTCTGATGGAATAGTTTTATTTTTCTCTTTATTGGATAGTAAACTGTTTTTGTAAAACGATTTTTTTCTCCAGATTTGCAATTGTTTTTTAGGATCCGAGTAATCGAACGCGGGATGTAAAACAGAATTGTTACTCAAAGACGATGACTTTCTGGATATTTGTTTGGGATTTGAGAACTCGGAGAATTCTACGGGCGAGCTTGGGTTTGTGAATAATTTTCTCCGATGATTTTTGTCGATTATCGTCTGCTCATTGATGGTCTTGGTCACGAATAGATCTTGCAATTCTTGAGATGTCGACTTATCCGATGACGCCACACATTCGTAAATCTCGGGACTGTCACGAATTTGCCTTAAACTCGGAATTACATCTTCAATTTTCAAGCTTCCTGTTGGTACTAGTAATAGTGTAGTAGATTGCGAATTTTTCAAAACATCATTATTAGAACCATAGATGACCGTAGATTGTGAATTTATGGACTTTTCCTCTTTGTTGTGATGAATAGTTTTTGGCAATTCGTCTGTACCGCAAACGTCAACGTAAACGTCCACCTCCTCAATATTATTGTTACTCACAGCAATATCGGTTAATTTCATGTTCTTCTTGGCGAGATTTGAGGATAAAATGTAATCCCGAGTATTGACGGAATCGCTAGAAACGATGGAAGAAGAAAGTTTAGTTGGCTCACTTGGAATGATTGCTGGCTGCGGTGGATGTGGTGAATTGTGCTCGAATGGAGAAACTGCGGCTGGATGAAACGCTGAAATTTCCGCCTCCGAGAGTGATGTTTCTTCAGGTGAATTGTAATTTTCATCGACAACTGACAGACAAGGCGGTTTTCCAGTGTTCACCCAGTATTGAACACTTGAAATTGGATTTCTCATTGGTAAACGTTGTTCACAGACATTATCATCTTTTTCATCAATCACCAGCTGTAATGTCTCCAAATTCAATTCCGCATCGTCGTTTGTCTGTCGAATTCAATAATACAATTAACAATAAATAAATCGATCAATTGTAAATGAATTAAAAAATTTTTCAACTAAGTTTTATTCTGTATTTACAATATTAAAATAAATTCCATTCAATTATTTACTGTATTTAATTTTAAAATCAAGATATACTCACTTTCTTTGAGTATTTTTTAAAAAATTTATCCCACGTCTGTTTATGAGATTCCAATCTTTTTTTTGCCACATTTATATTTATTGGTAATTTATATTCTGATCTATAATTAATAAAAATAATTGATTATTTTGTAAAATAAATATTTTTTGAAAAAATTATTGCTTAATAATGTTAGTATATTAAAAAATATGAAACTGAGTTTTAAACAATATTTTGATAGTTTAATAATTTCTTTCAGTAAAACAAACAACATATGTTAAGTAATGTTTTTATGTACTCAATGTAAAAAATTTACTAAAGTACATACATTTATTTTTAAATAATAATTTTTTGTTTTTTAGCGATCAAAAAAAGCATAATGAATATTAAAATAGAGAAGAATTAATTAAACCATTACCAACTTACAGTTATTTGCCACATAATGCATTTCTAATATACATAACCTTAAATTATTTTTTAATTAACAACTCTCATAGTTATCATAATAACAATTATTCAAATTAGTTGTAGAGTGAACTGCATGTACCTATTAGTGCTATCCATTCCATTTAGTTTGAAAAATTATAACAACTATAGACTATTTACTATTTTTCATCTCTAATCTTTAATCTTTTTCTTTTCAAATAAAAAAACATATACAATAGGTGGGAGTTTTTGTTGTCAAATTTAAACTCAATACACAAGTTCGAAATTCTATACCATAGAAGGACCTTCGAAATATGAAACATCAAACATGGGGTGTTTTCGAGAGTTGCTGTGAGTATACTGTCAGTATGTTGTGATTGGCTGATCCATCAGCATGTTTATTCTGATTGGGTAATTTTTTACTGTCAGCAACTCCCGAAAACACCCTTGGCGATGGCGGAGCTTTAAGGTGCTTTTTACGGAAGCCTGTACGGCTCACGAGCGTCCCGGACGCAAGTGGTGATGTTTCATACCACAAATGGCACGAAGTCCGTCCAACTTGTGGCAAGTTCGTTAGTTCGTGCCACTTGTGGAAAGTGGATATTTTGAAGGGTCATTCACAAATATGACAATTCCGTTGGATCCTGTTGCTATCTATTTCGTCAGTGCTTTCCATTTCAATTTCATGTGAAGAAGAAGAAATAAATTTTATAAGATATTAGTAATATTAGCATACTAGTAAATGTCATCGAATAAACTTTTTATAGTTCATACATAAATACTCCTTCCAAACGTAAATATACACATTAATAAACTAAGGATTCCACTAAGAATTAAGCGGAAGTTTTTTCTTAGATTTTTTAATTTTTCTTAGTTTAGAATAAAAATAAGATTTTTTGGTTATGTTGTCATTTTTTAATTTAAAATACATGAAGAGGATTTTATTTTTTAAAATCAAAAGTATATTTTTATGAATATTTAAGATTAATAAAGATGTCAATATCATTTGTTTACACTGAAATGTAATCTTTTACATGTATTTTCAATTAAAAAATAACAAATTCATTTTTATTCAAAAACATTAAACGGACTTGCCCGGATGAAATTATGCTTGAAATGAAAAGCACTGACGAAATAGACAGCAACAGGATCCAACAGAATTGTCATATTTGTGAATGACCCTTCAAAAAATCCACTTTCCACAAGTGGCACGAACTAACGAACTTGCCACAAGTTGGACGGACTTCGTGCCACTTGTGGTACGAAACACCGCCACTTGCGTCCGAAACGCTCGTGAGCCGTACAGGCTTCCGTACTTCCGTACTTTTACCCATCTCTGCTTGTAAACATTTAGGAATCTATTGGAGAAAGGCCTTAAGGCCTAAGCAGAATAGTTTCGCGAAAGACGTTCGCGAACGTGAAACATGAGTTGGAAAAGGACAGAGATATATTTGTATCATTTTCTATCTCATGCATCTCGTTCGCGAAAATATTGTGCGTTGGCCTTTACGTACTCGACTCAGTTGTACTTAGGCCTTAAAGTGATTTAGTAATTCAAATCGTGTTTTTCATAATTGAGGTTATGTCCTTTGTGATTATATAGTTTTTCGTTTTTTATGTTTAAAATAAATATGTTATATTAAACAAAAATGTCACTACTCTATCGTAATATTTTTAATAAATTAGGAAGATGTGTAAATATAACTTCTAGATTTTGTACAGTCGTTGAAAATCAATGTTTAGAAAGAGAAAAATTTGAACCCAGAATTTCAGTAACAGAGGCTATTGAAAGTGGTAAATTTTTTCATAATCCTAGACAAGTATGGATAGAAAGTTTAAAAACAATTCCAGGCAAAAAATTTGGTATCGCGCATTTACATCCTGATGTTTTTGCTGCCCAACCTCGAGTAGATATTATTCATGAAAATATTAGATGGCAAAGAATGTTTCGATTTGTGGTAAGTCTTTGATTTCTGTTGTCAGTTATTAAAGTTTTATAATAGTAAATAATAATATTTTTCAAAAAATCTCAGCAATTGACCTACTTTATGTATGAAAAATGATATAATCCATTTAATAAATTTTAGTCTTATGCACATACGAAAACTCGAGCAGAAGTCAAAGGAGGAGGAAGAAAACCCTGGCCGCAAAAAGGCCAAGGAAAAGCTCGACATGGAAGTATACGGTCTCCTTTGTGGCGTAAAGGAGGAGTAGTTCATGGACCTCGTTCACCAACGACACATTTTTACATGTTACCTTTTTACAAAAGAGTCTATGGCCTTACATCTACACTGACGGTAAAGTTAGCTCAAGACGATTTACACATTGTAACAGATCTTGAAATTCCTTCTGAAGAAACATCCTACGTTGAGGATATTATTAATGAAAGAAATTGGGGTCCATCTGTTCTATTCGTTGACGATATGGACTTTATGCCAAGAAATATTTCCATAGCTACTGAAACTATAAAACACGTCAATTTAATGCCTGTTTATGGTACGTTCCTTTTACCTTGTTTTGCATTTATTTCAATAAGTATTATTTTTTTATTTTTTTAATCAAACTTTCTTTTTTCAGGATTAAACGTGTATAGTATGTTGAAGCATGATACTCTAGTCTTAACTGAACGAGCTGCAAGGCTCATTGAAGAGAAATTACTTTATCAGCTCAACAGAGCAGACGAAAGAAAAGTAAACTCCAAATTCAAACTTAACCAGTAATAAGGGTTCTGAAAATTTTTATACTTTAGTTTCCATTAAAAATATTGGAAAATAAAAATGTTGTAATTATTGACAATATTTTGATTTAATATAAGTTTAGTATAAGTATATGTATATGATTTATTGATTATAACAAACATTATGTAAGATTGAGCGACAATTTTGACGCATAGTTAATTCGGCTTATAAAAAATTATTAATTTACTCTAAAAAATAAACTTATCTATAGTCATCTTTTCTTCAATGCCAATAAATGGGAAGATTTATAATCAGCAGGCTGAAAAGGAAAGATTGAAATGAATAATATATACTACTTAAGAATAAGCACATTGTGAAATAGATATTCTAAAAATATACTCTAGGGTGAGGATCACAGCCCATCATTCGTTCGCGAATCGCCCATCGAACATCCAAGTGTTTATCTTCTCCCGGAAGAGGAAATTGCTTCCATTCTTCTTGATATTTTTGATAAAGTGTCACAGGATCGGATTTCTTCCAAGGTTTTTGAGCGTCTGGTTGTAGCCTCCAGGGCCTTATAACTAACGAAAAAAGTAATTATTTCATTAACAAGCAAAACATTCTTTTACATTAATTTCAAATTGAACAATCATTTATATGGACAAATAATATTGTAGTGAAAATTTGATCTTAGATTTGTGCAAATGTTGAATTTCAATTGAATCTGCCTTCATTACAAATACGAATCGAAATTTACAAATAAAAAAATTCCTACATGATTTGGGTTGCGATGAAACAGAAGTTCTTGTAACAGAGCAACTAATGCTTTCGCCAGGATCAGAAAGTGTACTTTTTGTTTTAAGATGAAGAATCTTTGGATTTGATTCAGAAGCACTTGCAGGTCTTTTTTGTGCTCGGAACTTTTCACATATGCGTGGTGTCTTTCGTTCAATCTTTTCAATTTTTTCTCTTGACTTTAGACATGAAACGCTTTCGCTGTATTCTTTGGAAGACTCCATTCGAGACTTTTTCAATCCATCCGTTGAACTTTCTTTAGATTCAGATTTTGAGCGATTAGTGTAATCTCGACTAGATGCGGTTTTACTTGATGCACATATCTGCTTATGATCATTTTGAAATAAATTTTTCATCCAGAAATCACATTCTCGTTCTTTTGGTACATCTGATCTTTGCGTATTTGAACGGCTTTGTCTGAAATTTTCTTTTTCAGCGTTTTGTGTGTCTCTAGGTGAATATTTTACCTTCACTTTAACCATTGCATCTGTTTTTCGTGGAGTTTCTGGTAAAATTGTCTTCTCTGAATGACTATACTTAGTGGACTTTTCTTGTTCTTCAATGAATTCCACAAGAGATTGTTTTTGCTTGGTTAAAATTTTCCTCTTTATTTCCTCTTTCCACGCTTCACGTTCTCTTTCTTTTATTTTTCTGTACAGTTTGAGATCTGAAAATAGTATGTTTTTTAATTTTTGTTTTGCTTCATTATCTAATTAAATTAAGTAGAGCGTTAACTTTTTAAATTATCGCCTAAATTTTTCGAGTACTTGAGTAAGCAATATAATACACGAAAAGCATTTTATAAATATCAATTAGGACTTTTACAATAATATTAAATTTTCGAAATAAACCCACCGGAATACCACAGGAGGTATCTCAAGAGAGTTCTCTACAAAATATGTACACATATAGGGCACTTTTTGATAGGATTATTATCAAATCACATGTTTGTCCTTTTTATAATAGGATATGCTATCCATTAAAAAATTAAAATCATCCTTATAATATTATGTCTTACAAGCTTTTTACTTTACCTTTCTTTTACCACCATTGGTAAAACAGTACAATAAAACCACTGCTAAGTCATACAATGAAAAAAAATGTATTTGATTCAAAAAATTGGTTACTTGACTTTCCTATATTATTAAATAAATATTTATTTGAATTCAATAAACTATACAGGGTGTTTTAAAAGTATGGAAACTTGCAAATATCTCGAAAAGTGCGCATTTTCGTGAAAAATGTTCAACACAAAAGTTGTTCCCAACAAATAAATCTACATTTTTGAACCCAAAAAATGTGAGGACCTTCAGTGAAAAAAGAAGTATCACGAAAATAAATTAAAATTTATTTTGTATCTTTTGCAAAGTAACCAAATGAACCAGTACTAAAATCAACTTCAATCCTAAATAAACATAATCTCGTCAATTATTGTATTATAATATTCAATAATATTTCTTTTATGTATTAAAAAATTTTAATGTTTAAAATCTATCTTTGAGCCATCCTGATAAAATAAGCTATACCTATTGGATCTTCTTGTTTCTTATTTTTACCAATATTTAGTTTTGGCAACTTTGCTCCCATTTTGAAATAGATAATAAAGTAAATGAAAAGAAACATTAAAAGAAGCAAAACTAATGACATAAGTACATATTTGCTTTTGTGAAATATGTTGTTTACCTTTCATAAAAGACTTCAACTGAGAAGCAGTAACACCAACAAATCCAAGAGAGTTTAAAATGGAAAGAACTTCACTTGGATCATCTTTTACTTCTGCCATTATTATTAATACACTTAAAATAATTAAATAACGTAAATTTTAAAAGTTTAAAAAACTTTTTATATCATATTTAACGCATAATAACCATTAGAAAAATCAGTGAAACTAAAACTTTAATGAACACATCATTTTAATACTTTTTAGGTTAAGTTTGCGCCCAAAGTTATAACGATCAATTTAAAAAGCGCCAAATTTAAAATACCTATATTGACGTAATATAAAATAAAAACAGTCCAACTAAAAATTATTTCTTACACCTATATTTTTATATTGATTATAAAATAGTTGAATTTAAAGTTAAGGAAATAATTTATATTATCAAAGGCAATAAAAACAAATCTTGTTATTACGAAAATTTTCAATCCAGAATAGAAAATTTTTAAAATTAATGAAGATGAAAAAAATTGAATAAAAGTCGAGTGACGTTAAATGATGAAATCATCTATTGTATAATTACAAAAATATTTTAATTCAATATAATATCCTTCAAACTTATATTTCTACCAGTTTCCACTTACTATTAGAGATGTTAACTTCAATAAATATTTATCTTTTAATAACGTCAATTATCTTGATTCGTTTGTATTACACTTTTTATTTATTTTTTTATTAATTATTAATATTAGTATTATTGATTATTTTTCTTTTAATTATGACAATATTGTGTCAATCCTTTAAAATCCACCCGTAATACTTTGAGGCTTTTTTAGAAAAATCAGATCCGTACAATTCATTTTTGGCAATTTATTATTTTATAAAATTTGTTATATTTATCTTAGAATTTGAATTTTATTTCAGTTACTAAAAATAAGGTGCAATGAATTGCAGTTTTACAAAACCACTTGCATTTTAAACTTTAAATTCTTTTTTAGAAACAAATTTTTCATATTTCTGTACTCTAAAATTAAAAATATGTTAAATTTTGACGTTTCACAGGTAAGTTCAAAAATCAATTTTCACATAAATTTTTTAACTTTTTTATCTAATAATCAATCAATATAAGTAAATTAAACTATGTCGAACAGTAATACCGAGCGCATGATTATTCCATAAAAATTATATATTAGTTATAGAATTCTCATTTTTAAATTTTTATTAGATATAAATAGATATAATTATTTTTTAGACGAATTTTTATTTCACAGAATTTCTCTTTATGCAACTTTTTATATAAAAGAATTTTAAGTTGATCGAATTTTAATTTTTCGCAAAATTTTATTTTACGGAGTGGCTATTTCGCCCGTCGCGGGCGAAATAGATACGACTGTGTGAACTGGCTATTTCGCCCGTCGAAATGAATGTGTTTTAGAAGACGGGCAAAATAAGAAAAATAGATTATTTCGCCCGTTCAAGATAAAATCGAGTATCTGGAAGACGGGCGAGTATATTATTTCGTCCGTTAAGTATAGACAGTTGTTTTTTAGATAATGAGAAAAAATAATTTTACTTTTTTTAAATATAACAAATAAGATGGATAGAAAAAAGACGTCTGAGTATAGGTCTAATATTATTTATTTATATCTTTTGGAGTATTTGGTTTAATAAAATAGAAGAAATTTAAAGAAAAAAAAAAGTTCTTAAAAATTCTTTAAATTCTTAAAATTAATACTTAATTATTTTCTATTTTTTTTCAAAAAATTTTATTAATTAAAGTTTTGAGAATATTTGTAACATAAAATTTGTTTGTAATTATTAACTTGAAGATTTTTCAAATATTTATTTTACGCGTTTTTGAGACGTGACTTTAAAGAATAATAATTATTTTATCTAAGAAATTGTATTGGAAAAAAAATTAATATATTTATAAAGGTATTAATTACTCTTATTAAATAATTTAAAAAATTTAATATTTTATAGTAATGGTAAACAAATATAATTAAAATTATAAAAAAATTAATCTAATATTAAAATTATAAATTATAATTATTAAATTTAACTAATTAAAATTACGATTTTGAAGTCGAAAACAATTAAAATTGATCGTCATCGATTTAAAAATATTAATATTTTTTCAAATAATTAATAATATTTCTTAATATTTTTTATAAATTTTTCTTTTAAAAATTGTTGACGAAAAAATTGCAAAAAATTTTTTCTTAAAAATTGAAAAAATCATTTTAAAAAATTTTTTTCATGAAAAATGAAAAAAAAAATTTTTTTAATTTTGTTTATTAAACTTTGGTAATAAAAATTGTGGATTTTAATTTTGTAATTTAAATAAGAATTCAAAAATCGACTATTTCTGAAATTTTTGTATATTTGCATCTCTAAATTCAACGAGTAAATAAAATTGAAGACTATCAAAATAAAGAATGTCATATGAACTACTTTCGATACCAAATAGATTTTCAAACAACGCACCGTCGTTTTCAATATTTAAAGAATATACTATACGGAGTATAATCTCACATTGATATATAAAACCATGATTCTGCTGAGAAAGAAATCAGAAAAACCCTTTTTTTTATCGAAACACAAAAAATTAATGAGACCATCAAATTTGTTTATCAAATATATGATATTTAACATAAATTGCAAAATAAAAGTTAAAATAATTTTAGTTTGTAAATTGAAATATACAACAGCTGTTTATACCTAGCGGGCTAAATATTGTATTTTGATTATTTCACCCGTTTTTGTTTAAACATTTCACGGACGAAATAATATACTCGCCCGTCTTCCAGATACTCGATTTTATCTTGAACGGGCGAAATAATCTATTTTTCTTATTTTGCCCGTCTTCTAAAACACATTCATTTCGACGGGCGAAATAGCCAGTTCACACAGTCGTATCTATTTCGCCCGCGACGGGCGAAATAACAGAAATGAATTAGTTCGCCCGAGCGGGCGAAATAGAAACAGCCTTTATTTTAACAGAATTTTAAGTGGTTAGAATTTTTAAATATCAGAAATTCTATAATTCATCGACTCTTTATTTCTCTATTTTGTTTCTTCGTGGAGGAAACTTTGTAGTCTTCATTTATAAAATTTTTAAAAACGGTCGAAACAAATTTTCCTCTATATACATATATAAATATGTTTGAACAATTGTCCGGATGTATGTACTCTCTAAATCTGAATTAGTAGTTTTCTACTAATGAAAGAGTGCGGGTTCGTTTAGTTTTGACTCTTTTTTAGTAGAAAACTACTAATTTATGGAGTAAGTCGTATTTTTTACTATTTCAAATTAGTAAGCCGATTTACTCCATGATTTAGTAGTTTTCTACTAGAAATTAGTAGTTTTCTACTAAAAAAGAGTCAAAACTGTTACTAATTCAATTGGTAAACGAATTCGCACTCTTTCATTAGTAGAAAAACTACTAATTCAGATTTAGAGAGTATGTGTGCGGATCCCGTTTTTGGTAAACACGATATCACTTTAACAGGTTTTAATGAATTTGGGTAAAATTTGGTAGGCTTATTTATCACTTTAATATCTCAAAATAGACACAAGGATTTTAAAAAATACGCCCCCGAAAAAATGTTATCTTTTTTTTCAAAAAATTTGTTTTTAATCAAAAAAAATTTTTAACAGCAAAATTTAAGGTGATATATAAAAAAATCTTATTCCTTACGTCAAGACGAATCGATTGGTATACCTACATAAAGTATATGTTTTACCCAAAATTAATTAAAATTTTTTTAGTTTTTAATTTTTCAAAAAATTTAATTAATTAAAACATTTTTCAACTCGAAATGTTTTACATAAACCAATTTAAATCAATGAAATGAATTAAATAAATTTTTTGCTTCACACATTATGAGGAAGCAAAATGTTGATGTTTTTAGTTGATAGAAATCTTAAAAATAACAAATCTTTATTTTTCTGAAATAATAATAATTATAACAATTCGTATAAACAAAAATCGGACAAATAAAGATTTGGTGAATTGAAAATGCTGACATTGAAAAATTCGAATCGAATTCTGTTGAATGAGAATTATCAGATTTTTTTAAAAATAGACCTCAACTAAACGACTGTGGATGATATAGTATAATTGATTGACCCTAGTGCATTTGCATTTATTTATTTGCAATTACTTTATTTTCAATGTAGTCTTCAATTAAATATAAATATATGTATAACGGATGTTTAAAAATAAATTTTTTAAATATTTTAACCACAATATTTTATAGCTGGTTATGGAATACGAATCAAAAGCCTTGAATTGCCAACTTTGCTGCAAACAGGATCACATCCCGTGAAATTTATTTGCGTCTATGAATTATTAAACACTGATTCTGGGATAGTAATAAAATGGTATCACAATGAAAAACAAATTTATGAATGGATTCCACCCTGTAAGTGTTATTTACAAGTAACAACTATGTATAATATTAAAAATAAATGTGTTTTTATATTAAACGTAAATATAGGATAAATTTTTTAAAATATTTTAGTAGCTCCTCGAGATATGGGAATTATGAATGGATTAATCGAATATCCTTGGGAAAATATTAATCGACCTCATTCTCATTCTATTTTAGAAATTAAAAATATAACAACCAATCTCTCTGGAGTATATACTTGTAAGATCAGTACTTTTCAAGATGAGGATTCAAAATCAGCAAATGTCACTGTTTATGGTAATTTATATTGTTATCTATTATGAACATGATTTTTAAAAAAATAAAAATACTTGAAACTTTTAGATCTTTAACAATAAAATTAAAAACGAACGTCAAAATCAGGAAATGAGATAATTAATATAAGGTACTTAAGTGAAGGAAGGGATAGCCCTCAAGTTAATAAAACAGTCAAGTTTTAAACAGAAAAAAAATTTAACAAATATTGTCACTCAGTAAAATGATAAGAAAAAGTTTTAGAACATGAAAAAGTAAAAAATTAGTTTTTCTACACGAATTTTTATGAAAATAGGTAAATGAATTTTAAAGATAAATATTTTGAAATTCAAATTTGATGATTATAATCATAAAATTATTTTAAAAAATTTTAATTTAATTTAAAATAAAAAATTAAATTATTTAAATTAATTACACTACCTACATTTATAATGAATTAATAGTTATTTACGTTAAATTAGTTAAATATTCAATGCTTTTGAAAAACAAAAGACGTTTTTTTACATTTTAATTTTCTGCTTAAAATGTCAACTAAAAACTTATATTTGAAAATCGAACTTCTGAAGATAGTTTAAGTGTTTCTTGAAAATCTTGCTTGACTCTTTTAAGTGATTAGGTTTATGATCCTATTGAGTTAAAAGCTCTGCCTCTGCACTATAACGGTAATCGTGAATTAAATAACCAAGGTCTGATTTATTCGCATATCTCAACAACTGCATCCGGCAAATAAATTTACACTTGTTTTCATAAAACAATTTATTAAAAACAACAAGAAATAATAATGATTCATTTTATATTATTAAATATGATCATAGTTTGAGATAACTCTCTCTTCAGATTTTATGATTATTATTAGTCACTCTTTTCTCTAAAAGGTCGTTAAGTTTTATTATAAGAATGAAAATATTTTATTTTATTATAATCAATGAAAATAATATTTAAAAAAAAAATATTATTTTAACATCTTTATGCATACATATACTCTTTACACTTATATACGTATTAAAAGTTATAAATAATATAATAAATGTATTCCTATATAGGTATAATTTATTGTTATTTGTACCACACATTTTTAACAATTCACAAAATTACAAATTTTTCTTATGGAAGTTATTTCAAAATCGAAACTATGTAGGTACTATGTATATAATCTGTGTCTTTTCAAAATATTATTTTAATTTTTCTAAAAGCACTGAGCATTCTAGAAAAAAAATTGGAAACTGCTTTTAGTCAGGTAATGCGGTAAAAAATTTGGCATAAAAATTAATATGTAAAGCAGCTAAATATAAAAATATCAAGAGGAAGGAAATGATTTATTATCTAAAATTATTCTTTAAAAGTTCCAGTAAACAAAGTGATGATAAAAACGGCTATTTACAATGAAACTCACCTGAATATTTCATGTGAAACTTTCGGTGCGCACCCTTCTCCAAAATTAAAGATTCTTATCAATGGATTAGAACTCGAGGGAGAAACTAATTATGCCAGCAACTATCATGAAAATCCCTGGACTAGTCATCATTTATTAATGAGTAATCCTAAAAATTCGTCTCTCTTCGAATGTGAAATAGAAATTCCAGAAGTAAACTGTAAGCAAGCAGAAAAACTTTTTTATCATTCCTGTGTCAAAAAGTCTTCCAATTTGATTATTTCATATGTTAACAACACAAACTCCTGTACAAAATTCTGCTGTTGAAATTGAAAATTTCAATTAATAAAAATTAGTGACAAAATGAAAAATTGTGATTTTTCAACAATAGTAATCCTAACAATAATAACATCATAGAAATAAATAATAGTTCATAAAGAATTTATTATTAATTATTCTATTCCATAAATAGTAACGTTTATTATTTATTTATGAAAAAGTAAAAATAATATTATCTGTGATAAAGTGAAAAAATATTTTAAAGTTAATTGAAACGTTAATTTCTTTAATATTGAAGAATAAATATAAATATAGGACATCAGAAGGGTTTTGCGAATGCGCCAACATCTTTCGCGATAATGCGGGGGTGAAAATCGTCTTTAAAGGCAGAGGGGGAGAATTTCTAGCTGAAGAGCAACAGGCGATTTCCTCCAGATTATCACAAACCACTCATATCATCCCCCGTTTGTACCAAGTGAGTATAAGTAATAAAAATTGTTTTTTTTAAATTTTGCAAATAATTTTTTTTTTAAATATAAATAATACCTAAAGAAATAAAATAAAAATTTAAAAAAATGAAAAAAAAGAGTACAATTAAAAAAGTAAAATGAAAAATTGTTTGAAATTTTACCTAACTATTTCAGTTCTATAAGTAATTCAAAATTGTCATATATAGTTATACATACGTATTAAATGTCACAAAGTAAAATAAAAAAAACTGTGTGCTTAATATTTTCAGTAAATTCGACAAACAAAAATAATAATTTGATGACAAGAGAAATGGGACGCACCATCTACATTATTCTATTAATTGCAGGTAAAATTCTATTAATATTATATTACTTTCCTAAATTCTAAAAGTGACAATTTGTGATAAAAAATAAATTAACATTAATAGTATAATATTTTAGAAAAGCTCGTCTATATTTAGGATTATAGTTTTTTTTATATATATATATAGATATATAAATTTCGCGGAACAAAAGAATTTCATTTTGTCGGAAGGAAACTTTAAAATCTTTATACTCAAAAATAGCTTAGATATAGAATTGATCTCATAAAATGTCTCAACTTGATTAAATTGCGTTTTTGAAGGAGGCGGAAACTCTTTCCTTCTAATATTACACGGTCTTAAGATGGATTTAAACCTTTAATTAAAAACGACGAAAAGTATATGACAAAAGATGATTTGCAAATCCACTTTTACTTTAAAGACTTGATAAAAATACCATTTTACAAATGTGTTATTAAAAATATGTACATGAAAAAATTTCAAAAACAAAAATACTTTTTAAAAAAGATTTAAAAGGAATTAAAATATTTAAATTAATACTTTTTCATACCTAGTCTGATTAAATTATTATTTTAGCAAACTATATCAGTTTAACTATCACACATTGAAGAGGAATATATAGATAATCCTCATAAGATTCTCAAAGGAACTTCTGATTATTGATATATTCTTGATTCTCTAATTATACAATAATTAGTTTAATAATTACTTCTTACTTCAACATTTATGCAAATTGTAAGAATCTGATTTAACTTTAAAAATCTATTATTCGCTTATTAATTAAATCAATTTTAATAATTTAATTATGGTTTAGGGTAAATTACTTATTTAATTATTGATAAAATAAACATTAAAAAAGAATACAATGAGGTTGAATTTTTTGTGGCATTTAGGATCATTAAAATTTCTTTTTTTGTAAGACATTTCGATCTTGTTTTGGGTCTTCTTCAGTTTTTATTATTTTCTGTAAAAGTACGTAATTTGTTTGTAATGACAAAAAATTCAACCTCATAATTAAATTGAGTGCCGCCCACAGGCTGTCACTGCTACTTGACTGGTAATAGAGCGTTCGTCCGAGCGTCGGTCGAGATATTTGATCGGGACACTCAATTGGATCAGAAAATAACGTCAAAATTTTTAAAGAATACAATCTTATATTTATCAGGGTAGATAAAAATCATACTGGCTTTTCGTACGCAATTTTTATTCAAATATTTGTGCAATTTTCTTCGAAAATAAGTTTAAAACTTAATTTTTTATTTAAATCCTTTGAGTTTCCTAAGTAATTATTAAACTATTGCTGCATAGAATATTAAGCTGAGATATAAAACATGAAATGAATAATAAATGTAACCAAGTATGATGAAGTTAAGAAAAAATGGTAAAAGTTTCCAAAGTCATGCATTGCAATGACCGGGAAGTTCGACATCAATTTGTAATCACTTGATTAGTATTTCTTATAAATCTTTAAGAATTTTGATCATGTACAAGAATACTTTACATGTCTCCCTTGAGTCTCATGACATTTATAAGCCTTGACAAACTAAACAAGAAATAGAATTTTCAATAATTTTTTATTATCAAAGTTTAATTTGGAGAAACATCTTAAATTGACATAAACCAATGCATTTGATTTTATTTATTTGACAGTTTGTGCGCTTTGGACTTTTGGTGAGGCACTTTCTTGCGATCAATGTGGCAGGGAATGTATGAAAATTTGCGGAACTCGAGGATTTCGGGCTTGTTGCTTCAACAATTTAAAAAAGAGAGTGCCCGCTGTTGGACTTTGGGTTGATCCTCCAAAACAAACAGGTCATTTTCATCTCATTTAATCACGAAAAAAGTACATTTAATATTCAACTTAAAAAATGGCCACATTGTTTTAAGAATCATTTAAAAAGAAAAATATAATCATTAAAAACTTACCGAATGAATTAATTTTCTTATCTTGCGGAAAGAACAACAATAATCTACTCTTCGAAATATTTTGCGTTCAAAAAAATATTCCTTTCTTTCAACTTGTACGTCTGAATAATCGATTATTTATCTGTATACGATTTAAAAAAATGAGATATTTCCTACTTCTCTTATTAAATTATACATGTACATGGAGTAATAATCTTTCGCTTTATGTAACAAGAGAATAAAAATATTAATTTCGAAGGCTATTTTTTATATCTCCTGTTTATTATATAATAATATTAAAAGAATTAGAAAAAAATATTCATGTGTAAGTTAACTTATCCATTCTCGTATTTTTTTAAATACCATTTTTAGTTTTTTTTTCTTCGATACTGATTCGTTACTATTATTAATATCCACTAAAAATTGTCTGACGCTTTTTTTAAGCTTTTTCCACTCAAGTTTGTCCATTCCTGGATATGATTTTTGTTTTAAAAATAAAATTAAATCATTTTCATTTTTAAAATTCTCTGGCGTTAAATTTTTTTTTCTTTTATCTAGTGGCATTTCATCACAAGAATTTAAAACGTATTTTAATTCTCTTCTTGTTTTCATATTTTGCTCACGCCTCCCTACTGATTCATCTTCACTTTGGTGCGATTTCAAATCTTCACAATCTATATTTAACTTCTTTTTTTGAGATTGTTTTTTAAGTAATGAGTTAAATGCATCGCGAGATATCTTTTGTCCTACATCAGTAACACCTAATGGAAAGGACGTTAATTCTTGTAACGATTTTCTGTTCTTAATCTTTGAAATTGAAGTTTTTTCAATTATTTCAAACTTTTTTACAGTTAAAGTTTCTTTGTTACGTTTTAAAATTTCGTCAATATTTTCAATATCAAAGATTAATTCAGTTTCAGAATCATCATCGTTAGGTTTGATTAAATTAAATATGTTTTGCTTCATTTCTTCGTGTGTCGAAATACTGAAAAAAAGTATTTTTAATTATATAAAGCTAGTTTCAGTTATAATCAATATCAAAAAGAAAATTTCTTACTTACTTTGGTAATGCTTGATCAATCCAAGGCAATTTGAGCCAACATTTTAAATCTAATGGTAGATTATAATTTTTTGGAAGCCATTCTGCACCTAAGCTCTTGAAATTGAGAGTAAATTCATGTAATGTATTGTACCAATCACAGGATTTTTTTATTAAATGTCGAGAAAGAACCCTAGAATAAAAACTAAATTTAATTCAAGATAACAGTGATAAGTGTTTATATTGCGGTGTTTTCTTATTTGAAAATAAAAATTTTATAAAATTATTATACGTACCAAATTCTACTGATGACTGATAAAGCAATCAGAGAAACTTCCCAGGAGTGTCCAGTAATGATTCTTGAGTTAAGAAAACCAGCAGCCTCTTGGGAAACACTTTCGATACGACACATCAATTTTGCAAAGCTTTGAGTTTTAACTAATGTGTATTCTATCAATTGTCGTGTTGGCAATGTAACATCATTTGAATAAGAATCAATCTCTACGCTCTCTTTAAGATATTTATAATCATTTTCTAGGCAAAGTTTTAAATAGTTTAAAAGAGCTCGATTTGTTTTTTCCATATTTTTTAAACCTTTATCGCTTCTAAATTTACATTTCATACGGTAAATTAGTCTTCCAAGAACCGCTGATTCGAAATGTAACATTTCTTGAGACTCTAAGTCTTTTATGATTTTATTTACTTTCAGCAAAAAACTTTTTGCATCTATAAAGAAAAAATTGATATATATATATATATATATATATCTATTTGCATCGATCTTTAAAAATTTATTATTTATTAACATTTTTTAAATGTTTTTCCTAATTTAAAGAAATTTCTTTGATAATAATTATAATAAAATATAGAAAGTAAAGAATAAATGAAGATAAATAAATATGTAACGTTATTAACCATAAATAGTATATTATCCAAATAAATACATTAGGAAAGTAAACAAATATTAATTGTTATTCATAAACTATAACTTAAGGTTATGTATGTAAAATTACCTATTTCACATAAAGAAACTTTAAAAGTTAAAGCAGTTGGTCGTTGTAAATCAAGTTTATTCCATAAAGCTTGCATGTTGGTATTTATTTTTCACTTTTTTATAAAAAAAGAAAATGTTTCTTTAAAACTTAAAAAATTTAAATTCGGTGCTTGCACATACATGATCACATGGAATCCGCATGGTTCGTTTTTGAGAACAGGCATGAAGGTGCTTCTACAAAAGGTGCAAAAGCCAAGTACAAGTGCAAGTCCAAGTGGCAATTTCATGAGTGAGAAAGTCTATCTATCTCTCTTGCACTCATGGGATTTGCACTATAGGTGCAAAAGACAAGTGCAAGTCCAAGAAAAACATCAGTTCAAGAGAGATAGATAGTCTAGCTATTGGGAACGGTGGTCTAGTAACAATCTAGTAACTTTGACCCATTCTCTCCCTCCATTTTGTTTTTTCTACTCTTTCTAACCTATTAGTTGAAGAGAGACAAAGAAAGAAAATGGAGGGAGAGAATGGGTCCCCACCAGATGGCGTATTGCAGTTTAGCCGATCCCAATCTATCTTGCACTTATGGACTTGTACTTGTGGTTGTAATCGTAATCGCAAACGCAACCGGAAGAATGAGTTGGAGAAGGACAAACAATATGTCTATCCTTCTCTAACTCATTCTTCCGGTTGCGTTTGCGGTTAAGTTTCTATTCTGGTCAGGCCTTTATTGTTGAAATTAAAAGTTACTATAATGCTGATTCTATACTCACCGAAAACTGAGCGAACGGTCCGCTTTTCCGTCACGCTTCCCATATTCAACTATATCTATATATATATAAAAAACGTAACGCAAGTACGGACCGCTCGCGCAGTTTTAGGTGTGTGTAGAATCAGCATAAAGTCATTAAATTTTCACTAGAGCAAGATGTGGTAGCTGACGAGAATTACGACAAATGGCGAGTGGGGACAATGGAAACCAACCTTGTCTTTTTCACCTATTGTAGAACCTCCTTGTTGAATGGGAATTGTACATACACTCGTGGACAGATATTTTTGTCCTTTTCTAACGCACTTGTTGCCATGACATTTGGGCACTTTCCGAATTGGGATTTTTAAGGTACGGTCACACGACTTTTGGAAAAACCATTCTTGTCTTTCTCTCTCCTAAGACAGAGGCATAAGATTGTCTCACTCTGCATTTTCTTACATTTCCCAAAGACGGAAAATGCAGAGTGAGACAAACTTATGCGTCTGTAATAGGAGAGAGAAAGACAAGAATGGTTTTTCCAAAAGTCGTGTGACCGTACCCTTAGTGCATACTTGATAAAGTGTTTTCTTGGACTTGCCTTTTGTGGCTATTCTGTATTCACCTTAACTGTGCAACCCTAGTTCGAACGCAATCTTTCAATTTCCGAAGTTCCCTGTGGAAGCGCCGGTCACATCTACAACATCTATTGTGGAATGAGTATTAAGTGATATGATGATGATTTAAAGCCGGTAAAATATTGGGAATTTGTAGAAATGGCGGGAGTTCTGAGAAGCTGTGGACAAAATGTAACCAGAAATGACTCTCTAATTTCCTTCTTGGTGTGTGTCTTTTTATTATTTATATATTATTTAATTAATTGATCCAGGTAAATAATTTGAATTGTTTAGGTTGTTAGTACGAGTGATTTGTGTGAGAAAGTTTCGGATGGATTGCTGCAGAGTGCAAAAGAGAGAGATCGTCGCGTAGTTGTGCATCAGTGTGAATCTATCATTCAAGTACTTCGATTTAAGCCAGACACTAGTATAGATTTTATTATTTTTGCATACGACGGACACGTTACTAATGTTCTATCAGAGGTGAGTTTGAATTTTTATTTACAGTAATTAATAAAAAAAAATTTCCAAGCACATAGTTATGCTGTCTTAACCCTTAAGTGAAGAGTCGTAAATTTGTTTGTGTTTCTCTTATTTGCCGAAACAATTGTGTATGCAATAAAATATGTATTATGCATTTCATTTTCACTTAATTTATTATTTTTTTAAGGCCCATGTTACAATTTTAAATAATTAGATACAATAACTTTTTGCTAAAATTGAAAGGTTATGTTTCTATTGTTTGGATTTAACAAACTAAAAAATATTTTGTCTCATTCAAATTTTCTCATTGTAAATATACAAAAATCTGTAATAGTATAACTTTCAATATTGAGAATTTACACAATTCACTGTAAACTTAATACTTTGAAGGTACCCCTACTGTTAATTCCCATATGAGATCCTTTGTAAGATCGCTTATGGTTTCTTATATAAGATTCTATACAAAATCTTAGAAGGACATCTCGTAAGAAGAATCTCATCAGTGTCCATATAGGATCCCATATGGGGTCGAAATTTGAAAAATAAGATTTGTTAATATCTCAAAAACGGTAAGAGATACGTAAAATCGGGCAAAATTTTGAGTTCATTTTATATAAAGCAAAAGTATTTTGTGTTTAAAACCTAAAATATGTCTCATATTCCCATGTGGGATCCTGTGGGAGATCTCATATAGTATCTCATATGAGAAACCATAAGTGATCTTATACGGGATCTCATACGGGAATTTAAAATAGGGACCAGTTTGACAACTTTTTGTAAATTTACCACTTTTAAAGTGGGTAATAAAAGGAGTCTATTATTACCTACTTTAAGAGTGATGAATTTACAGGTGCAGGACCCTCTTGAGAACCTTATTTTTATATATAAAAGAGAGACAGCATTATATGGATTAAATTTTTGTAATAGATGATCCCCCAAGAACCTTGTCTGGATCCGCCTTTGTTCTAAAGTATTAAGTTAACAATAAAACTGTGTAAATTTTCAACATTTCTATTATAGATTTCTGTAAATTTACAATTTGAAACTATGAATAAAGTAAAATATTTTTTTACAGTGCAACCTTGTGGTTTTATTATAGAAAGTTTGAAATTCTATATTTTTAATTACCTTACCTTTCTTTTCGTTGTCAAAATGTTATAAGAAATGTATCAGGAAACAAAATGATAAAATTAATATTAACTATGTTTAACTGTTTTCAGGTAGAAGAAAATATTAGTTTGATAGATGATCACTATCCAATTACTACTCGAACAATTTTGATACATTGCGACGATACTCCTAATATTCGCAGCCCTTCCTTTGATAAAGCGCGCTTGCTTTGTGACAAATTTAATTTACATTTTATGTCAGCTAATATCTTTGTAAGTTACTACAATCCTAACAAAACACTTGCTCACTGATGGTAAATAATAATTGTTAACTTGTTTAGGATCCAAATAATTGCAAGCTAGTAGGAAATAGAGTTCTTAACCTTGCTGAAGTTATCCTTGGATTTAACAACGGCATCCCTACAGTAGTTTGAATTTGAATTCAAAAATAGAGGTAATATATTCACTTGTAAATAAAGATATTGTGTTATTAATTATTTTCCAAAATACAGCTAGGTATTTTCATATTTTATTGAAATGTGTAATTTTTACCCTTTTCAAGAATAGATACTGCGATGATTATTCAAACATTCATAACTCTTGTTAACTTTTCTTTTCCCCGATAAAATGATTGACATTTCCAAAATTAAACATTTAAAATTCCATGTGTGTCGAATTTATCATTTATTTTATTCTTCTTTAGTTGTAATTTTTGAAAAAAGCAAATCTCATCTCATTGCGGGTGATTCGCTATTTTCATAAATCCTAAGAAAAATCTATAAAGATTGAAATTGAATATCACATATTTTACAGACTTAATAAAACAATGAAGAAACTGTCGACGAAATCACTGGCTTACACCTCGAGTCAGGAGGAAAGTGAAAACGACAGTGATGAAACTGAGTGCAGCATTGGAAGCAATTCAACAGCAGGCACTCATCGCAGTGACACTCCGACGCGCAGCGCTCGTTATAAACGAAAAGGTCGTCGTCGAAGTAAAACAGGTAAAACTAAAGTCAGCAATGACAAAACCCTCTATAAATATTGCTCGAGTTATAAAGAAGATCATGGACAACCGTTGTTCGGAGTGCAATTCAATCACAACTTGAAGGAAGGAGAACCAATGATATTTGCAACTGTGGGTAGTAACCGAGTCAGTATTTACGAATGCCCAGAAGAAAGTGGAATTCGATTGCGACAATGCTATGCCGACCCCGATCCCGAAGAAAATTTCTACACTTGTGCCTGGACCTATGATGATTCTGGGAAACCTTTACTTGCCGTTGCAGGATCTCGAGGTGTCATCAGGATTATCAGTCCTGCGACAATGACGTGTGTCAAACACTACATTGGTCATGGTCACGCGATCAATGAACTGAAAGTTCATCCTCGTGATCCCAATATTTTACTCTCTGCCTCGAAAGATCACGCTTTAAGACTTTGGAATATAAAATCGGACGTGTGTATTGCCATTTTTGGCGGCGTTGAAGGCCACAGAGACGAAGTACTGAGCGCAGATTTCGATATGAAGGGTCAGAGAATTATTTCTTGCGGAATGGATCATGCTTTGAAACTCTGGTCTCTCGAGAAGGCTGACATGCAAGAAGCAATCAAGCAATCGTATTTTTGTAATCCGAGTCGAAATGGCAGGCCATTTGATTCAGTTCTTCAGCATTTTCCCGACTTCACAACGAGGGATGTTCACAGGAATTATGTCGATTGCGTCAAGTGGTTCGGTGATTTCATTCTAAGCAAATCTTGTGAGAATTGTATCGTCTGTTGGAAGCCAGGGAGATTGGAAGATTCCCATCTACGAAATAATGAAACAAGTGCAACTGTTTTGCATCGGTTTGAATTTAAGGAATGCGATATCTGGTTTATTCGATTTTCCATGGACTTTTGGCTGAGAACGATTGCTCTGGGTAATCAAGTGGGTCGCACTTACGTTTGGGATCTGGAAGTCGAGGAGCCAGGTCAAGCTCGATGTTGTTCTCTTCAGCATCCTCGATGCACAGCTCCTATTCGACAGACGAGTCTCAGCAGAGATGGAACGGTCTTGCTTTGTGTATGTGACGACGCTACAATTTGGAGGTGGAATCGGGACACATGATAATATTCTTATTTTCTATTATGCTATACTGTCATATGAACAGAATTTATTTTTTTTCACAAAAACTCCACATTTTAAATTAGGTGTGTTTTAACTTTTCTTTTTAATTTCAAAAATTAATTATTTTATATTTTTATTAAAAATCTTTATTTCGTAGAGTCGATTGAAGAATTTTATTAAAAATTAAGAAATTGTCTTGAAAAAGTTGAATGTTTTATTGCGTCATTTTATACACATCACATTGCACATTTTTTAAATACGTGCAATTAAATTAAAGGACAGGTTTTTTAATATATATAATATTTTTTTATTTGTGTAATTGTAAATAATTTTGTGCTACTACGATTGGATGGTGTAGTTGATGAAAGCATGCATTGAATACGTCAATCTTTTGACCCTATGATATTTGAAAATCTTTAATTTTTTTCTAAGGCAAGAAAATAACAATACAAAAAATCTAATAAAAATTTAGAGTTTAAAAAAGAAATGTTCTTCTTTAAAAGGATTTACTATACTATAAAGTGGCAAGGGCAGCTCCTAGAGCTGCGTCTCCGGAATGACCCAATTCTAATGGTAATTGATACCACCTTGAAACTTCTTTTTGCAATACGATATTACGGACCAAACCCGATCCGTTTCCTACAATTCGAGATATTTCCATTTGCTTTAGAATTTCTTGTGGCATCATGCTGAAGATAAAAAACGAACAATTTTAATTGATGAACAGAAAAAATAAATTTATAATTTAACTGACGGATCGTAGAAGGGCACACACCTGAATTTTTAAATTTTTATCTCTTATTTACTTGCAAAAAAGTTATTTTTTGAAAACGTTAAAAAAAATTTCACAATTTTTTATTTAATAAAAATTATAGTTTCCGAAAATAACAACTGTGCTGTCGCAACGTAAAAGAATTGTGTTGTTTTTATTTTCATGACTCGGAGTGATCGTTAATTTTGCTGTTTATTGTAAAAAAATGACCGAGTGAAAAAATCATTTTTACTTGCATTATTTATATTAAGATTCAAAAAAACGAAAACTTTTCAATATTTCTAAGGGAAAAAGTTGTATTTATGTACATACATAATTTTCGTTTTAAAAGCAAGCTTTTTCAAAAAATATGAAATCGATTGAATTAAACTACAAGTTTTTCCAAAGCGAAAATTAAGTATAACTTTTTTTGTTTGCAGCTATTGAAACGTTTTTTTGTGCTTTATATTATAAGTAAATTAATAAAAATTTTATTATCCAATAAAACTTATTTATTGTTTAACAGACAGTTATTCAAATTTGTCATCAAGATTGTAATTTAATGTTTTCAAAAAGCAAATTTTTTATCATTATTCTGAAAATGATTTAATATGAGATAAATAGTACTTGCATCGACTTTGTTTTAAAATATAAAATTTCCTTTTAAATGTTCATGGGTCGATTTAATAAGTATAGAGACTCACACGTGTGCCTTTATACGTTCATTTTTTTTTTTTTTTTTTTTTTTTTAATGACTAGAAACTATTAAGGCTGTGAAATATTACAAGTTTGATAGAATATCATTTAAGAAACTTACTCGTGAAGATTTTTTATAATTCCGGAACAAAGGGAACGAAAAATTTGTCCTAAATTTAAAGTGTCTAGAGTTATTCCATTAACACTGGCAGTTTGCTCTGGTGCGAATCGTTCTCCAAGAAGTGTCGGTATTATTTTCATATCATTAATTGCAGAATCTTCTTTCCCTAATGCTATCAATTTATCCCAAACTTTAGCTGTAATAAATTTATCCTTCATTATGAGAGTTGTGTAAGATGCATAAATATAGGTATTTACTTACATTGAGGTACTGAAAATCCTAATTCCAACGTCCACTGTTGAAGGGATTTAACAAAAGCTGCCAATGTGTTTCCTCCATTCAATGAAGCTGCGACCGCAATATATTTTCCATCAAAATAGGGAAAGTACTCTATTTTACCTGATATTATTGTCAATTTTAGTTTCTATTCAGTCAAAGTCATTAATATTGTTTAAAAATTAAGTATTATACCCGATTCTAAATTTGTTTTAGGCTTGAATGTGGGATGAATATAGGCAAGTTGAGCAGATGTTGAAATATTAAGAACTGCATCTTTAGAATCTTTCAACAAGGCGTAGACAGAACTCTGTAAATCTCCTAAAGCCGCACCTAAATTATTAATTAATAATTTAAAAAGAAATTTATATACCTCTATTATTTCTTTAGCATCAAGTGTTCACCTATTGCTGTGCCCTCTGGGATTCCAAACCAACTTTTCGTTAATTTTCCTGCATTTTCTCCGGGTTTCAAAATTTTCGAAGGTAATAGTCTCAAAGGGAAGTTTCCTTTGCTTAATGCTTCTTTGTCCCATTGATTTTCTTCGGTCATGAAATATCCCCATCCTGCCGCATTTTGTGTGCTCATTTTCACTTCATTTTCCCCACACAATAAACTAACTACTAAATCTTGTACAGTTCCACATTTGTCGTATTTATTTAATTTTTCGGGTCTAAAATACAAAACAATATCCAAAAAATCTCCCCAGAAATTAGAAACATGCAGGAAAGAGAAAATCTAAAGCGATTAACATGAAATGTTCCTTTTTTAAGATTAAACGCATTTTCAAAAATGTTCTGCTAAGACTCACTTGTTTCTAGAAAACCAAAAAAGAGTGGCACAACCAAACCCTGTATGAATTGCAAGATGACTTTTGGATTTTGGTAAAGACTTCAAAAATTCTGGATCGCAGCGACCATCTTGCCAAGTGTATAAATTTGAAACTTGGTCCCTGTTGATCTCTAATTTGAAGATTCCTTCTTCTCTGCTTTTTTCTATATTTCTCCAAAAAGTCACTCCGTGCATTTGTCCACAAACTCCGATTCTTATGACCTTTGATTATAAAAACGAACAGTTACACTGAAATTAAGACTGAAATTTGAAAGTAAGAAATATACAAGATTAAACTCTGACCTGTCGAAGAAGATCCTTTGGAAGACGAGAAACACAGTTATGAACTGCAGACAGAATCTTTGGCACATCTTGTTTATTACCTTCTATTCCTAAATCACTAGGCACATTAGCTTGAGTATCTTTAGACTGTCTTGCAACTATTTCTTTCGTTTTCTTTGAAACCACGACTACTTTTACAGAAGTTGTTCCTATATCGATTCCTAAGACTAATTCTTGGTGCGTCATGATAAAGATCTATAAAAATGTTCTCATCATTATCCATTATCAGTTTTATCAGTCTCAGTTGAGATTATAATTTAAAGTTTTTAAAAATTATTTTATTATTAGATTCATTTTATGATGGTAAGTATTTTTATAAGACCTTTTACCGACATTTTCATGTTAAATACTTAAATTAAGTTTAAATTTAATCAAGAATTAAAATTAAATTAATGTTAAATTCCTCGAGTTATTAGAATGAATTGTTGATTTTTTCGTTTAAATCGCTTTAATTTATTATTTTAAAACATTAACTCGTAAAAGTTTTGAGTAACTCAAAATTTTTATTTTTAATAATTAAAAAAAATATGCACACATTCGATGATATACAGCACTGAATTATAAAAATTGTCAAAGACCTTATCATCTCTGGATTGCATCACAGTTTGGCAGTTTTTTAATGACGTTCAAGTTCTCAGCATGCACGTATACATTTATTCTTGCGATACAGTAATTTTTCTATTACGGAACATGCATTACTTGATCGGCTGAGTTAAGTAATAACTCGGTTCTCCAGCGGATCCGATTTATGCGACTCGTCACGTAACAATATGCATATTATACGGAATATCAGTTTAAAATTTTTCAAATTACCAACACTCTGAAATTCACTTTTCGCGCTTTAACACTAATTTATCTTATCTCTCTACACTAAATTATCTTTATCCCCTCCCTCAGGCAAAAGTAAATATATTTGAAGATCAATAAATCGCAATACTTTATTACCTTAAAATAATTCTTCTGTTTTTTACAGCTTTTCAAGACTCTAATTCGAAATAGCTCTGAATCTGGTATATTTAGAATTTCGCTCGCTTCGGGTTATGCATGAAATATTTAAGATTGTCTCTTGTTCTGGCCATGCGCGTTCTTCTCCAAAGTGCAATATGTAGCTTGATGAACTTTATTGCAATATGGATCTCTGAACCCTTCTTCAACGGTTACACGATTATATACTGCACTTCTATTGGTTGTGCGAATATCATATGATTTTGAAATATACCGCCAAACACTATTCTTCTCAAATAAAAGCAAGCATGTCTTCAGAGTTACTTCAAAAAATATTCAACTTGAATTATTAAAATATCCATCAGTATACTAATAAGAAATCAAATTTATTTTTCATCAAATTACTTATTAATAATAATTATTTCTTTTATATAGCAAGTACATGAAAAAGAAAATTTTATTTTAAAACTTTTACTGTTTGAGGCTCAAATTTTATTATTTTATTATATGTAATATTTTGTATGTTTACACATTTTCTTGAAATTGAAGTTGAAATGATTATTAAAATATAATTTAAATTATTTTTTTTAAATAACTTAGTTAATTAACACTGATCCAAAGACACTAATGTTTAATGTTGAATGTTGAATGTTCATTTGAACTGTGTTTTCTGCTATAGTCCTGAAAACCTCCTTTTTTCTACTCGAAAACTAAGATAAAAATGATATCTCCCTCTACTTTTTCTGAATGATTGATTTCAATAAAAACATATTAAATCGATCGTACGGTAGAGCTAAAGAAAAACAGGTTTCGTATAAAATATTAAAGAGGGGAAAAAAGATAAATAGACTGAAGGGAACAATCTTTAATTAAACTATACAAATCAGATTAATTATATTCCAGTTCGTTTTTAAGAATATGAAATAAAATTCGTTATAGGTAAGAAACCTATTTGGAAATAATATTTGTTAGTACTATTCAAGCGAAACTTCAAATTATTTTATACTCAATCAATAAAAAGGGTGTGTTTAATAGAGTGAAAAAATTCGACTGTTTTGTATATATCTGTATTTTCTTCTCAATCAAGAGGAGTAGAATAGGAAGCCTGCGGATTGAGATTTTAATAGAAATCCGTAATTCGACTTTTCTATTCAAGTGTATTTTCCAATAAAATTCATTTAAATGGGGCCACTATATAAAATCTAATTCTTTCTAAAATATGTATAATTAAATTATCCTCTTTATTTATGATGAATATTCTTAAATTTTTAAAATTCTTATTAATTACTCAATCAAAAAAAAAATTGTTTTTTTCTCTACTTACCTATAGGTATAACACAATTAATATTTTTTTAATAGAAAAAACTATCAAGTTTTATTTCACGAAACATTTTCGGAATAAAATAATTCTGAAAAATATTCATCAAATGAAAACACAGGAAATGGTATTTCCTAAAAAAAATAAACTGATCATTTGATTCTGTGAGAAATACTATTTGTTTTTATTTACATTCTTACAGAGTTAACAATTATTATTTGTTTAGAAAAGGATAGGTATTTATCAGTGAGGTAACAGATGGTTTTTTTCGAGAGAATTGTAGAATTTAACTTAAGTTCTCTCTGACCCACTGCTTCGAATTTGTGTGTATACAATTTAAATTAAATTAAATGAATAATTGTCTTTATTTTATGTTTTCAGTCCATATATGTATACGCACATAATATATTGAAGGATTTGAATTATGTACGTTGTGTAGCTTAACATTTTCAATATGTCTAGCGGTCAGGGTAGTCGAAGGGAAAAGTCAGGTTTAATTCAAATCAAGGAACTTTTAAAAATTTTTATCCGACTATAGATACTTATAAATGAGTATTTATTTCATCATTCATTACATCCAAAATGAGAAGATGCTTAAAGTTTTGACAATCGTGGTAAATTTAATTATAATTAGTAAATGTGTAAATTTTAACACGAAAAATTTACAATGGAAGAAGATATTTTGCAAAATCTCAACCATATACTAAAAAAAAAGAAGTAGGTGCTCACGAGATATCGAGCACATTGTTGTCGAAAACTTGGTCGCCATCTGCAATTGCATCTCCGTTTTTTTTTGAAATTTTTTTTTCTTTTAGTACTAATTGAGACTATCTTTCATGAATTTTTTCAAATTTTTTTAGCAAGCCGTTTTCGAGATATGAATTTTTCAAAAATTTCAGAATTTTAATGACTATTAATTTTTGAATGCTCATACCTAACTTCTTTAAAAATGCATCAATTTTAAAAGATTTTTTTTCTAAATGTGTGTTTTTAAACGTAGGTACTTTTCAAAAAAAAAAAATTGAAAATTTTTTTCAAATGATATTATCAAATTTTTAAGTTTTAAAGAAAAAAATTACTTCCTTTTACAAAATTTTTAAGTCTAGGTCCGATCGTGGGCAAGAAATTTTTTCAATATTTTTGTTATTTTTAAAAAAATTTTGAATTTTTCTAAAAATGTTTTTGGTTTTTTTCGTTTATTGGGTAAAAAATCGATCAGTACGTCAATTGAGAAAAATGACTTTTTAAAATTTGATAGTGAAATTCATATCGAAATATGAAAAATTCATATCTCGAAAATGGCTTGCTAAAAAAATTATTTGAAAATTATAATTATATTTATACAACAAAATATCCAACTTTTTATTTAGTACTAATAAAATGAACATTCCAATTAAAAATTAAAATTTCATTTCATTTTTAAACAACATTCTTTTTTTTATTAAAATCAAGGTATTTATTTTAATTGTAAAGTTTTTATAAAGAAATGTAATATTAATCAAATTATTTTTATTTCGGTTAAACTTTTGTATACAAAATGTATATTTATTAATTTTTTTTATTTATCTTACAACAAGTCTGTTTGCAAATTAATCATGAAATTCCAAACTTTATAAATATATGTAACTTTTCGTTTTCGAAGCTCTTTATTATTAAAAATAATTGTTTATTATAAAGAAATTAAAAAAATAAACGTATTCTGAATAACTATATTCAATTTTATAAACAAAAGCTGAAAGAGGATTAAGGATTGATTATCAACAAGAAAAATTTTTTGAAACAAATAGTTTATCAATTACGAATTTTTTTGTAGACGCTCGCAATTCCGTGCAATACGTCTGACTGAATATCGTGCGCAGCACCGTATACATTTTTTAATTTGTATATAATTTGGAAAGTATACTTTTTCAATTTTTTTAAATTTCGCTTGTAAATTTAAACCTATATTCAAAAAGAAAAGATGTTCATAATAATAAATGACCATCGCCAAAATCCAAATATGTATATTAAATCATTTATGATTGTTGATGGACTGATCTTCCTTTTCCCTTTCTATAAAAGGGAAAAGGAAGATCAGGCCATCAACAATCATAGACTTTTTCATGCTGATCGTTCTGTCCTTATCTAGCCTAGCGCATACAATGACGCATGAGTTGGAACTGGAAGAGGACAGAATGATCAGCATGAAAAGTCAGGGAATTTTTTTTTCTAATCGTAGATACCCCAATGGAGATCTTGATTTTTATATAGTTGGTATTTCTGACATGACTAATATACAGACAAGTTCACTTCACTTCAATTATCAAATATTATCAATTTCAATTAAACAATTTTTGATTTTATATAATTAGGTACTTAGTATATTTCTATACATTCGAAAATGACAAATTTTTATAATAAAAAAAGTAAAATTAAATTTTTATGTAGGTAGATACTTATCTTCAAGTGTTTTTTTAAGGGAAAAAATAAACTAACTTTTATACCAGTATGACATATGTATGGAATGTGTCAAATGTATACATATATATATACATAATATGTATGATCAAGTGTAAATGTTTAAATAATATATTTTTGTACTAGACTGTTATGAATTGACATATATATAAAAAAATTATTCATATACATATGATGGCTAATAAGGAAACAAATAAAAAGTATGGAGATTGGATTCATGAACGTAATTTAGGTTCTGGCGGATTTGGCATAGTCCAATTTTGGAAAAATTGTCGAACTGGTAACAAAATAGGTTCGTTTATATTATGTATTTCACTTTATAATAGGTATATAAATTTTTTAAAAGTTATATTTCAATACTTGAGATTAATAAACTAGTAATGCTAATAACAAGCTATAATACCAAAATTTCCAGCAATAAAGAAATGTAAAGCTGCATCAAGTTTGTCAGATAAGCAAAAACAAAGATGGTATCACGAAGTTTTAATAATGAATCACTTAAAACATGAAAATCTGGTAGCGAGTGTCAAGTTACCAGAGGAGTTACAGTCCATTCAAACTGTAGTGCCAGTGTTATGTATGGAATTTTGTAGCAAAGGAGATCTAAGGAAACTACTTAACAATTTTAAAAACGTTTTTGGATTCGAACAATTCAAAGCAGTGAAAATAATCTCTGACGTTTCATCCGGAGTAGAATTTTTACATCAGAATAAAATTACACACAGGGATTTAAAACCAGAAAATATTGTCATAAAAGAGCGAAACGGAGAGGTAAAATTCAAATTAATTTTTAATATATTCCAATGTCATGTTAAGTTTAGGTGTAAATAATGCTTATAATTAAGATTTCACAAAATAGTTGTACGACAATTAAAAATGTTTGTCTGGAACTATGAACTACTTTATTATGTTTTCTGAAAATACATATACAAATATAAATTTTTGTTTATTCCTCTTATTTGGAATTTGTTAACTTACCTATTTAAATGAAAATTACAGATTACTTGTAAATTAATAGATCTTGGTTACGCGAAAGAACTTGGACAAGACAGTTTATACGCTTCTTTGGTTGGAACTTTAAATTATGTGGCTCCAGAATTATTTTGGAATAAAAAGTATAGTTGTTCTGTAGATTATTGGAGCTTAGGAATTCTTTTCTATGAAGTTCTAACCGGAACGAGGCCGTTTTTGCCTTACATGAAACACACCGTGAAATGGTATAATCGAAAGTACCATTTTCTTAATATAAAAAGTTTTAATAATACAATTTCTATACATTTTTGTAGGATGGAAGCAGTTCAAAGAAAAAAGTATGATCAAATTTGCGCTCATCAAATAGGAGAACAGATTTATTTTTACTCCGAGATAGCGGATCCTACAGATTTATCAGAGTAAAATTCCATTTTGAAAGTCATTATTTTTAGAAAGCAAAATTTTTCTAAATACAATTTGTTTTTTAGATTCTTAAGGGATAATCTAGTAGAATGGTTTAGAGTTTCTTTGCAATGGGACCCGAAAAAAAGAGGAAAAATAGACAATACGAATGAAATCGTTCTGTTTGATTTATTGAAAAAGATTTTATCAAAACAGGTAATTACATAATAATCTGAGCTATGTAGTTCATTTATTCTGTGGAAATATAGTAAAGTTGAAAGCTTTTATTATAAATTTTTCAAAAGGTTATTTAGTAATGTTACAAAATTAAATAAGTAATTATTATTATAGGTAGAAATAATTATTTTCATTTTTGATGCTTAGGAGTTACATGCGTTTGTAGTATCACAATATCGAGTAGTTACCTTTCTTGTGAATGAAAAAACTACACTGGAAGATTTGCAACAATGGATTGAAGAAAAAACTGATATTCCTATTCATCAACAAACTATTACTGCTTTTGAGTGTAGAATATTAAACAACAACGAACCTGTACTCTCTCAAATTAATATTCAATCTAAGGTTTTTATTCAAAAATTAGATTATTAATTACTTATTTTGTGTTTAATTTAAAAATAAAAATAATTTTTCAGATTCCTCATATTTTAGTTTTCAAAACTGGCAATTTACACCTCGAAAAGCTTCCTAACCAAAAGTTACCAAAATCAATTGAAAGTGTTATAGAAAAACCTCATGAGAAATTTGAATATTGCCAAAGAATCAAATTCATAAAAGCTGTTATGTTCTTTATTAATCAAGAAATTAGGCTCTCTAAGTGGTATCAAATATCGTTAAGTATCAAAATGTAAGTTTCTTTCAAATTAATTTCGAAAATTAAGTTTCTAACATTCAAAATATAAATTGTTTCGATAATGTGTATTATTTTAGAGACTTATTGGATCAAAGATCGGTAGAACTTGATGAAAACTTGAAATCTGAAATAGAAAGTCTGTCAACACTAAAGTTTGCAGTCGAAGAAACTCTGAAGACAGAAACAAAATTTACGGAGAAGCAAAAATTGGCCTTTCAACAAATAATTAAAAAAATTGATGAAAAACCTTTGAGAACAATCACTCAAATGGCTAAAAGATCAAAAATATTGAATCAAGTCAACCATGAGTTGAGGACATTTTCGGAAATTAATTGGATAAATGATTTTTCCACTTTGTGAGCTTATAGAAATAAATAAATTCTACTATTTTAAATCCTTTAGTAAAATAATGATAAAATTAAAATTTCGCTTTTAGATTTGACAAAGTTGCAGACGTTTTTATTAGTGAGGATCATACTTTAATAAAAAGTGATGTTGAATCAACGACAAAAATATTTTTCCGATTTTTAGAACTTAAGTCTTTAAATATCGAAAAGAATAAAAATATTATTGAAGCCACCGAGTGAGTTTGATGTTAACAAAATTAATAATAAAAGTAACGAGTAATCAAAATATTGAATAAATAATACAAATATTTTTAGGAGAATCTCATTTCTAGAAGATGAACTATCAAAATTGGAGAAATTTTCGAATTCAGCGAATGTTTTGAAAAAACTTTATACATCTGAATTTGAAACACTAAAGAAGAGTTTAGAATCGACCCAATTGAGACATTTAAAATCTGAAGAGGAATCAAAAAAACTTAGAATTTCTAGTTTTTCTAATAATTCACTCAACACAAATTTTCAAACTCAATTATCAAATGAAAGCGATAATTTAATTCGCGATAGTTTAGTTATTCGTTACATGTAAGTATAATAATCTTGCATTAAAAAATTTGTAATCAAGTTATTTTTCATTTTACGCTTTTTTCAGGATGAGTAATTTAGTATCAAAGCTTCAAGAAGAAGTACCCATCATGTTAGATTTGGACTCATAAATTGAAAAAAAAGAATAAACGAATCTGTGATTTATGCAATTTCTTTAAAAATATTTAATGTAAAATTAATTTTATACTGCAAATATTTACTAAAATTTTAATAATAAAATTCAAAAAAAGATAAGAATTTACTTAATTTTTAATGTGAAAAAATTTGTTTAATTAAAACTAAAGAAAATAAAATGAAAATTTTATTATTTAAAAAATGAAATACATAATAAAAAAAATATATCACTCGATTTTATTAAATTTCTTACCATTGAGTTTTCGGTCTTGGAATATAATGTCTCACTCCCCATTTGATATTAGCATGATCATCAGTTTTAACAAAAGTGAATACTGGACCATTAAAAATAAGACTCGGATCCCTCAATCGTTTACCAGCGTCAGCTACAATATAAATATTATTTAAAAATGAATTTCATCAAAAACAAAATACAAAAAAAATTATGTCAAATCTCACATTTACTGTTAGCAAGTAGAAGAATTCCAAAAAGTAAAACGACTTTCACGTAACGTTTATAAATCTATAATAATTTAAGAAACTTATAAATTGACAGCATGTAAAAGATTTTTTTCTCTATTAAGTACTTACGAATTTTAGAATATCCATTCTAAAGAACCTTCTTGTCTCTTATTTACTATGTAATTGACTCAAACCTTTTGATTCGTGTCTATAAGAAAGTTCTGCTCCATAGAGTATAGGAACTTTCTCTAAACCTACTTTTGATTCGTTTTACTGTTTTTCTCTGAAATTTTTTTTCTGATAATGCGCATTCTTATAAACATATATTAATTTTCTGAAAATGTTGACTGTCGGAGAAAACCAAATTTCTGGTTAATTAAACGTATAGACAATTTCATTTTATTAAAAAGTTGTGCATGGGTAGTTTCTAAGATCAATAATCGAGCAACAATGTTAAAATAAATATCATTTTTCATTCACGATTAATGACCTTTTCTGAGAAATGCTGAATGCTGCACTAATCTCACATTATGCACCAATTATACACTATAGTTCCACATAAAAAACACCCTTTCAGTCTAATATCAGAAGTAAAAAACATAAAAATTCACAATCTGGAGGACCATTCCCAATGGAGCCTTGATAAATGTTATTTTTTTATATTTATTCATTGTCACTGACATCCTCGTCAGTTGTAAACTCGGAATGTTCATCGACGTTGTCCACATCTTCTGCCGTTTCTTCATCAGACATATCCCATTGAGGATGCTCAACCGGAACTTCGGGGGCTTCTTTTACGTCCAACTATAAATTATAACATTAGAAATAGAAATATTATTTCTTCAATATGAGAAGATTGAACGTTATGAAATGAAAATCGAACCTTGATGTCCTGAGCTTGGTCAAAACCAAGATAAGAATCACTGCGTAGACAAACTGTAAAGGTGTACAAATTTGGCCATCTTGGAGCGGTAAAACGAAGTTGAATTTCTTCAGTGTCAACTAAGGAGGTAACATGTACAGGTGCTGTCAATAGGGTGCGACTTTTTCTGTCGCAGATATAAACCCACCAATATTCCTGTTTTACATCAGGAAAATAGGGACAGTGCACTTGGTGCGATAAATTACTTCTACCTTCCAAAACTTTGTCTCTCTTCTTTGATCTCTGCTGAAATCTGTTTCAAGAATGTTTAATGTTACTACCTAAATGATTTTTACATTTCAATCGACAAATGTTTATTTACCTTTCCCACTCGATATCATCGTCATCAACAGTAGAGTCTTTCTTCTCTTGAGTACTTTCCTCATCATCGCTTCTCTCGCTGTCCGCCTCACTGTCACTGACATCGGAGCTCTTTTCCTTAAGTACTTTATTTTCAGTTTTCTTTCTTTCGTTTGGTGCACTGTTTTGCTGGCTTGTGTGATTTTCACTCGGGGCCTGTGGTACTATTTTGGCAGTGGGTACTTTCTTATTGCTTCCCTTTTTATTGTGGGATTTTTTCTGCCCCTTTTGCTGCTTAAGCCAAGCGGGACGTTTCACACTTTGATTTTGCTCGTCAGGCGTTTCTTTTTCCTTAACAACTTCCACTTTGGTTTCGTCGATTATTGTTTGCTCCTTAACTGTCTCGTCACCGAACAAATGTTTCATGTCTTTACGAGTTAGTGTCACTGTTACTGTTACTATTGCTCCAGCAGTGTAAACTGTTGGATTCTCGTCGTCAATAACTAAAATAATAAATGTCAATAAACATGAAAATAATTTGGAAAAAGAATAAGTTAAAAAGAATAATCGAACCTTCTGAACGAACTTTAAAATCGACAAAAGGCAAACTGCCGAGGACTTTCATTACGTCATTGTATTCACTTTCTGTCAAATTTCGTAACAATTGTCTCCTATCTTCTCCTTTCAATTGCGCTAATTGTTGAAGACTTTTGATTTGTCGCTGAAATAGAAAATTCCAATTAAAAACTTAACTAATTCCTTTCGTACATATATGTATAGATAATTAATTTTTAGCACAGTCTTGACAAACCTTCTTAGCTAAGAAATGTTTAAGATGTTCTTCCTTAATGTGAGGAAGTTGAAGAAGGGGATTCTTATGTTCCCAGAATCCTTGAACCACCATGGGACATAATTTCATACAATTTTCTATAGTTTCTATAGTTGGTAAATGAGCGACTGAAAACAAAAAAATTCTTAGTCATATTCTAAACTTTATTCTAAAGAATAAAATTAAATAAATTATTCGACACTTACTTCGTCTAGCGTAAGCTAAAATTATTAACTGATTAACGGCAGAAATCATTTCTTGAATTAGGTATGGACATTTTTTAATAATATACTGTCTATCTTTTTCCAAAGTTTCTGGATTAAGTGAAATGCGAGATAAGTGTGCATGCAATATTGCTCTTGCTTTTATTGAATATAAATGACAAAGTGGAGCCTCTTTATTTTTTTCTCGCAAGTCACTCAGTTGTTTAATAAGCTAGAAAGATATTTTGCCAAATTGTAACATTCATTTTACAATAAATGTTATTTATTATTGAATCAACAGAAATATTAATACTGCCCTACAACAGAAAAACATACGTTAGTGATACGTATTTACATATCACTAACGTATGCTTTTCCGTTGTAGGGCTGAATATAAATGTATATTTTTTATTTTTCTAAAATACTTACCACAGGAACTTCCTCATTGTCAGAGAGTCTTTCGACAATTTCAGCATTAAATCTCTTTGAAAACTCAAAGGAAGCTCCAAGGACCATAATTATCCTTTTTATTGACATTGTCGGGGTGTGAAAGAAAAATGAATAATAAAGCTCAGTCGTTGAGAGTAAAACCTGCGAAATAAAATATTGAGAAAGGATATGAATATTTGTTAATTTTGTTTAGCTAAGGAAAGCAGAGTATGTATTTACTTGATCGCCAGTGTAGCGAATACTTTTGTACCACCACATCCCGACAACTGTTGGTAAAGCGACCATAAAAACCAACGCATATAATCCCAAGACCCAAACTGAATTTTCTTTTTCAACAATCCAGGAAGGTAAGGCTATTCCGAAACTCATTGCACCCGGACCATCTGGATTCCCGTATTTTTCCCAATTCTTTCGTGCTTCATCATCCGTTAACGCCTGATAAGCTATTTATTTAAAAATCATGTAAAGCCTTAAACATATTAATATACTCAATGTGTGTGTGTGTGTATTATAATTATTATTATTATTATTAAGTTTTAACTACATTAGTAATTTGTGTTATGTTGCAAGCAAATGCAGCAATAGCTTAATAATCGCTTGACATACCTTTCGTTAATTTCATAAACGCCTTCTCATTCCCCGTTTCTTTGTCAGGATGCAAAATAAGTGATAATTTGCGATATGCTCTCTTTATTTCTGCTTGTGACGATCCCTACAAGAAATTTTAGGAATTTGTATTTTTCATTTATTAAATTTTCTCTTAAATTAAGAGGCATTGATTTTTGGAACATGTGTTTTTACCTGTGAAACGCCGAGAATCTCAAATGGATCAAAATTTGCCATTTCATAATCGAATTGCGATACTTTATATGCTAAGAAAAGTAATGTTATCCATCCGAATATTATTAAAACTTTTCTGAAAATTTATAATTCTATTATAGATGAACGTAAAACAATTTAATAAATAAATTATCTTATTCCTTGTTTTTTTATTATTAATAACGACTAAAATACGTAATTGGAACAAATTTTTTTTACCTTTTAGTTTTAACTAAAAAATTTGGAAAAAACTTTCCAAATGCGTACTGAAAACCACAATAATTACTTACTTGGAAAATGCTCTCGTTTCTTTCCAAGGATCATTCAATTGCAATATTTTCTTTTTCTTTTTACACCCATCGCAGTTACACTCTTTTGCCAACTGGTTTGGATCTGTAAAAATATTAAGTATTTTCAAAAAAATTACAGCATACCAATTCTAATAAGTCTTTAAACTTTACTACAATATTTGCTCTCAATAAAAAATATTTTTATTCATAAACTATAGGAATTTTTAATATACTTTTCAAAAATATTACTAATTTAAATTTAAAACATGTTCACTTTTCAATAATCAGTTGGTATTTTTTGTTTATTTTATTTTATAAGAAGGTTAAAGTACATAGGTACTAAAGCAGTAAACAATATATTAAAAACAAATTTTTAAATACTTTTTAATAAATGAAATGAAATTCACACCCATATAAACTATGGATGTGAATTGGAAATTTTAAAAATCTAACCTGGTTTTGAACAACGTGGCCACAAGTAATAAGTTGCAGGTACCAAAAGTAATGCCAAAAATGAGAGAAGAAAGTAGAAAAACGTTCCACCACTCTCGTCATATTGAAATTTTTGTCCACTCATTGCTCATAAGTATTGCTTTAACTTTACTTCAATTTTAAGTACAGGCCAAAATCTCATAGAATTTTTGTGCTTTAAATTCACCGAATATTAAGGTTATAAAATTGATGGATTGTCATCTGCCAAAGTGCCAACACACAGTCACACACAACTTACAACAATATTGCCAACGCATCAGAAACCACCGTTATAATCAACCAACAACAATGAACAACGAAAAACTTTTGTCACGTGACACATTTCTCCATCACAATTCACTTTGGCGGGAATTCAAGTATCAACACGTTTTCAAGCATATAAAAACATTTCATTACATGCTAGTTTATAAATTTTATTTTTTAAAAAATCAAACAACATTTTTTATTTTTCAAGGGATAAAAATATATATAACATATTGCATTATTAAATATAGAAAAAATAAATTTTCCACATTATTGTTTTTAAAATACCCGCGAAGAATTGTTGACGCGAAGAAACTTCAGATCGTTGATTATCGCCATTTTTAAAGGGCTTTCAGTCACTGACAAACTGTGGTTGTGCGAGGGTGGATAATCATCTTCCAAATTTTCTCTTGGAATATTTCCTGCCCGCCAATTTGCATATCGTTACATGCAAGACATTTTTCTTTTTCGCAATGAGACTCGAGTAAAGTGAGGCACGCGACAGTTAAAATCGTCCGTGGAAAAGTAAATTGCGAATTGTTGATCGATCGTTAAAAAGTAGCAAGAATGTCTAGTGCGCCGCTGTCTAGCGGATTGAGTAAGCTCAAAAAGAAACATTTTCGCGTTAAGCATCAGAAGGTTAAACTTTTTCGTGCAAATGAGCCGCTTCTCAGCGTTTTCATGTGGGGTGTCAATCACACGGTGAGGCAAATATTATTGTTACATCTTCCAGTCCGTTTAATCAAGATAAGGAAATTGAATTTTTTTTCCACTTTTCAATTTTGTGCCAGTTTCCAGTGGGAGGGGAAAAAATATTGCAGTCCAGAGATTCGTGATCGTTTTAGATTGGAAGTAATAATTTTCCTCGTACACCACAATATAGTGCATAATTAATCACTATATTCTTTCCTTATGTTGTCATGTAAAATGGACATGAATATTAGAGTGTCAAATGTATGTGAAAATTTATCTCTTAACGATATTGTTATCTCTTGTTAGAATCATATACTTATACTGATTATTTGAATGTTAATTATATATATATATTTATCAAAAAAAGTATACTGTGTTTTTAAAATTTTATACATTTGTTTGAAATTTTACAGGTAGATAAACTTAATTTATTTAAATTGCAAATTTTTTGACAATGCCAATAATTGAATAATTATTTTTTTTGTTAAAAAATCAAATGTTTTTTAATATGTAGAATATTTATTAAAGATTTAACAAGTTTAAATTTTTAACACGTTCATTGAAAACAGCCTATTTTATTTATTAGGTAATTTAACTTTCTTCAACAATAGAGAGAAGATGTCTCTTTAATTTTCTTTGTTTTTTCTGATGAGGATACAGAATACTGTGTCGAAACGCGTCCAATTTTGATGTAATTAAGTAAATATAAGCCAATAGGCCACAAAATTATAAAGACATCTTCTCTCTATTAAAAATGGCTTAAAATAAACAAGTATTTACTTCATACATTTTTTTCTTCAACAATTTTCATTATTAGGCACAACTATATAAATACTTTAGTGGACATAAATATGCTGACATCTCATTTATATTTCTAATTGCCAATTCTTGTTTTTACTTATAGGTATAAGCTGGCATACTTATTCAATGTTTTGCAAAAAGTTTATTGCCTTAATTATTTTAGATTTGTATACAATAAATCTAGAATTATAATAATATAATTTTGTATATTAAAAATGGAGATTTAATAGGAACATGTTTAAGTAAAATCAATTTTTTCATTATTATCATAACTTCAAATTTTAATGTTCATAAATAGTCCTATACTTTTCTATGACACATTCATGACTGTTAATATTGAACTGATCGTAGTTGTTTCGTCTTTTTAAATCTTTCTAAACTAAAAAAATCCAAAATTATCCAAACTTACTTTTGTCACATATCGAGAATATCTCTTTTTTATATCATATTTTCAAATTTAAATTCGCATCATTTATTTCATTATAATAAATAGCATTATAAAAGTAGAAATACATATTAATTTGTTTTTAACTATTTGGAATGGTTATCATCTTTTTTCATTGCCAAAATTGAAAAAAATATAAATTTTTTAACTTTACCAATTTTGAGCATATTGTGATATTTTTCTGAAAATTTTTACTAATTTTTTTTAATACTTTTATTGACTTTTAAATTGTGTCTTTCAGGAAAAAATAGAATAGTTTTAGTAAAACTTTATTATTGGGATTATTCGTAAATATTTTATAGATCTAAAGTTACATTTTAAGTTATTATTGAATAATTAAGCTATTTAAATACAATTTAGAGAATAAAGTTTTTAGCAATTTTTGATAAATCGTTAAATGTTTATAAAATATACATGGGTTTTTTTCCTAGTTTTTAATTTCCTAAATTAAAAGTTTTTATAAAAATAGTGTGTATATAAGTAAATTTATGAAGAACATTATGAAAATTTGACAAATTTGATAACTTTTAAAACGATAAAATGTTATATTTATTACTTGTAATCTTTACTGTATATCTATACTGGAATTATTTTTTGTTGCAGATAAATGAACTCAGTCATGTCAACATACCAGTGATGCTGTTGCCAGATGACTTCAGAGCGTACAGTAAATTAAAAGTTGATAACCACCTCTTTAATAAGTGAGTCAGTATGTCATTTACTAACAAGTCTCTCCTTATTTAAAGTGAATTTATTTTTCTTCTGCTGCACAGTAAATAATTGAACAGAGTCCAACAATGAAGCTGCCCTAAACTCGTATTTCATAGGAAATGCATATTCCAATTAAATAAAATTGTAATTAATTGTAATTGCGAAAAAAATTTATTTGTTGGTTTACGAAAAAACAAGAAACTGAAAATCATTTATTTCAAATAAAAGAAATAAAGTATTGTAGTTGATATTCTAAATATAAATCAGGATTGATGGACGGTCACTGTTTTTAATAATAGAATCAATGAAGGTCTTTTTGGCATCTGTTTGTGGTGGTCTAACTAAATAAAAACAATAATCATTTCCTCATTCTCGAGAAAATGCAATCCATTCAAAAAGATGAATATTATTTAATTACAATTATAATGAAAGTTTTTTAATTCTTTTCTAGGGAAAATATGCCTTCACATTTCAAAATAAAAGAATATTGTCCTCTGGTTTTTCGAAATTTACGTGAAAGATTCGGCATCGATGACTTGGATTACAAAGAATCAATGACCAGGTAATTTTAATTTAACATTGTTTAATATAATATAATATATTATATGTATATGTATAGACAAGATCCGATTTTTATCAAATTTAATTGGATAACTTCTCTTTATAGAAGTTTTATATATCTATTTCATATATTTTTAATTACATTTTGAAGATAATTTCACCTGCGTAAGTCTCTGTCAAAAGTTAATTCTGAAAATTAAATATATTTAAAAAAAAAAAAATTAATTTAACTTAATTTTTAACAAGTAAAAATTGTTGCAATCTACAGTATTAAATTTTATCAGAAACTAATGCAGGTACCTGAAGTATGCACTTTTCTTTTTCTATGATAGATTTAAGGGAATGAAATTCTCGATGTTTTTATTTGAATGCACAAATTGCTTGCATGATGTTTTAAGAAATGATAGTGGACAAAAAATATTAGTTTTGCGGTGTTTATTTATGCTAGTACAAAAATCGAACTGAGCCGAATAAAATAAGAAAAGGAAAGAAAAGAAAAGAAAAGAAAAAAAACTAATGTTGCAGATGCTTTTGCTTCATATATTATTGTTGTGCTAGTGTAAATGAATGCTTATTCGTAGGATTGGGAAGTATAGAAGAAATCGCAAATTGGAATTAGAAAATCTTAACTCGCACCGAATTAATTAAAGAAAAAAAAAGTAATTGGGATGGGTATCCGTAATACGAGAATTTTGCCAATAGATGTCGAGCATTTAATCCTTCAAGAGCAAAAAGGCGTTCAAATTTAATGGCTACTTCTGGAAGGAATCATCATTTGGTACAACGTTCTGCCACTGTTCCTTCGATAACAATATCCCCTCCTACTATTTCTCAAATTCCAGTTTCAAATAAGCAGCATCGAACCTACAGTTTTAAGCCAAAGCGACTGAGGTTAGATAGATTTGATTTTCTCAAGTCTGTGCGTGTCGTTTGTGGCTAACACAATAATTAAGGATCCGGGAGAAACAACTCGCCGAGCGCTCGGCTGGACGCTCTAAAGCCAGTCAAACGACCCAACATGTTCGAAAAATTGAAATTCGAAATTTTGATATTTAAAATATATTACCCTGTTTTATATAAAAAGGCCCATCTTTTTTTCCTTTGACTTTTTTTCATAGGACAAAAACCTTGGATATTAAATACAAAAAACTGAAAAAAATTTTTTCACGAATTTCATTAAATTTTTAAACTTAAATCGTCGTATCTTTGACAAATGTTAATGAAATCACTTGTCATTTCGTATACACACTTATTAGGGTACATAGAAGACGATAGCATAATTGTTGTGTTGTCCTTGAGCTGACCTTAAATGTAAACAAACGTTTTTAACTGTTCATTTTTCATTTTACGTGTCGTTTAAACTTATTCATTATGAGAAAATATATTTATATATTATATATATTTATAAATTATATTTATAAATTTCTTTCAAGCGACTGTAAATGATTCTTTCCGCGTGGCGTCTCGCTAGCGCGTTGCCACTTTTTGGAAAAACACTTATATTTTTAAAACTTATAAATGAATCGATTTGAAAATTACCAGAAAACTTCCTTATATTATGATAAACAAATGTCTCACTGGAAGTTTTAAAAATTTTAAAGTTCCCCACAGACTTTTTATGGAAAAAGGTTAGAAAACGCGATTACCGACTGTTCACTATTTATAATTAATTATTATTAAAAAATAAATAATTCTTTAATTTTTTATTATGCTATCGTCTTCTATGTACCCTAATAAGTGTGTATACGAAATGACAAGTGATTTCATTAACATTTGTCAAAGATACGACGATTTAAGTTTAAAAATTTAATGAAATTCGTGAAAAAATTTTTTTCAGTTTTTTGTATTTAATATCCAAGGTTTTTGTCCTATGAAAAAAAGTCAAAGGAAAAAAAGATATGGGCCTTTTTATATAAAACAGGGTAATATATTTTAAATATCAAAATTTCGAATTTCAATTTTTCGAACATGTTGGGTCGTTTGACTGGCTTTAGAGCGTCCAGCCGAGCGCTCGGCGAGTTGTTTCTCCTGGCTCCTCAATTGTACCATTTTTCTATATTATAAAAAAACAAAACAGTTTGTCGACAACTTTGGTCTTTTACAATTCACACTCCTTTTTATTCAACTAACACTTGAAAAATTTCAAATGATACTTTTGTCATTTTAAATTCTCCTTTTTCGTTTGTTTAGAAAAAAAACTGATTTTTTTTAAATAAAAAAAATATACAATACATATAGGTATATGTTGTATATTAATTTCAAAAAGACTGGAAATATTCCAAAAAATGTGTTTAAAAACAGATGTACCTAAATGAATTTTTTTTTATTTGAATTTACTCGATAATTTTGTTTTTAACTTATTTCATATACATATTAAAAGTTTGTCAGTGTTGTATTTCCTTTTTAATATAATTTTTTATTCTGTGTTGTGTATGCCATTTTTGACACTTGGATTTCAATGTGCTTTCATTGGTAGTATGTATGTATTTTAGGAAGTGATTGTTCGCCATTGCTGTTTTTATTACTGACATTTTTTATAAAGGATAATAAATTTTGAGAGTAATAGAGCAAAGGGAAGTAAAATTGTATTTTCATTTTAGATCTCAACCTACTCTGGATGATTCTTCAGGGAAAAGTGGCGCCAAATTCTACCAGTCGTATGACAAATTGTTCATTATCAAAACACTCACGAGTGAAGAGGTCGAAAGGATGCACTCCTTTTTGAAGCACTATCATCCAGTGAGAATTATCACTTATTAATGATGTTACATTATTTTACGTTTTCTTCAGTTTCTTTTAAAAATAAATACTTTTTAAAATAAACCTTAAAAATTGAAATGTACTTGAAAACATGATTGCAGTACATAGTGGAGCGACATGGAAAAACACTTTTACCACAGTATCTTGGAATGTATCGACTTACTGTTGATGGGGTGGAACATTATGTTGTTGCGATCAGAAACGTTTTTTCAAATCATCTGACCACCCACAAAAAATTTGATTTGAAAGGATCTACTGTAGATAGGGAAGCTTCTGACAAGGAGAAGGAGAAAGATCTTCCTACATACAAAGATAATGATTTTGTAAAAGAAGGAATGAAAATTTACATTGGCGAGGAGGCGAAAGAGAAACTCATAGAAACATTAACCGCTGATGTGGATGTAGGATAAAAGTTTAATTACTTGATAGCACAATTAAAAAACAATAAAATTGAGATAATAAATTTTGTTTTTCAATGTTTTAATTGCAGTTCTTAACGCGATTACATTTAATGGACTATTCCTTACTTCTTGGATTACACGATTGTGTACGAGCTGAACAAGAAAATCGAGAACGGGCTGAAAGGGAGGAAGATGAGGATAATCATGACGACGAGGACGACAGTGAATCTGGCAGTGGATTAGACTCTCGGGGTAACGCTGTCGGAGAGTAAGTAAATGAATCAACTTATTTAAAATGCAGATAATATTCTTATTTTTATTTCGCTTTTAGTCGCTTATGGGGCTGGGGTGGTATTATAGGAATGGCGACACCCCCAGAATCTCCTCACGCGGCCCTTATGCGTGAAACAAGCTTGCAGTATGAAGATGCAATAATCCCAGAACTAGATATTTATGCCATTCCAAGTAAAGAAGGCAAGTAAATTAAAATGTTATATTATTTTGCCATTTATTTCACAAAACAAGTTTCAATGTAATTTCTTTCTATGAAAATTTGCAGGTGCACCTACGAAAGAAATATATTTCCTTGCTATAATTGATGTCTTGACTCATTATGGTGTCCGTAAGCAGGCAGCGAAAGCTGCTAAAACTGTCAAATATGGCGCAAATGTTGATGGAATTTCTACCTGTGATCCTGAACAGTATGGAAAACGATTCATAGAATTTATGAGCAAAGCAATAGAATAAATAAATTTCGTGTTTTTAATATCAGAGACTCTTGACGTATAGGAAACAACGCAGTTCTACGTCCAGTTCGTTTCGTAGTCACTATAGAATGATATTTGGCAAGACTGGAAAATATATAGCAATTAGGCAGATTACAACTTTTTTCGGTCTGCCCGATTCTAAATAATTCACGACACTTTCTTCGAGACCCAATACTAGTCAAAATCACTTCTCCCAAAAACAAAAAAAAACTTTATTCAAATTAACACTGCAAAACAATTCTGTCGACGAAATCAAACGCTCTTTAAAAACTAATACGTTCAAAACTAAACAAGTTCTTCGAAATGGAACATTTCACTTTTAAACACAAAACACTTGGAATAGCGATGAAACTAGAAAACTATTCTAGTGGGTTCCAACATAGTTTTAAATGAATGAATTTATTGATGTTGTGTATTTGTAGTGCTTTCAGAAAGACTACTTGTAAATCTTATTAAAAACTGAATCAAACACAACATCTCTTTTTAAAAAAAATTATATTTGGATTGTTTTGTCGAATTATTCTCCGAATTTTTTAAATTTGCTTTAAAAAGAATGAAATGATCGAATGTCAAGTACTCGCATATCTCAAACAGAAAGCATGGCTTTAAATAAGTAAAAAATTTCGGTGAATAATTGTAAGAAAAAAATGAAATATTTGAAAGGGGTTTTCGAGTTATAATTCTTTGGAAAAATTTTTTGCTTTCCTATTTTTTTTAAGGATAACTGTTATTTTTATCTGGAAAGCGTAAATTAGGAGAAAGAGGTAGATATTGCTTGCTAAAATATTTAGCGAGTGTTTTAGAATTGTGAATTCTGTCCGGTTAAAAAAAGCTCAATGAGAGACTGGTTTTGCCAATAACAATCTTTTGAAAAGCGAACTTTTCTGCTGGTTCCAGAAATGCCAGCGGCACTTGATTATTAATCACATTTTTCGATTAATCAAAAGCAATTGTACTACAATTGATAATTATTAGTTTTACCTATGAAAGGTACTCGTCTAGTCTCGATTCAAATACTTTGTATGATTTTCTATGTTGCCAATGTATTGAATAAACTCGAAGCGAAAAAGAAATATCACTTGTCAATAGCAGTGTATTATAATTGTATGGTTTTTATTTTAATTAAAGTGAAAATGCGCTCAACAAAATGGTCTTTTTAATTCATCAAAGTGAATTTATTTAGTTTTTACTTTTTCCTTAATTTAAGAAAAATTTATAATTAAATATTTTCTAGAGTTAATTAATATCGACTTTCCTTGCGGAAGTTAAGATCCTATTCTTCTTGACTTGATTAAAAAAATATAAAAAATTTTAAAAAACGATTGAACAAATCGTTGAGAAATTCATCAGTACTAAAGCTGGTTAATAAATAAGTTTACACCCGTGGTTTCTTAGAATTAGACTCAATAGTAAAGCACTGTTCGGAATTAGATTGAGTATTTGTCTGAGAAGACGTTGGAGGTACACTGCGTTTCCTGTTGCCCGTTGGAGACATTTGCTTTAGACATTCAACATCGTTGAAAACTACTTGAGCTCCTCCACCACTTGTTGGAACAATGTCCCCCTAAAGAAGGAAATTTCACATTGAATTAAAAAAATTTCGTCTATGATTTCAATAATTGTATTTAAATTTAAAAACCCTAAAAGTATTTCAAGAAAAAATACATACTTTGTAGAGCTTAGTTTCAAGTTCTCCTTCAGAATCATGATTTTGAGCGATAAGACAATATTTAGAGGCGCCTTCTGTTATTTCTTTAGGACTCGTTAGTTTTGTTATACTTCTTCTTCTCCGCATTAGAGGCTGAAGAACCGTGTCGACAGGAACTAAAGCTCCAGGTCGGTGATCCACCCACCTGTCTGCACTCTGAGATCTTCGATATCTTGGATTTGCAACTGGATATTTATCCTATCAAGAAATTACAGAAACATATTATTTTAATAAAAATATAATTAAGCAAGAAACTATGCGTTCTCTCAGAGAAAAAAAATGAAATGTAGTTAAAAATTAATCTATTCCTTTTGAATCAAGGAATTATGTCTTTTGTCGTTATCACTATAAAGTTTCCTTTACGAGGAAGAAAAATTAATAAATTCATATTAAGTTTCATCACGTACTCTTCTTGATCGAACGTCTTTTCCACCGGGAGTTTTTATAGATAAAACATCTCCTGCTTCACTTGGGAGAACTGGAATTATATCTTTTTGTTCACTTCTGGCTGAACTCAATCCATTATCGTCAACTAAAATTTTCGTCACAAGTCGTAATTTATCTTCTTTTTCTTTCATTTGATTCTATGAACAAACGTTTAATAAATTTGAGTACTTCTTAAAAGAAATCTTTCTGTTTTTACTAAATATTTAATATTATTTAATTATTTATTTTGAATATTCAACTCACTTGAAGATGCTCGCGCTGTGCTCGTAACTTTATTTCTAGTTCTCTAGTCATATGATCCTTCTCTTGCTGAAATTTCGTGTTGTATTTTTGTTTTACTCTCTGTTTATCAATGATTCGTTGATTAAGCGCCATATCTCTGTCTCTCAACTGCGAAAAATAATCTCGAATTAATTAATTATCTTGAAAACAATAGTAATTAAAAAGCTTATAGTTCTTTATTTAATTATTTTTTATTACAAAAAATGAAAATCTTACCTCCTGTTGTAAACCTCTAATCGTATCATTGGCGTTGTTCAATTTACGAAGTAAACTATCAATCTGCGTTTCTGTTTTACACAAATGTCCTTCCAGAGCAGAAACCTAAAGACAATAATTCGTAAATTTTAGAATAATTCAAAACTATTGTCTAGTTTTAATATTTGAATACCCGGATCAAATAAGTCGACCGACGCTCGGACGAACGCTCTATTACCAGTCAAGTAGCAGTGACAGCCTGTGGGCGGCTTACTGCTACCCGACTACCATTAGAGCGTGCGTCCGAGCGTCGGTCGAGTTATTTGATCCGGGTATTCATTTATAGAAATACCTTTTTCTTTTGCTGTGCATGAGAGGCTTTTATAGACGCGTTATCCACTTTTAAACTCATATTTTCTTGTTCCATTGATAACAGAAGTTTCCTGAAGTCAGTTTCTAAAAACGAAAACAAAATAAATATTGCTAAATTACATCAATTGGTTAATTTATATGTTGTAAATACATAATAAATAACATATTGAAAAAAGACTAATAAACAGTTACATTTTTTTAATTACTTTTTCGGTTTTTTATGATAATGTGTGTAAAATTTTGTTTTATTAAAGTTGCCTGATGATATGAAGTGTTATCATCTTTCAAAATCGAAAAAATAATTCCATTTAGTTAATAGATATATATTAAATAAATAAAGATTTACGTTTTTGTTGAAGATCTGCACGAAGTATATTTCGCTTATTAATTCTCTGCTCCAGAAAGTGCATTAAGCCTGTGATAATTTGATCATTATGAGGATTATTAACTTCCAATTCCGGGAAAGAACCTCCAAGACTATTAAAAAAAAGCAAAAAAGAAATTAATGAAATTAACAGAATTATAATGTAACAATATTTTGTTAAAAATACAACTTTCGAGAAACAAACCTGTAAACAAGACCTAAGTCAACTTCCAAATCAGCTGCTTCTGCTTTTCCTTCCTTCTCTAACCGACTGCGCGCTTCTTTAAATAACTAAAAAGAATATTCAACTTTTAAATTCATACATAAGTATAATGAATACTTATTTTATAAATAGAATTAAATAAAGACAAATCCTTGAAAATAAGTTTTAATGCAAGAATAGTTACTTTATTTGCTTGGCGTCTGCCAGGTGTAAAGCCTAAATCAAATTTCGTAACTTGCGCTCTTGCAACTTGAACTTCCTGAGTTATTTCCGCAAACTTCATCACTTGCTGTAAGTAGATAAAAAATAAATTAGTTGTCGAAATTCGTAGGATATTTGAATTTTTTAAAAAAAAAATGTAACAATTCTTACTATTGTCTCGTCATAATCGTCTGCTCTTGGACTAACACACACTATCATTCTGACTTGCCCTTCTCCATCAAAGTAATTTTTAAAAAGGTGCGTCAGTTTTGAATCACGATATGGTACCATTTTACTTGTACTTTGTGTCTGATTTTCTCGTAAAATCTCTAAACATGATCTTAGAGTCATCAGGGAATTATTAATGTTTCCTGAAAGAAAACATGAGTTGACTATTGTGATGGAAATTTATTCTAGAATTTTAAATGAACAAATTATTATTGACAAACCTGCTTCTCGTAAACGTTGTCCTGTATTTTTTGTGCGATTCGTTCGCTCACTTCCAGCTAAATCTACTAATGACAACTGACTTATACAAACAACGCGCTTGTCTTGAATCGCTTGCTCGCCTTCACAATCCAAAGGAGCCTTAGAGACAGAAATTAATTAACAATTATAATTGAATTTAGATCAACTGTTTGGATTTATTCAGAGTAAAAGATGGTGAATTTCAAATTAATTTGAGAATTTTTGCTTTCAATAAGGAATATTACCTGCACAAGTCTAATAGTGAAGACACTGTGAGATCTGCTTGACTCGGCATTAAGTGCGGTGTGAGCGACTCGCCGCCTTCGTTGTCCCCTTTGAAAAACTTCGAAAGCTTCTTCTGTACTTTTTACTTCAACTTCAGTCACAGCATGAACATACATGTTTTTATTGCCATCTTCTCGGACGATTTTACTTTGTAGAGTTCTAGCATTTTAAAAATACAATTCATTTTTTAATATTTCGATTGTCTTGACAATTTCAGATAAAATGTATTCAAAAATGTTTAAATTAGAAATATAAGTTAGGTATACTTACTTTGCTCTAACTTCATCTTCTTCCAATAGATCGTATACGCTATTATTGTAAATTTCCACATATGTAACGAAAACCGAGTAAACGTTATCAGGATCCACCTGTATTATTTGAGATTCTTCAGCGGATCGAAAAATCATTGGATTACTGTCACTATCACTATCGGCTTTACGTCTGAAATATTTTAATAAATGGATTAAGTTCATGAAATTATATTTTCTTTACCTTTTTTCTCTTAAGATATTTTTTAAAGAAAAAAAATTAATGAAAGGAGAATATAAAAATGTTATCAATCAAGATACCAACGTTTTAATCTTCCCATTTCGTGGAGTCGTCAATCCCGCGTGCAGTTCATTTTGCCTGTCCAGCATGGCATCAGTTTCGCTTTGTACGTCAAATCCGTTGAGTTTGTCAGGTTTAAAAACGAATTTTTTTGCCTGATAATTAGCAATACTATTGAAAATAACATCCAAAGATCGAGGCATTATTCCACTTTCTTGTGGTTCTCCTGTCATTGTGTAAGTCTTCCCGCTTCCAGTAACTCCGTACGTAAAGAGTAAACTATTTCTGCCTTGAATTAGATTTTCGACAAGAGGAAGGGCAACTATATTAAAGACTTCTCGCTGAGGTACATCGGAATGAAAGACACGGGTAAAGGTTGTTTGTATTTCTTTGCAAGTTGTCGAGCGAAAGTTTGTCGCTGACTCTGGAGGAGTAATTACTATTGTTGATTCTGAAATGGCTTTCATGCAAGATATGTCTGTTGGAAATTGCATTGGACGCAAACGACAATAAACTTGCACAGGATCTTTGCATTGCATGTTGTTATTGTTGTTGAACCGGGTTCGACTGATTGGCTTTCGAGCCGATGTCGGTGGTTTAGAGCGCCTAAAACATTCATTTTAGTTTTAAAAATACGAACCAAAGAAATTTCATTTTTTTTATATTTTTAAAAATAATAAATTATTTTCGATACACAATTTTTGCCTAAAAAACTTTTTCAAATTTTTATTTGACAATAATTTTTTAAATAAAAAATTTTTTGTTTTAAATACTTGATCATAAACATTTAGAACTTTATCACCGAATATTATTCACAATTATTATATAAAAAAATTTACATGTTAAATCTCTAAAATAGAAAATTACTTTACATTAATAATGATTAAAAAATTAAAATTAAAAAATAGAACATTGTTTTAATGTCTAAAAATGTTTAAAAAAAAATAAATAAACTGACACTTATGATATACATCAAGTTAAAATAAAATTATATCTAAAGAATTGTTAAAATTATGAAAAGAAAATTAAAGAGTATGATAAAGCAAAGAAAAAGTAAATAGTAATAAAATTCTGGCTTTCCGAACTTTTTTTAAACGAAATACTCATATTTGCTTATATTTCATTAACTGTCATATAGCATTTTTAAAGGTTAAGTGACATAAAAGTAATATTTTCCCTGTGTACTTACGCGGATTTCATTTTTTCTAATTTTACTCCTTGCAAATACAAAGAAATATTTTAGTCACCCCTATATTGTTTATTAATTTAAAATATATTGTTCACTCTTTTAAGTATTACTCCATTATCCGGATGTATAAAAGTCGTTACACGTAAACAAACGGCTTCAAATTTTTAAAATGTGAGGAGTAGCCCTATAAACAGGTATGGGTAACTATAGTACTGGAATTCGTACGGTGTCAAGCTACTTCTACAACAACTTTCTTTTTCATATATGTGCATCAACGACTTATAACGTTGTAACTACACCATAAGTGCAAAAATGACAAACAAACGTCCTTTTCTAACACACGTGTTTTCATGGCAACACGTGCGTTAGAAAAGAACAGAAAAGGAAAAGCAGCACATTTGTTAGCACACTGTTCATTTCATGGATTAATTTATTATTAATAGCAAATTAAATTAACTTTATCACAAATGTTTTTCACAATATTTTATTCAATAACTTATGTTTTTTCATATTCTACAACATTATATCTTTCAATAATAGATATTTAAATCATCCCGCCAAGAAAACAATTTTCTAACATGGTTTCCAAGTTAAGGTGCTTTTATACCTCCAGTATTTTGATCGAGCAATTGGGATCTGAAATACTGCGATACGCCATCTGGTGAGAGCCTTGTTGTGGTGGCCATGTTTTCATTCCGTGTTTCTCTAACATATACAAAAGAAAGAGATAAAAAACCAAGATGGTTGTCACAAGAAGGCTCAGGGGTGGGTCAGTTTCGCGTGATTTCTGATCCCAATCGGCTGGATTAGATGTTCACGGTAGTATCACTGAATTTGATTGGCTCTGACAAATATTACTTTTTCACCGTGAAAATTGAATTTTGTTAGAGCCAATCAAATTCAGTGATTCTTCGTGAAAATTCTATCCAGCCGATTGCTTGACCAAAATACTGGAGGTATAAAAGCACCTTAACTTGGCCTTTACACCTATTGTAGAGCCTCCATGAAGGTGGTTCCAGAATAGGTGCAAAAACCAAGTGCTAGTGCTAATGGCCGTTTCCGAAATGGGATTTTTAGCTTACTTTTGATAAAGTGTATACTCGGGAAGTATATAGTGCCCTTGTTTTTCCGTGTGAAAAAAAAGGACACTGCATACTTCCCAAGTATAAGACCAACACACAATGAGTCGCGAACGAGATGCATGAGATAGAAAAGGATACGAATATAGCTCTGTCCTTTTCTAACTCATGTTTCACGTTAGCGAACGTCTTTCGCGAAGCTATTAAGGTACGGTCACACGACTTTTGGAAAAACCATTATTGTCTTTCTCTCTCCTAAGACAGAGGCATAAGATTGTCTCACTCTGCATTTTCTTACATTTCCCAAAGACGGAAAATGCAGAGTGAGACAAACTTATGCGTCTGTAATAGGAGAGAGAAAGACTAGAATGGTTTTTCCAAAAGTCCTGTGACCGTACTCTTATTCTGCTTAGGCCTATATACTTTATCAAAAGTTGCCGCAAAGTGCAGGAGTAAGAGAGAGATAGTAAATTCAAATTTTCTCTCTCTCTCTCTCTCTTACTCCTACACGTTGCCATGACAACTACTGCAGGCAGGCAGGAAACCACCGAGGTGTGAGTGTGCCATTTTTAAACTAAATACCTTTAATAACAATAAGAATTAAATAATATTACTAATATACGGGGCATTCCACGTAAGATTTTCATTAAAAAAAAGTTTTTTTTTGACTTGAACATTTTCTTCAAAATCTTCACATGAAAAATAATAAAATACGTTTTTATTTTTTTCTTTGATAAAAATTATGGAAGCTATGATATTTTAAAGTTTAAAGTCGTCAGAAGCAGAGTACTTTTGAAATGCGTTTATCTCTGTCGATTCTGTTAATAGATAAAAAATAATATACATATATGAAATTTGTTGTATTTTTCTTCAATATTTTAAATATGAAGTAAAAAAAATAACATAACTACTGCAGAAGCATCTTAAAAATTGAAATTAAATCTGAAAAGTTACTTATCTTAAAAACGAAGTGGTCTATTTTTAATTTTTTAAATTGCAAAGATTTACCAGATGTATTTCTGAAAATAGAATATAAACAAATTGTAATGATAAAAGGAAAAGGTTATACATTTGAATATGAGTATTTTTAAAAAACTGTAAATAGTATTTTAATTGCAAAAATTACCACTTTTGTATAAAAGGGGAAAAAATCCTTATTTTTCAGAGAATAAATTTTAAAAAAACTCAAAAATCAATCACTTCGGTTTTGAGAAAAGTCACTTTGTAGACTTAATTTCAATTTTTTAGATGCTTCCGCAGTAGTTACGTTATTTCTTACTTCATATTTAAAATATTGAAGAAATATCCAACAAATGAGGGGCTGATAGTAAAAATGGTTTAAAATAACATTGGGAGCAAAAGTGGGATAAGTGACTTGGGAGCAAAAACGGGTTAAAATGATTCGTGTAATTTATTGATAAATTCATTATATTATCGATTAAAAAATATTAATTATAATAAAATATGCATTTTTTCCTATTGTTAATATTTTTTAATCGATAATATAATGAATTTATCAATAAATTAAACGAATCATTTTAACCCGTTTTTGCTCCCAAGTCACTTATCCCACTTTTGCTCCCAATGTTATTTTAAACCATTTTTACTATCAGCCCCTCAAATTTTATATATATTTTTTATCTGCAGCAGGACAGAAAAAAAGCATTTAAAAAGTAGTCTGCTTCTGACGACGTTAAACTTTAAAAAATCAACTTAAATAATTTTTATCAAATAAAAAAATAAATACACTATTTTCTTATTTTTCATGAAGATTTTTAAGAAAAATGTTCAAGTCAAAAATACTTTTTTTAATGAAAATCTCACGTGGAATGCCTAATATAAGCAAATATAAAATTATATTAAATCATTTTCATCAAAAAGAAAATTGTTATATAAAAATAAAATAAACTATTTTCATCAATAAGGAATAGAAGAACATGTAAGTCATTTTAAAAAGAGAAATCAATTGTTATTGAATTTTATATTAATAATTGCAAAAAGCGATAAAAAAGACGCCTTATCGCACGATACCTATATCTTAATGATTTTTTTTACATTATATAATACAGTCACAGACAAATTCATTCATACATTCGATACTTACAATACAGTTCATTCATTCTCATTAATGTTTTCTGTACATGCAGGTTTTCTGAGCTCTACCAATTTGACATTCATATAATACAATGGAGCTTCTTGAAATTAATAAATGACAAAGAAATCTGAGATATCTGTAATAAAATGAACCTATATTATGTGAATTAAAATCGTATGTAAAATACTCAGTGTTAACAACTATAATAGTTAGTTGTTAATATTGAATTTAAGTAAAATTTGCAACTAGTAAGCAGAAAGTAATAAAATCAGTTAAATTGTGTAATTAAGACAATTTTAATTTTAAGTAGGCAATACTAAATTTAATGGTTCGCTTTTATTCAGTCCCATGTCGAAAGATTCTACTTTAAGCAAATGTTGTTCTATCAATTAGTTTCGATAATTTAAAATCAGTGACAGCTTTTGTTTTTCTTGAAAAGAAAATAATAAATATATTTCATAGGTGATATTTGCTTAGCAGCAGAATCTGTGAGAAATAAAAAAATAGTTTGGAAGTGATTGTCTGAATAAAATATTAAAGTGTCTTACATACCTCATATTGTTTACTCTTTGTTTCATTACCTAAAGAGAAAATAGGTAAAATTGAAATCCAGCAGAGCTACACTATAAATTTCATATATAGTTAGTTACCCATAGAAATTTCAGTATAAATCATTTGAATTAAATAGAGTAAATGGTAAACAATATGGTATTAGTCCTTTTGCAATTATTGCACTTCTGGCACGAAAATATTTCGTTTAAAGAACCAGAAATGTATTAACTTTAATGTTTGTGACGTTCAACATTTTTGTGATTGCAATTTAACTTTTCCAGTTAATTTTTCTTGTTTTCAACGATATAGCCGTGCAAAATTCCTTAAAGAATGAGTTACTGTCTTTGGATTTTCTACCCTGTAAAAATGAATTTATTTTTAGAATAATTTTCCTAAGAAAAAAGCAAAAAAAAAAAAAAACACACCTTGTTACAGTATTAACGAATTCCATGAGTTGCTCTGGTGTCGCTGTTGGTGAACCTCCAGCATTTTGAGCGGGCATTGATTTTATTGCTTCTTCTAACCAAGTTGATACCGTCTAAAAGAATGAAATGATGTTATAATCTTTGTAGGTAGGCTAAAATCGGGCATAAATTACCTCTCTGCTTGTCAGTGCAAGTTCAACGAAAACATCTGCTAAATCCGATAACATGTATGTCGAGAGTGAAAATACAGCTGCATGCAGAAGTCTTGCTACTAATGTTTGACCCTTCTCTCGCACAATTTCTTGAACCAATTGGCGTCTTATCGTAAAATCTGAACGATTCTGGAAATATAATTGAAATTATCATTTAATAATCCATTCACATCGAGATAAGTTGAAATAAAGATTTTTTAACAATACCTCAATATTACGACCACTATGAAGAAGATCATAGAAAAATTTCATAACTGAAGCATTTGCATCTCGGTGATCGAGACTACAAGCAACTAAAGCGCAATCAACAATACTACCAATTGTTGCCGAGTTTAAAAATGGTACCGGTGCTTTTCGTAAAAATCTGTAGAATACATAAAACACATTTTAATTAAAATATTGTCTCTGATTAAAATTTTAAAAATTTGACATTATTTGACGCAAAAATTTACTTGATGTATATTGTCAATTATAAATACTTGCCTTGCACATAAACGAAAGAGGTCATCAACAGTGTCAGGGTGATTTTTAAGCCCATCTGGTTCTTGAAGAATTGTGAACGTTGGCTCAATAAAAGCTTCCAACATACTCAAAAGTCCCGACACAGCATCAATTTCAGATGCGTACTCGTCTACGAGTATAGATCCCAAATAAAGAAAGCAACTGTGTTGATATACTGCATATAATTGGACAATCTAAAGTAACAAATTAGCACAAGTTTTGTTTTTTGCTTTATCCTATAGTGGAAAAAGTATTTTTTTTTAAATAAAACAAAGAAAATTAACCTGTTTCACTAACGGTTCCAGAAGATGGGCCGAATATTTTCCTACACAACGTACAGCATACCGTAAGCAGCGACAACACCTTTCCATAATTCTGAAATCATGCTGATAAGTCGAGCAAACATTTGATAATACTGGCCACATCTGGAAATTAAGAAGAAATTTTCATTAATTTTTTAAATATGTATTACTTCTTCTGTTAATATTTTTTGCAAGCTTCTCACTTCAGTGATGGCTCCTTGACAAGGATGTGATTCATTAGTATCATCAACTTGAGGACTCGTGTTTTTAAATATAGCCGCTAATCGGTCAAGCCAAGTGACTGGATCAGTCTTTGTACCTCTGTCCACAGGAATTGCTCTATTCTCCATAAGTTCGCACAATGGCCTTGCTTGAAACCAGCATAATTCCTTCATAGAACGGTCTATTTCTTCTTGGGGTAATCTTGAAAGTATTTTTGCCACTCCTAATAATACAAAGCGTTCATCATTTCTGTTAAACATTCAGTAAAACAATAAAAGCACATACCTTTCAAAAGACCTATAGAAGCTTCGTTGCTAATGGCGAAACCATCTAGTGAACGAGCAATTTGTAAAAGTCCAGGGAAATGTGAAGCCATGTGAGCTGGACAGGCTGAACATATACTTTGCAATGCACCTGAGGCAGCACCGCCTAGTCCCCTTTGACTTAAACTGGCCAAGAGAAAATTCAATATTGGTTCTGTAAGAATGCGTTGATTTTAACTTTTTTATGAGTCCTGATCTTTTACACTACATTTTAGAGATAAAGTTCCTACCTAGCGACTGAGGATGACTATCAATCCATTCACAAAGCTCTCCAAGTAAAAGTATACTTGTATGTCGCACTGCAATATGCGTATTCTCCGGCAAGTGCAGAATAGCCTCTACCACCTTTGGAACCACTTCATTCTCCTCTCTAAAATGCGAACTTTAGCTATGAATTAATGCGCCGGCAAAAAAAAGTATGACTCAAACTCAAATTACAGAAATGACTAAACATTTGAAAAATAATGTACAAGTACTTACGGTAAAATGTTTTTAGCAACTGCTTGCATGACAAAGAGAGCAGCTTCCGTTGAATCCCAAGTTGGAGTCGGTTGATTTTGGTCTCCGGCTCCTCCAGTTAAAGTGAAAAACATTTGACGAAAACAATGGCTACTTCCAACAACGAACACAACATCTTTTATTAATTCAGATACACGTATTCGAAAATCAGCAAACTCTTCTCCGCCGCTAATATCTTCCACAAGACCAAGCTGTTAAATGTTCAACAGTGTCATTCTTTTTTCCCTTAGCTGATTCTATTGATTAAATAATTCTGGAAATGAAGCTAACTTACGTGATCAGGCTCCATTTGACAATGCTTGCAAAGAGCTCTGATAAGTCTCTCAATATAAGGCCTAAAAACTGCATTCAAATCATCGTTATTTCTCTGGTACAGGACTTCTGATAATCGATACCAAAGATTAAAAGTTATTTGGGCCACCTAAAATGGTTTTATTATTTGCTAATTACAATAAAATAAATAGACGACAAGCTAAAATAATTCTAAGGTTAATTAATGTCCCAGTTTGTAACTCTATGCTCGTTACAAATAGGCACATTTACCGTACTTTCAAATACATTCATTTTCAGTAATTATAATTACGATGTACCTCATAATCATGATGACCAACACATGTCAGTACAAAATCTAATATTTTAATGGCATAGTGCTGTCTTTCACCACTACAACCAGTAACAATCGTTTCTAAAAAAGTTTCGGCCAGTTCAGTAAAGATTCGACAATAATTAATAGATTTTTCCAAATATTCATGAGCCACAGACAAGTGGAAGGGTTGCTCTAATCCCATGACACTTGTAAAGAGGCACAATTGTAATTGTTGTAACTGAATACTATTATTTTGTCCACTTCTGGTATTACTATTTTCCTCTAATGCTAGCAATATAACACAAATACAATCAGTGGCTGCTTCATGCAATTGCGATCCTGTCTCATAATTGCCTAACATCTGTAAAAGAATTAAAAAAATTATCGTTTCAAGTTCAAAATTAAATATTAAACTTATTCAAAATAATTAACTCACTTGAAATGCATAAGCTACCACCTCACTCACAGGTACAGATTCTAAAGATATCGCATGGACTGTAATCCAACTTGTAAAACATCTTAAAACTCGTATGTGGATTTGAATATTTTCACTACCACTGTTAAGACAAACTTTCTGAAAATTGTTTAATACACATCAAATACTTAACATATATTAAACAATCAATATTCTCATTCTTAATTAAATCGTAATCAATTTATAAAAACGTTATCTCTAAAGTAAATGTATTTTTAAAAAAATCTCCAAATAAATTCTAGAATATTAATTAATTTCCAAATTTACCAAAAATTCCGATACAGCTTCACCAATCGCAGTGAGTTCTGAAAGGACTTGTTGTCGTCGGTTAGAGCCTAGTCTGAAACGAAAAATATTATAACGGCAACAATAAATCACATACTTATGTGTTTATAAAGTATTTACCTAAGACTCCTGGAATTAACTTCTTCTGGAAGGACAGTCATTATTTCTAATAAAGGCCACCAACTTGTAGCGTTTCCACCGTACCTATTTATTAAATCTATAACCGGTGATTGCCAACTTGGCATTTGGAGAGCCAAATCTGCCAAAGCTAAACATAACTGAAAAGAATAAATTAAAAAATTGAATAATCATCAAAAATATTATTCTAGATAAATTTAAATAATGATAATTGATAATTACTTGAGTAACTATAGCTGTATTAGTATTTTCGTTAATTTGTGATAAATGCTCCATTAAAGAATCCCTTAAAGAAGAATGAGCATCTACAGGCAATTCATGAAATGATAATTGAATTTTTGAACGCATTGTTTGCGCTGCAAAGTAACAAGAGATTAAGTCTCGTTTTTGTTGCAACATTTGATCTGCTATTTTCCAAGCATACACCTAAAAATATACAAAATTTTAAAAATTCTTTTCATTAAACAAATAAAGATTTTTAACAATTTATTTAACGAATTTTAATTTTATATGTAAATTAATCATTAAACATATATTATAATAAATTGTATGAAAAATAATTATTATTTATTTAACAAAATGCTCAATTCTAAACATTGTGAGATATGAATTTAACCTCTTTACTCGGCCTTATAAATTAACGAATCCATCAAGTCCATAAGTCTTAAAAAATATACTCGAAGGATATACGAAAACACTTTGCTTTAAATAACTACCTTTTTATCCAATCAATATAAGAGAATTTCAAATTTGTTTCATGATTTCAATTGTATTTGTACTTCAATTTTTTACATATTGAGATAATAGTTAATAAAATTCTTGGAGGATATTCTAAAAGTAGCTAAATATTTTGATTTTGTTTATAGTTTTAATAAAGCATTACATTCTCCGATAATTTAAGTGTTTTTTTTTAAATTTTATATATTAATGAATAAAAAGACTTGAATTTATTTTACATAATAATGTAAAAATGAAAAAAAAGAATAATATTGGAATATTCTATATTATCGAGAAAATCAACATTTGACCCAAGAATTTCGATACATGACAGTTTGGAGTATGGAACAAGTATAGGTTAGGTTTTAAAATAATAATATTCACATTATGAAAGCTACAAATGTTTTCTTGAATGTTGCTTTAAAAAGTGTATGTAGTATATGAAAAATAAATAAACAACTTACAGATTTTTGTAGTTCGTCGAGCCATGATAACGAAGTTTTCTGTTGCTCTGTACTATTTGGCTGATTGTGGGAAGAATATATTGCCTGGTAAACAGTTTCTAGCGCGGGCGGGGTATCCATCTTTTATAAATTATTGACGATTAAACTTGTTGTCATACAGGCAGAAATATATCAAGAAATTAAACTTATTGCAATAAACTGCTTAACTTATTAAGTAGTAGTAGGCCATAATCGCCATAATGCACTGAAGTAGATTCCGGCTCTCTGATTGGTTATATGATGCATTTGAACTTAAACCGGAAATTAGAATGTTTCTCTACTTTTTTAATTTTATGACACTCTTTTGTCCTTTTCTAACGCATATGTTGCCATGACAACATGTGTGTTAAAAAAGGATGAAATAGTGTAGGCATATCTGGCCACGAGTGGTCATTGATGCCTTCCCTTTTTCTGTCCTTGTCTTAAACAAGTGTTGTCATGGCAACATATGCGTTAGAACAGGACAAAATATTATTGGCATAACTGGCCACGAGTCACAGCTCTGTTGCCCGCACAGGCAGTAGATGGAGCAAAGGCGCTTGTATACCTCACCGATCCCGAGTATACTTCCGTCGTGTACCATTGGAGTAAAAGAGACAAAAGATATTTCCATCTCTTTTACTCCAATGGTACACGACGCAAGTATACTTAGGATCGGTGAGGTATACAAGCGTTTTAAGAGAGTAAAAAGTTCAAATGTCAATTTTCTGAGCCCTTTTGCGAATTGGGATTTTTGACGCATACTTAATAAAGTGTACACTATGGAAGTATTCAGTGTCCTTGTTTTACCGTGCGAAAAAAAGGACACTACATATTTCCCAAGTACACACTTTATCAAAAATGTGCTAAAAATCCCAATTCGGAAACGACCTGACTCTCTGACTCTTGTACGTTACCATGACAACCTGTAGGCAGACCACGAGACAGGCTTTAGACTTCTTAAGGCCTTTCTTCAATAGCATCCTTTTCGAAAAAGACCTTTATGTGTGACTGACAAATATTTCATTTCCACTGTGAAAATTGAATATTTTTAGAGCCAATCAAATTCAATCCAGTCGATTGATTGACCAAAATACTGGAGGTATAAAAGCACCTTAGGGTACGGTCACACCTCGGTAGATAGCGAGGCTACTTGTCTATCATGTAATATAACGTATAAGAGTGAGAGAAATAAAAAATGTTCTTATTTCTCTCACTCTTATACGTTATATTACATGATAGACAGGTAGCCTCGTTATCTACCGAGGTGTGACCGTGCCCTTAATTTTGGATCGTGTTTTGGACTATTGAAAATAGTGGCGCGCGCAACGCGTCAACACGGACCAACAAAAAAAAGTTGTAGAAGCAGCTTTATAGTGTTGTTTACTTTTATAAATAGATGAAAAATTGTGAAAAATTTCTCAATTTTCTCGTCAATTTGAAATATTAATCAAAATGAAGTTAAGATTATAAAAAAGAATTGAAACAATTGTTTACAATATGGCTGAGTACAATATTCCTATAATTGAACCTACAATTGATTACACAAAGGTTAAATATTTTTTATTTCCGTAAAATATCTAAAGTAGTTTACATTTGTTAAAATATAATTTAGTTTTGTAACTTTTATTGAATTAGAATAATTTTGAAACCATCTTAAAATTCAAAAATATTTTTATTGTAGGTTCCACCCATCAATCAAAAAAGAACGATAACATTTATTAATCACTTTGTAGCGCATACAGTCACTTTTTTGAATAAATTTACTTTAACGTGTGAAGAAAAGCTTTTTGAATTTGAAAATAAACTGCAAAGGGTACAAGCTTCGCTAGAAATTCTGGAGTCCCGGGTGATTAGCATTTTTACTAAATTGATAATTAACAATTAATTGATTTTAAATATGAAAATTGACTATTTTTAAATAAATTTAGTTATCTTCGGTACCAGGACTTGTTGACAAAACACAAACCGCAGAAGAAATTCAAAAACAAGAAGTCGTAAATCAAAAAGATACACCTCATAATCAAGTATCTGAAGAAAAGGAAAATCCAATTAAACCTCCGACATTGAGTGTCGATTCAAAGTACTAAAAATGTTGCAAGTTGGAATTCCTAAACCAGCAGTTAAAATAAAAATGGAACTAGAAGGTTTAGATTCATCCGTATTAGAGTAAGTTTCATAATGTATTCAATAATTCAAAATTATTTGCTTTCAATTTCACAATTTGTTTAAAATACACATTATTTTTTTAGTTCTCAATCGTAACCATTATTCCCAAAGAATAAATTTGATATAGATGACGTTTTTAATGGAAAAAGTTAACAGTGATAATGAATTTACTTATTAAAAATGTATACGCTGCCAAGGATTATTTAAATAATACAAATCATTAGTAAAAATCAAAAGATTTTTATTTTTTATAATTACAGTTAGAATAAAGATGAGAAACGGCTTAAAATTGGATCATTTGTCCCTGAAACAAAAATTTTATAATATTAAATTAAAAAACTTTAAATATTTAGAATATCTGATTTCGTTGAATTAGCTGGAATTATTTATTAACTTGATTGATAAAAAAACATTTACTTTTAAATATTAAAATAAAATTTTTAATATTAAAACGTGTAGGTATATTCTTTTTTTAATGTGATTCTTTTAAAATTTATTGACAGTGGTTATTGTTCAATTCAAGGTTATGTTAAGATGCATTTTAAATATCTTTAAATTAAAAATTTAACTATTTTATAATCGTACAATTTAAAATAAAATGTTATCAACGTAATTAAAATACTTATAACGTACCTTTCTCTTTTTATCACCACCCAGCTCGAAATGTTTGCAACGTTTTAAAGGTATTTGTTTCCTGTACTTGCACTCTGTGCATTCCATCCTTAAAACAATTTTTTTCGTGGTCTTAGCCTGAAATTAAAAACATAAATATTTTTAATAAATTTAGATTTTTTTTAGTTATTAAGCAACAAAATTTAAATTTCACAAACAAAATATTAAATTAAAACAAAATTAATCTACAGTAGTTAAATACAGAAATTCTAAAAGCAAGATTTTTATTTCTAATAAATTATTTAAAAACAAATTTGATAATGAAAATAAAATAATATGAAATAATATTGAATTTTTTTGTACCTTCTTTCTGAAAATGGGTTTTGTTTGTCCTCCAAAACCTTGTTGCTTACGGTCGTAACGTCTTCTACCCTGGGCAGCATGCCTTTCTTTACTTTTTTTATATTGAGTAACTTTGTGCGGTTTATGCACTTTGCACTTTTTACAAAAAGTGCGTCTTTGCTTTGGCACGTTCACCTATAACCCAAAATTACTAACTTGTAAATATAGTAACGAAAGTGAAATTTTTTCCAATTACCATAATATTAATTCTTCAACACTTTTAATTAAAATAATACAAAACAATTATTTACAAGTAAAAAATAATACTAAATTTATACCATTGTCGCCTATTTGTATTTTATAAATGCTTTTAACTTTAACAATCCGAAAATTACTATAATAGTATGTCACAGAAATTGAAGGTTATGTTTTCGAGTTTATGTCAAGGCAATGTGAATTTTAACAAAAGTAAAAAATATGTTATTAATATTACATAAGAATGTTTTAGAAAGTAGTATGACAAATTTAAACATAAAAACTTTTTAGGATGACGAAAGTAACAAAAGATTAAAATTTATTTCTGAAAAATATAAAATCACCTACCATCTTGAATGTTTGGAAAGAAAGGTAGAATTTAACCGGAAATGAACTGGTAATGTAGAATACGCATGCGCACCCTAACTAGATGTTCACGAAATTTGTAATTTTATTTTTCTGTCTACATGTGTATAAAGAGATTCCTCTTTACACATGCTTTAACACTGTATGATGTGCATCAGACATACGTCGTTTCCTATGTTGGGAAGCTGTAACTGAAATGAAATTACAACATTTCCAGCAAACATAAATAAAATATACTTAAGAAAAAAGAAATAGTCTTAAAATATAAATCACAATAATATATCTCATATCTCAATTTACTTGACAATAGCCATTGTAATTGTCATCACTTGACCGCGACTAATCAATATAGAATTAAAACAAATTTTTCTTTTTTATTGCAAACATATAGAAAAAAAATTATTATTTTACAAATTATAACAATTGGTAATTTGCGTTCAACAAATAACCTAAAATAACCACAGAATGTTTCATGGAGTTAATTATTGTTATTGAGAATTGTAAATATAAAAAAAATGTCAATATACTGCAATGTAATATAATGTAAAAAAATATATATATATAAGTATAATAAAATTTAAGCATGATAATATAAAAATCATATTAAACATATACATGTCTTATAAGATTTTTACAGTTAGGGTAAATAAATGAAATGAAACAAAAGATGAGAATCATTTGTAAATTTGTGCACAATTTGATACCGACGCCTGAAAGCTAACCTCAAATGAAAAATAACTTGAAAATTACAAGTAAAAGCTGTTTGATGTAGATGTTTAAATATAAATATATAATAATATAAAAAAATCTATTAGATAATAAATTTAAGTAAGTTTATTAATAGATTAGTGCAAAGAATTTAAATAAATTTTGATTTGAAATTTGAATCAAGCGACATAATCTCAAACCCAGACGTGAATTGGATGCCGCGTACTCTCGAACCCCTCGTCCGACTTGGAAAATCATTTTACATAGACAATTAAAAACCTTGTTTGTAAGGAAAATGGGTTTAAAAATCCAAAAATAATTAAAGCAATAATGTGTTAGTTAATATGCTGTAGTTAATTGTAAAATTAATACAATACATTCCAGACCAATCAGGTATTTATCGAGTTTCAAACCCGCGCCATCTTTATTTTTGAACAAAGCCAGGTATTCAGGATTGTGTATTTATAAACTTTTTTAATGATTTGTTGAGTTAAATAAGTGTTTTGATAATTAAATAAAAAGTAAATTTCAAACTACACATCTCATTTTATTTTTAAGTTACATCATATAAATATTAAAAGACATAATTTATGTGATAAATTGAATTAGAAAGTTGAATAAATTGCGGAGTGTGTTTATTGTTCCCACCCCTGAAGCGCAGATTAGACTTGCGCTGAAAGCAATCTCCCTCTCTCTCTCTTGTACCCCGCTATATGCCTGACGACGCCGCCGCCGCGCGAGGACATCAGAGACCAGAGTTTATCTTTTCCCTTCGTGCAAGTAACACGAGAAATCAAACTACAATGAGTACCAAGGAAAACAACGAGGTCGTCGTCGAAAAGGCCAACACAGACGCGAAGGTGAATGCAGATGCAAAATGTGAAATCAAAGGCATCAAGAGGTCAGCTGAGGTAAGTCCAAGAAAAGAAAAATAGATGAAAAAATTCGTCCCAGTTTCCCAACCGCAATCGCCTACACGCGTCCATTTTTTTTCCTTTCCCAGAGAGTATTGTGTTTGTGTTAACATGCAATAATTGTTGATAAATTCAGTGGAGTTTGTGGTTATGACTTGCGAAAGGGGTTTTTCGGTGGTGAAAACGCCGGCCGGCATTTTCCACCCGGTGGACTCAGGACGACGCCATAACGACGGGTCGAGAACTTAAAGATATTGATATTAAAAAAGTGTTACTTTCATTTGCCTCTTATAAACTTATAACTCTTCTAACTAGTAATTTTTAATACCTAATTACGATTTTTCAGTTTCTTGAAATTGCAACTTTCAAAAAATTATAGATTCGGTTTAAAGAATTCAGTGGCATTGATGCATTTCTTTCGAGTAGAGACGCCATTTTGGCTGTCACGGTTTTCTCAGGAAAAACCCTCCCGCGCATTTTTCCAAACCTCGTCACAGATATGAACTACTATATGGCGTCTTTTGACATTATTAGTACTAATAAATAAGTGATTAAGAGAAATGTGTAGAAAGTTATCATTTTGGATAGTCAAGTTTTAAATATAAAGTTCGCGATTGATGATGTATGTACCCAGTTATTCATCATCTACTTATATACACTTGAAAAGGGAAGCTTGTCTTGGATTGGTAGAACCAACGCCGCGTAATACGGCCCTGGTCCGCGTGTCTCCTCTCCCTACTTTTCAATTTTGCGTGCTTTGAAATGTTAGGAACTTTCTAGAAAACATTTCATTTTTCTATTTATCTTATAAAATAATATTTTATTGATTAGTTATTGTAAACAAAGTTTTGGTGAAATGTGAAAATTAAAGAATATAAAAGACGCTTATAGCTGAGAAGCATATACGTCACGTGGAAAGTAGATGGTAAATAGAGAACACAGAATACGATAGTCATAAATAATTAACTATAAAAGTTTATATTTTAATGTGTTTGATTATTCTTTCTTCGCATAAAATTTTAATCATACTTGGATACCTCATTTTTTTCTTATTAATGAAAAGCAATTTATTAGGCAAGAACAGCAGTGGATGATTGGTCATTGATTTTTCTCGGCATCTGAGGTCAGGGGCGGATACTTGCCGGGAATTTCAAACTTGTAAAACAAATTTTAATAATTTCTTTAATAAATATTAAAAACACGATATAATATTCTATTTGTATCTACACTTGAACCGACTAAAATTAATTAATTGCTTAATGAATAATTGTTTGTCAAATATTGTTCACATAAAAAGTGTTATATTTCACGTTCAGAAAAATTAAAACATACTTTTTATTTATCCTAAAAAGCATATATTTTTCTTAAATACTACTTTTTTACATTCATTCATGAAAATTACAACTTTTTAATGAATTATTGTTTTTATGCTCCATTACTCTTAGTCAATCGATCGTACTCGTAATTAAAAATAGATAGTTGATTACGAAACTTTTTTATCCATTACTTGTTATAATTATAACATGTTTGGATTTACATTGTCAATGTAAATATTAATGTTATTAAAAAGATTGATTCATCTTGAAAAGTCACGTTTATAGAAAAGATAATGGCGAAGCATGTGAAATGTGACTTATGCGTTAATAACTAGTACAGCTACATCTATTGTAGTAACAGAGACTGAAATACGGGAGAGGGGGTTTCCTTATTTTTACAATAACTGGTAACGAGTATAGGAGGTCAAGAGATGGAGTTTTGTTTCAAATATGTAACTTGCTCCTAAAGATAATAAAGATTTCTCTTTTACCTACTCATATAAGTATAGGCATTAAAAGTTTAGCTGTTAAATTAAACAAATTTTTAATTATTTTTAAAGTTTACAATTAACTATTCAAATATGACATTTTTGTTGAAACTTTCTTTCGATTTATATTTAGTGGTTAATACTTTGCACCAATACACCCATTTGAAGAGAAAATGGCGGGAAACTTTTTTATTTTGGTTACACATGGTTATGGATCGATTAACATCCGAGTTAAAAATACACAATTTTTTATAAACACGCGTATATTTAAGGCATCTTCAAAGAAATTAAGACTCATACTTGAAATTTATTTAACTCCAGCGTACTAATTTCAGGCTAATTAAAATGAAAAACATTTTAATAAATGCTATACTTTTGTGGAATGTCGTTTAAAGAAAAAAAATTATTGAAATGATTGTTTTTATTACAACACTCGATTTCATTGTACTTTACTAAAATATAGTTGTGAAGTATTTTTGAATATTACAAATAGTAGAAAAATTTGATAGCTGAGATGTAATATTATTTGGGTTCCGCTAAGTCATCGATTTAGAATGCTCCATTTCATCTAATCGAAGACCTCGTGTCCCGCAGGTGCGCAAGACTCGCGCCATCATGAATCGAAAAACTCGCGCCGTTTCTCTTGCTCAAAGAGAACTGAGCAGTTTCCTTGGATTATAATTTTTTCTATAATATTAAACAAGAAGATGGTGTTTAAGAACACTGGGTTATATGTATATCTGCGAGACCTTGAAATTAGTAATTGGTTAAATAATGATAGATAATTATTTTTGTTACACAATATATGTAGAATATTGTTGGATATACCAGCGATGTTGTATTGCTGAAATGGCTAACTAGAAAGATTGAACTCTAAATTCACTATAGCCGAATTGGCTAAACTTTTGGCTACTGCAGTAAACTTATTCACAGCGTTGGATGTTTCGTTCCTTCATATTAATTATATTTCCAAATAGCTCGTTCTCGTCGTAACATTTTTTTCCGTGTTACGTTTCTATAGGGTCTTGAAAAAGTATGGAAACTTGCAAACATCTCGAAAAGTACGCATTTTCGTGAAAAATATTCAACACAAAAGTATCACGAAAATGTGTACTTTTCGAGATGTTTGCAAGTTTCCATACTTTTTCAACACAATTATTAGTAATTGCATATTAACTCATTATTTTTATGATTTCAAGTGCTGCTAAAGAAATTTAATGGAGATGAAATTGAGAAAATACAGTAAATTTCGAATAAATGTTAATAAGTTATGTTTTGAATTGGCGATAATACATAGAATGAAATCGAGCCTAGAGTCACCTACTTTGTTACATGTGCATAGATGGTGCTACAGGAACTCGAAAAGCAAACTAGATCACACTTATGCCCTGACTTAAATATAATATTTAATTTAGGTACCGAGTGTTGATACATATTAATGAAAACACAGCTGTTATGTTGATTAATTGAAATAATATACATAATATACATTTGTTTTACAGGAGAAAAATGAAGAGCCTAAGAAACAAAAGAAGGAAGAAAATGGCGATGGTGAAGTTGAAGATGAAGAAGGTGATGAGGAAGTAGATGGAGAGGAAGAAGAAGTAGACGGCGAAGGTGAAGATGATGAAGAGGACGAGGAAGTTGAGGGTGAAGAAGATGTAGATGAAGGAGATGGTTAGTAATTGTTGAAAGCATTATCGTTTTATAGAAATTATAATAGAAGATATTTAGAAAAAATGTGTAATTTTCAGAAGACGAAGAAGACGATGCGGAGGCAGATGCAGAAGGTATAGACGATGATGACGATGACGCATAATGAAAGAAGGGTGATCAGCATGTAAGTAAAAAGGGAGAAAGGCAGTTGGTGTTTTCACCATAGATCGTCAGCAGACTTTTCAGCAAACACTTGCTCTCATATTGAGTGGTTTAGTAGCAATGTTGGCGGTCATCATGCCCATTTAAAGACTGTCATATCCTCCCAATCTGCAACTTGAAGTTGTGTGTCATCTTGCCAGAATTGCATTGAGCCGACGTTTTTGTTATGTGCAATCACAAACTTACATCCTTGGTTCCTTGCAATTCTGGCCTTTTACCTAGCCTTCACCAAATACTATTAGGTTGTTTTATGGAAAACTATAAATTCGTTTTGAGAAAGCAAACTCCTGGGAAGCACCCTCAATCGCAACAACTGAAAAGAGTCAAGTGAGCCCTCAAAGAGAGATAAAAAAAAAAAAAGAAAAGCGGCGAATCTATTGTTCTGTCCAAACTACCTATTAACTGGTATTTGCCGTCATCTGGCTTTCTTCGCGGGACAGTTTTATAATGAAAACTTATTTAAGATGAAAAAGCTCTATTGTATTTAAATAGTGTAAAATGAACATTTGTGGGTGATGATTTTTTTTACATTTAAAATCAAATTTACGTTTGTAGTTCGGTGAATGTCTCTCACCTAATGCGCGTGACTGAGTTTTTTTTCCGACCAATACGATGTGTAATGCAAGTGTCACATAACAAATGCGGAAGCGAGGAATTGACCAACAAAGTTAATTAACTTGTAATATTAAATGTTATTAATATTAAATTAATTATTATTAAATAAAGAAAAGTAATTAAGATATCTTGATTGAAATTGAAATATTCCTCGCTCCCGGGCGCTACAAAGGTATAAAAACACGAAAATATCTTATGCAATGTTCGCGCCAAATTTGTGTGGATGAGAATTGTGTGACTTTAACATTGCATAATAATTATACATAGCATGTATAAAGTTATGAACTAAGGAACATTTTATTATTAACGATACTATGTAACGTAATATAATGTGGAAAGGTTGTTACTCTTCTACTACTACTACAGTTGGGCATAAACACATAGGGAGAGTTCTCAGATAATGCATTCTTAGGGTTTGTTTTGCCAGAAAGTACTTTATTCATTTCTTCAATGCATTATTTTATTTTACTTCTTTCTGCATTTTTCCTTAGTTGGACAAAAATTGTACATTTTTCAATTAATCGTCGAAATTTATAGACGAACAAGATCAAATTATATATTGTCGACAAATGATTAATATTAATATTACAGGTGTAATACAGGATCTCCCTATTCGATATGCAGTTATCGACATTTGATTTTTTAATTTTTGACTTGCTCCTAGACCTCGCACGAAGCAACGATACCTCTAGAATTTTTGTCTCTCCAAATGGCATTTCACTACAAATTATAATAATTGTTAGCAAATGAAAAAGTTGAACTAATTTTGACACAAATATTAATATGTATTTAGACAAATGCACTAATTACCGGACAGCCGACGCGACGGGAGGTCGTTGCGACTGAGAGGTCAGTCTTAACAATATTCCAGGGGACTTGTGGGCAAAAATAAAACAAAGAAAAATGGGTGATGAGACATTGCGGTTACGATACCATTGTACCATAGCTGCGTTATAATGAAATAAAAATAACGATTTTTCAAGAATGAACGAGACGATGTCCCACGTTTTAATGTACAAATATTTTCGAAGGAGATAGTTAAATAAAAAAAGAAAAAAAAGAAAAAAACTCAGATGGATCGGAGATAATGATTCGTTTCTCGCAAACAGTGATGGGTTTTCAACGTTTTAATAGAATTTTTCAGCTCTTTTTTTGTAAATTCATTACAATACAAACAATCTACTTTGTATTATCGCCGAGTGGAGGATAATACAAACCGAAAAACCTAATCTTCATGCGTATCAAATTCAGAGATGTTGGAAAATTCTTAGAAAGTTATTGAAATGCTGCTTTTCAATCAGTGAAATATTCTTTCTGAAACAATTTTCCTCTAAAATCGATTACCTACTATAGAAAAGAAAAGAAAAGAAAAGAATTAATTTTCGAAATTCTTCGCGCATGCATAATGCATCGCTATCAATTACTATGCATTGTGCATGTGCGATATATCTTTTTATTTATTTTTTTTTTAACAATTCCATATACATATATTTTTATTCTCGGACAATAAATTGAAATTCAATTTATTTATTTATTATGAAATTTAGCTAAATTTTTAGCAGATTTTGTTTTTATTAGTACATATGTAATTAATATTTTTCGAAGAAGGAATAAAGTTTTGAATGATATTTTCAAAGAAATTTATCTAGAAAAAAAGCGTCAAGAATTAAATCATCTCGATATTTATATAAACATCTGATACATTGGTGTGCGTCAATTTGAAGATAGTAATGATGAGAAATATTACCTTAAAGTACTTTAGACACATATATTATGCGTTTCATTTTATTATTCTTACAATGACAGAGAGAGACCCCATTTGTATAACTCCTCGTTTTTGATTATACCTTCTTTAATAAGTTTTTTTTATTGAAAAGGACATCAAAAGTGAGGCATATTCAACCAGATACATACTCGTTTATTTTATTATTGTCAAAAGTTACAAAAATTAAGTAAGAAAAAGTATACATTGATTATTTATTGTACGACTTATCGTTGAACGTGAATTCTTAGAATAAGAATTTAATTTGTGTGTTTAATGAGGTCTTATTAAAAACATTATTTGTACTATATAATTGTACCCTTTTCGACGAGAAAGCAATGTAATCGATCCATTCATTCTGCCCATTCCATCGAATCTGAATCTTTCATTGTATTTTTAAGTAAATACATTTTGAAAAACAATTAGTTTATTATTTAATATCTTTCCTAAACTAGAAACATAGAAAAATCCATGAGTGTGAGAGAATCTACTGTCTGTATAACTCACGCTTACTATTATGTGTGCTGACATTATTCTCTTTTTATATTGGTAGAATTTGTTAATTTATACATAAACTATTTCATTTTACAAAATAAAAGAGCAAGAAATATTTTACTTATAAAACCATATAGTGTGTACTGCCCTACAACGAAAGAAAACACATAAGCCACATTGTCGCTTCAGTCGCTCTTCTGCAGTGTTTATATACAGAACTCGACCAAAGCGACAATGTGGCTTATGTGTGTTCTTCCGTTGTAGGGCAGTGTAGGTAACTGAATCTTATATGCAAATGCTAAGTAATAAAGATGCTCTTTGCAATTATTAATTTTCAATTTTTTTTTAAAGTTTCTACAGGAATTTCTGAATTTACATTTATTTATTTCCTCTTCAGGTGAAACATATATTATGAAAATTTTAAATTTTACAACATAACTTCAAAAATAAAAAAACAAATGATAATTTTTAAAAAATTCACCAGATTTATATATAAATGAAAATTTTAATTATAATTATTTTTATGTGTAATATAATATATGTATATAAATACAAAAATTCCTGAAGGAAATTTTACGTTTAAAAATTATCACTGGATTATACTATTTCTTATTATAATTAAATTTAAATTATTTCTGTACTATGTATATGAGACTAAATACTTTTTTTTGTATAATGCTTATTTAACGAATTTATCATCAAACTTACATTGAAAAATATGAAGGGAAGCAATTTTATTATAATTATACATTGAATGGGTATGCCTTATCCTAACCTATAATTAAAGGTCTGCACTAAATAATTACCTGCACTACTTTATACGTAAAGTTTTTACTACAATCTTTTGAATTTTTTAAATTACACGATTTAAGGTAGCAAAGATTGAACGAGTCAGTAAAACACATATTTATAAGTAGTGGTATTTTATTTTACGTTTGTACTATACCTGCTAAATCTCTGGAAATTTAAAAATGAATTTAACAATAGTTTCCACTAAACTACAACGGTGTAGTCGCTTTGTATCATTGAACAAACGATCTGTAAGTATTTTAACAATAAACACAAATATTTAAACTTTTAATCTTTATGTAAATTTATTAAAATGCAAAATATATTGAACATATAACCTAAAAACTTTAACTGATTCTTACTTTATGGTCATAATCTATTTATTCAATCCAAGTACCTACTAAATATATTCTAAATATAACTTGAAATGTTTTTAATACATGATTGCAATGTAAAAAATGTTTTTTTATAACCATCAACATATACGAACAAATTATATTTGTAAAATTATGATTCAATACGCTATCATTAATGTCAAATTTGCGCAGTAATATTACTACTAGGAAAGTGGTAATTTTATTTATTTTTAAAGTTAATTTACATTTTCTGAAAATTTACCAATTTCAAAGCAGGGGTCATAATTGGTCAAATTTACTGGACCTATTTATTTTTATTCTGACTTATTTATTATTATCTGAATTTCAGATTGCACGATTTTCAAGTGAATCCGAAGAGCCGAATGTGCCCAGAAATCCTTTACAGGATGTTTACAGTGCATCTCAACAAAAAGAAAATGGTGTAATGTATGATAAAAAGCCATTTAAATTGCGCTTAGAAGCTGGAAAGAATTATTCCTGGTGTCTTTGTGGACAGAGTAAAAGTCAACCGCTGTGTGATGGAACACATAAAAATGTTTTTTTAAAAATTAATCTTAAACCAATACGCTTTGTAGTTCCCGAGACAAAAGAATATTGGCTCTGTAACTGTAAGCAAACTTTGAATAGGCCATTTTGCGACGGTACCCATAAACGACCAGATATACAGGAATTAAAAAGATAATTTTTATTTAGATCTGTGTTTTCTAAGAATTTATACTTGTAGAATATAAATAAATAAATTCCTCAATTTTTGTTATCAAAAATTATAACAATTAAAAGTGATAGATTTTTTATTCAAGATATCTGAATCATTCTTCCCTTTTAATGACTTCTTATCGGAGAAAATTGTCAAAACAATAAAAATTGTGTCATCAATATAAAAAACAACTGAAAAAAGTTCCATTAAGGCGCTTCTATAACAACTTCTTCTGTTGGGCCTAGGATAAGAATCGTTAGGGCACACTCTCACTTCTTGGCTCCCTGCCTGCCTGCAGGAGTTGTCATGGCAACGTGTAGGAGTAATGGAGATAGTAAATTTAAATTCTCTCTCTCTCTTACTCCTGCACGTTGCCATGACAACTCCTGCAGGCAGGCAGGCAGCTAAAAAGGTGTGAGTGCGCCCTTAAGCTACGGTCACACCTCGATAGATATCAAGGCTACCTACACTGTAAAAAGTCGAAAAAAAAATTTTCCAGCGACGGCAATTTTCCTTTTAAATTCTCTAGTAATAATACTACTTTTAATGTGGGGAAAATACGAATTGAGATTTTTGTCGCACTTTTGATAAAGTGTATATTCGGGAAGTATGCAGTGTCCTTTTTTTCGCACGGAAAAACAAGGACACTGCATACTTCCCGAGTATACCCTTTATCAAAAATGCGACCAAATTCCCAATTCGGAAACGGCCTTAAGGCCTAAGCACAATAGAAACGTACCGAATTCGAAATCGCCAACGGAAGAATTAGTAAGAGAAGAACAACAATATATGTATGACTATTCTTCTGTAACCCATTCTTCCGTTTATGATTGCGATTGCGATTATGGTTACGTTTTCTATTCTGCTCAGGCCTTTAGCACGAGTTTCGATAAAATTTGTTCAGTACAAAGTTGTAAACAAAACAAGTTTCTAAAAAACGACAGAACAAACACACCTATTTTAGTCAAAAACATGAAAAACTATAGCCTGTTTCACGTGCACCTCTTAATTGCAATTTTTTAACCAATTAAATTTAATGTTAAATGTTAAAATGTTGAAATTAAATGTTTAATGTTAATTTAAATTTAAATTTAATGTTTTGATCAATAAAACTAAACTATACTTTTATAAACAGGTTGAGAACCTTTTCGTGCTAACTGAGCGCTCATGAAGCATTTAAGGCCTGAGCAGAATAGAAACGTAACCGGAATCGTAATCGTAAACGCAACTGCAAGAATGAGTTAGAGAAGGACAAACAATATGTCTATCCTTCTCTAACTTATTCTTCCGGTTGCGTTTACGATTACGTTTCCAGTAACGTTTCCATTCTGTTCAGGCCTTTACACCTTCGGTAGAAAATTTTCTTCATTTTGCATTTTCCGAACTACAGTTATTTGATTTATTGTGGACAACCAATCAGGTAAGTGTATTTCGGAAAATGCGAAGTGAAGAAATTTTTTTACTTAAGATGTAAATACTCAGAGATGGGTAAAAGTGCTTTTCTGGAGGTTTTCTACGTATAATACATAAATGACATATTATACGTTTAATATTATAGAAAACCAGGTTTTCGATATTGTAGCTGCATCATTGGCAACATAACCTCTTTTTCTTATTTACTTTCTGGTTTATTGTTGGTAAATAAGTATTAATTAATAAATAAACTATTTAAATATTGGTCAATTGAGAACTTTCAGTTAAGTCAAATAATATTATCTTATTTGCAATAATTTTGTAAAAAATTTTAACATTTTAAATGTGCTTCCGTTCCCAATTTAGAACAGAAATACTAATATAATTTAAATTTTATCAAAGCATCGATAATTAAGGTGGTTTTTATACCTCCAGTATTTTGGTCAAGGAAACGGCTGGATTGAAATTTCACTGAGAATCACTGAATTTGATTGACTCTAAAAATATTCAATTTTCACGGTGGAAATGGAATATTAGTCAGAGCCAATTAAATTCAGTGATACAACCGTGAAAATTCAATCCAGCCGATTGCTTTACCAAAATACTGAAGGTATAAAAGCACCTTTAATTTTTGCCAATATCAGAACTTTTGAAAATTGGAAATTCGAAACAAGCAGATTTAGGGTTGTTTCTCAAAATTAGCCGTATGTATAATGCACATGTAGAAAACTCATGTATAATACGTGTATATTACATGTAAAATACCTTGTATTATACTCGAGGTTTTCTACATACCCATCACTGTAAATGCTCCATCATAGCGAGAATCTGGAAAACGCCTTATATTATTACGGAAGCTTCTACATATATGGAAGCTTCTATGCGCCACCACTAAGCACTCACTCGCTTTATGGTGTACTCACACGTCTTTTTGGCTGTCTGCCTGCCTGCAGGTTACCATGGCAATGCACGGGTTTGAGTGAGACAGAAAATTTGAATATTCAAATTTTCCATTTTTCTGTCGCACTCACTCTCATGCGTTGCCATGGTAACCTGCAGGCAGCCCAAAAGGTGTGAGAGCACCTTTACTTACGAGGCACATATCGAGGCACGATTGAATCGACCCACCCGTGCGTGCCTCGTAGTGTGCTCCGTATCCGTATCTCACTGAAGCTTTTTGACGATGCTTATTTGTTTTGATTGTAAACCTAGTATAATTATTTTATTGTTATTACCGTGTTTTAATAAATGAAATGATATCAAACAATTTAATAAAAATTAATTTATAATCATAAATAGATTTTTATAGGTACTGGTTAACATTATCGATAGAACATTATTTATAGTGATTAAGTAATAATAAGTGCAAAATTTTTTACGTTTATCCATTTGTTTAAATCTTAAAATTTAAATTCGTTTCTACATAAATTACAAGTTAAAAATCGAAGAATAATTTCATTTCTTTATGTTTAAAAGTTGTTAAATATACATATATTGTTATTATTTAAAACTTGATAAATATTGTTATTTTTTATTTAACGTATTAAAAGTCAACTTTATCTTGAAACCTTTTTATCAGTAACATATTTCTCTATTTTTTAATATTTTCTTTGTATATAATTTGTATCAGCAGATATATGTATATAATATAACAAAATAAGTATAAAATTTTCAGAAACAATTTTTTTATTTTGTTTTTAACAAAACGATTATACATTAACCTTAAACTAATAAAACGAGAGCACATGTAAAATCCAATTGTTTAATAAAATCTATCAAGAATATGAATATTGTTTGATTAAGTATATCAGATAATTTTACATTTGATGTCATTTCATTTATTAAAACACGGTAATAACAATAAAATAATTATATTGGGTTTGCAATCAAAACAAATAAGCATCGTCAAAGCTTCCGTAAGACACGGATTGACGCGTTGGTTTGCAAGCGAAGCGACGTCGTCAAAGCATTGATACCAATTGCGAACAAAACAAGTTGTAAATTCAGATGTTCATTACATGAACATTTTGTTTCCTCTTTACGATCAGCAAAAAAATTTGCTTCCTCGTGGAGAAAGCAAAATTTTATTGCCAAAATGTGAATTTTACATATTTAAACAATTATTTAATATTATATTTCTTTAAAAAACATTCTTTGTTTAAAACAATTCAAAAATACCCGCCGTGAAATTGGCTTTTCACGCATTTTCACGGTCAAGAAATAATGTTCATCTGATCGAAATTTGAGGTATAAAGGCGCATTCAGACCTCTCGGCTGCCTGCCTGCCTGCTGTAGTTACCATGGTAACATGATAAGAGTGAGTGAAGCAGAAAATTTAGATTTTTCGTCTGTTTCACTCACTCCCATTATGTTACCATGGCAACTGCAGCAGGCAGGCAGCCGAGAGGTCTGAATGCGCCTTAAAAGCACCATTATAGGTAGCCTCGCTATCTATCGAGGTGTGACCGCACCCTTATTGTTAAAATTAAAAGTTACTATAAAGTTACTAAATTTTCACTAGAAAGGGTGCGGTAGTTGACGAGAATTATGACAAATTTGCGAGTGGAGACAATGTAAATCAACCAGTATATCGCATATGTGAACATGATATATTGTTTTGAACAGTAAACTTTTGGAACGTATTGTACTACGCTTGCGCAGTTTAGCAAGAGAAGGAGAGATATACCAAAATCAACCAATCATATATATATATATATATATATTTGTGTTCCCATCTATGTCATGCATGCAGTGCAGGCATGCATCTCGTTTACGAAATATGCGTTGGCCCATAATTATGTGCAATGGCACGATTGTAGAAGCACCTTTTAATTGTTGTGTACAATACATATATATATATATATATAGTATAAAGTATTTACATGTAAAATGCACAAATGACGGTTCTTAGTGGTCAATTGCTTGTTTATAGTATTGTAAAATTGTAAAAATAATGTACTCTAATAACAAACATGACTCCCAAACGTAAAGTAAGTAGACTATTTAAAAATTTACATACTTTTAATAACTATAGTTAACAATGGCTGAAAGTTGAATATTCATTGGTTATATTTTGACAACAGTTTAATCAAAGTAGTTTGTTTTTAAAATATTTATGAATGAGTGATAAGCCTGTATTTTGATATTATTATAGTAATGGCAATATTAAATTATTTTTTTAAAACGCTTATAATAAACTTGTACATTTTTAGACTGCAAGTTCTGAATCGACCTCCACGTCAAGTTCAAACTCTTCATCGTCAACTTCATCGACATCGGGCAGTGAATCTAGTTCTTCTGAATCTGAAAATTCTACTACTTCAGCAAACAGTCAAAAGGCATCTGATTCAGATAAAGTTAAAAAAAAAGTGCCTGTAAATGCAGTTCGTCATGTCAAGAGTAAAAGTGATACGAATACTTGTATACTATCATCAGAAAGTAAAGTCAAAGATAAAGCAACTCCTAAAATTCGTCCAGTTGTTTACTCTTCAGAGTCCGAAGAATCTCCAAATAAAACAAAACCTGTGAAGAGAAAACCACCTACAAAACCAAAGGCTACTGCTACAGTTGCTCCAGTTTTAAAGTCACAAAGACCTGTCAACAAAACTGCCCCTTTAATTCAACAAAAACAGTCTTCGAGTTCAAAGCCTGTAAATAAGCAAATCAAATTTCCTAGTAAGTATATAGTTAATAGTTCTTCTAGTTTGGTAATAAGTAAAGTTAACCTTTTTGGGAAATTCCTTTCTATTTTTTATGTATCTCAAAAAGAACTATACAAAAGAAATATTTTTCAAGAATATCACATTTTCTGAGGATGAATTGAAAAAAATTTTCCTTCTGTTTAAGAATGGTATTTAAAATATAAACCTTAATTTATTTTTATTTAAAGCTTCAACAACTGGAAAAGCTTTAATAGAAAAAGCTTCTAAAACGGTGTCTGAGCCAATTCAGAAAAAACTGAAAAAGAAAAGTATATTCAGTCCAGAAAATAGTAGTGAAAGTGACACTGCAACATTGAATAAGTCTTCTATTTCTAAAGTAACATCTCCTGTTAAATCTCCGAAACCTCAAAGCGTTAAAACAAGACCTGGAGCTCCTAAGCCTCGTCCTCCAATAAATAATAGACCAAGTTTGTATAATTTGTTTTTTTAACAAAATAATTGATGCATTTACATTTTCTATGTGGGATTATTTTTCTAGATATTTCTCGAAAGCCATCTCTTAAATCAGATAGTTCTATAAGTTCCAAAAGTTGCTCTGCAGGATCAGGAGCTTCAGGATCCTCCGAAACCTCCGACAGTAGTTCCGAGTCTGAATCATCGGAAAGTGTTGCCAGTCCACCTCCATCGAAGAAGAAGGAAAATCATTTGAATAGTTCTTCAAGTTCAAATCCTTCTCAGAAAAGGCCTTTAACATCTGTTGCTGCTGTCAAACCTCAAAGAAATTGTAAACGTCAAGGTTATTACAATTGAAAAAGATTAATTACTTCAGTAAGAAAATAATGTCTCTTAATATTCATTACTTTGAAAAATATTTATTTTTTAGTTAAAAGTGAAGATGACGTCGATGCTTCTGAAACTGATAAAGAATTAGAAGAACATGGAGAACAATCGCCCGTAAAAAACTCTGTCAAAGGAAAACGAAAATTGCAAGCTCGAAAAGAATGTAAACAATTTCAGACGCTACCCAAAGTTGGTAGTGACTCTGAATCGGATGTGGGTAAGCAAGATATTTTAATTAAAAGAAAACACTATTGATTCCACAATTCATTCTCTACTTGTTTGTTGATTTTAATATATGTATTTTAAATTATTTTCTTACATGTTTTGAAATTAGTAAAAGAAGAATACTTTATTATGTCACTTGTCGCAACCAGTTTAAGTAGTTTTTGGTGGGAAGTTTAGTCGTTATTACCCTAGGAAAACTATTATTGTCTGGCTTGGAGGTTAATAATGGGTTCATTACTGCCCAAGGGAAATAATGAGTCTACTTCCCGCCTTGACTACTCGAACGGTGAGTGATGACAATTTAAAAAAAAGTTGTTTTAAAGTTCAGTTGAATAATTGTTTCGAAACTATTGCATACAAATTTTGGCTCCAAAGCTTTTTTATTTAAAATTGGAATAAATTAAAATTGCTGGGACTATGTTTAAAAAATAAACCGAGTTTTAAAATTTTTTAAACGTGTGTAATTTGTAGCAAATAGAAAAAGATTATATTGTGAAATTACTGATAGAACTCTATGCTGTTCCATTAATGAAAAAAGCAGTATTGCATTTTTAGTTAGAACACCGCATAAGCATGTTTTATAAAATTCATTGATTTGATGTGATTTGTCGGGAGCAGCGGAGAACAAGAGAAGCTGCAGTACCAAATCCCCAGCTAAAAGATGTGCATCAAGTATTGGACCAAAACACTCATCTAGCCTTAGTAAATCTGGTCAACTTTGTGGAAGTGGAAATAACACAAACAACAAAGGCAATCAGGGCAACTCTTCTAGAATCCTTTCAAAAGAACGAGAGTGTCCGCTCACTACCTCTTGTGAATCTCATGGTCATCTTTCAGGAAAATTTGATACTCATTTCACCTTAGAAGCATGTCCTCTGTATCACAATACGACTCAACAAGCTTGTGTGTAAGGCTGCAATATTGAAAGTTATTTCTTTCTACTTGACACTAGTAGAAAATTAAATGTCATCTGCGTAGATAAAATAAGATTTATTTGCTTCGTGATAGAGGCTAAAGTCTCTAATGCAAGTCTGCAATAAAAGTCTAATTTTATTTACAAAGACAGATTATTATTTCTTTTTTTGTTGAAATATTTTTTCAATTCCCTTTTATTTCTAGAGAGTTTTACAAAGACAGGAAAAAGCGAGAAGACGATCGCAAAAAAGCCATGTCAAATTTAGGGAAAAAGTCTCCAAAGGGAGTTCATCAAACAAATGAGCAACGCAACCATCAGTTAAAAGTTAAAGAATTAAGAAGTAAGTGGAAAGGCCCATCTGGAGATATGAACGAGAGTGACAGTGGAGGTGAAAATCTTGGAATAGAAAAAGATAGGCAACCACGTCTTATGAATCTTACTTCCGATTATGATCTCAAATTATTCATGGAAGCTCAGGCTATTGCTAGTGAAAAAATTGTAAGCCATATTCAATTATTTATTTTATGTTTATGTTTTAATGTCAATATAAATGATAGAAAAAAACATTTTTAAATTATGTATTAAAGGAAAAGGAGTTGAAAGAATTAGATTTTGATGGCGATAGCAAAAATGTCGGCGGAACACGTCTTGTCGAAATGGGAAAATGGGAGATGGAAGTCTGGTATCAAAGTCCGTATCCAGAAGAATATAGTCGTGCTCCAAAGCTATATTTATGTGAATTTTGTTTGAGGTACGCAAAAAGCCGCCAGGTTTTAAGAAGGCATCGCGAAAAATGTCTGTGGCGACATCCTCCAGGCCATGAAGTTTACAGGTAAAAACTGTTTGGTAAAATTGAAATTTTTTATTTTTTTCACAACTTTCTCAACAGCTAATTTGAATCTAAATAACAAGTTTCTTTTAATGCAGAAAAGAAAAGATTGGTGTTTGGGAAGTAGATGGAAAGCGTTACAAGCAATATTGTCAAAACCTTTGTTTACTCGCAAAATTTTTCTTGGACCATAAAACTCTTTACTATGATGTTGAGCCCTTTCTCTTTTACGTCATGACAATTGGAGATTCTGAGGGATGTCATACCGTCGGTTATTTCAGCAAGGTAAATACTTGAAATTCATTTCTATTTGTTCTTAACACGAATTTTGAATTACGTATTTTTTAATAAAGTGAGAGTACTGTGACATACTATAGCGGAATGGTTTGTCGCAGAATGGTTATTCAAGTACTAAACATGCGACAGTTTTAGGTTGTATCATTCAAAGGTCAAAAACGTTGAAATTAATTTTTGAAACAATAAACATATTGCTTATTTATTGATTTGTACTTATATCGGGGTAAATTGGTTAAACAGGAGGGGTATAAAAAAGTAATTAATAATAATAATAATGACATACTATTGGGATTAGAAATCTAGTGACTTTTACCTACTTTGTCAAATTTTTTTTCTCTTATCGCGTTAATTAAATAAAGATGAAATGGGAAAATGGTTGATAAAAGTAGGTAACTGCTTACTGCAGTTTAGCCAATCTCAATTTATTCAAGTATCTAATCATAATGTTGGTGGAAGAAATTTTCGCTTAATAATAGTATTATTAGCTATTTTTTAAAACACTTGCTGTCGATTAACTCGCAAATTTTGCGACAAATCACGACAATTAAACTGATTTGATAAAAACAAATTATGTTCAATAATGGACGCATGAATAAGCTCTAAAAAATGTTTTTATAATTATGATTTGATAGAATCTTATTTTGTAGAATATTAATTTTACAGAAATATTTATTTCTTTGAATTAGTGTTTTAGAAAATGCAAATGGTCGAAAATCAATTTGACATAATTTTTATTTAGACGAAAATTAATTTAAGGTATTAGTCGCGTAAAGTAATTTACGTCAGATTTTTTTCAAAATTTGCATGAGTGTTCCTGAAGTGTTTATCTAAAAAATGAGACCAATTTCTAAGCTTCAAAATATTATTTCGAAATTCATACGTTTTACATGGATGAAGCCCTCAAGGCATACAAGGAATTGTAAAAAAAAATTCTAAAAAATTTTTTTTTAGAGTTTATTAATGCGTCTCGAACATACCACAGTCAAACAATTGTTTCGTAAATAGTTTTTATTTTTCTGATGAGGATAGTTGAGCTTATGCTTAAAATTTGTCTTTTGATGGACTGATAATCATATTATATCGTATTCATTTAGTTCTTTTAAAATCAGTTTTGGTCTCGTAAGTAGTAAAAAATTGATAGATCTAAAATTTGCTTCTTTTTAATAATATATTAATCATTCTGAGAAAAATTGTTCCTTTTATCCAAGTGCAGTTGGTTAAAATAGTTGAGAATACCGAGTATAGTATTATTCAAAGCGTTCGAGGTGGAAGGTTTGACGTCAACTCTCTAAATCTGAATTAGTAAAAATGTTTACTAATTTAAATTAGTAACTCACTTTTTGCTTTAGAATTAGTTAGATTTTACTAATAGAGAAGCAAAAAGTGAGTCACTAATTCAAATTAGTAAACTTTTTTACTAATTCAGATTTAGAGAGAAGGATGAGTTGTGCATTTGTGGAAACCTAGGAACTTGCTATTTTTTAAATAAATAAATTTTAATGGTGTCAATGAAGCTTTGTGGCGTTTTCACCAAAATATTGATAATAATCGAATAAACAATTATCATAAATTTTTACAGCCTAAAATTTCTTTAAACACATTTTTAATTTTTCCGAACAATCATTCGCCATAAGCATTTTAGAGTAAATTTTAAAAATAACCAGTTACAATTTTGTTGATAATAATTTTTGATTGGTTAATTTTGAAATTCTTATGGCGGATGATTGTTCGGATAAATGAAAATTCTGTTTTAATTGAAATTTCAGTTTGATATGAAATGCATGTTTTTTATTTTTTGTATATCGTGATCCAAATTATGACCTTTTAATAATACTATGTTAATCGTCTTATGTACTGATGGTCTATGCGGCAACTTCGAGTTACCGTATTGCAGAAGGGTGAAGATAAAGATACGTCTTTAGTCCGGGTAGATTTCTCTGCATCTCAGTTATGTCGCGCATACCTATTTACTGCAGTAGAGCTGCAAAATCTTTACCGACGTTCAACGACCTCTGACCCTGGCAAGACAAGCTGGCGTCTCCTGTTAGAGTTTTCAGTCAAAGCTTGATTTGTATTACATATCAATGTAAAAGATAGGCTATGTTTGAGGGTATCGGTTATTGAAGTTAAGTTTTTTTATTGAATTCTAGTTTTTGATTCAACATTTTTGCCTCTTTCTCGAAAACTGTAATTCACAGAAATTTGACATGAGAAGAAAAAAAGAGCAATAATATCTCTTGGTAGATAGTAGTAAAAAAAGAATTATTCAAAAACTAATTTTCAAGTTATCGAGGGTTAACGCTAAAGGCCGGGTGTAGCAACTCATTGTTAAAAGTCAATTTTTTTGTCTTCTTGTTTATTATTCAAAGAAAATCGTAATACTAATGAAATTATAGAAAATATAGAAGCAGGTAGAGTGCTTACAATAATTATTGAAAATGATGGATAAAAGTCTCTTTCATCCACACCGCAATTGCAAAGAAAAAAAAGTGTTGAAATAGGAGCATGTTGTGCTGCAGTGGTCGCTTCCTGCAGACCTGCAAATCTTTATCGACGTTCAATGACCCCGACCCTGGCTAGACGCTTAGGGGTGTAGTGGTGCAGTGAGTAGCAGAGGCGAGGCGAGGCGAGGCGGCTGGGTCTGGCTGGGCGCAGGATACGCAGTCGAATTGGGATCGGGGATGCGGGTGGTAGCTGATGGTAGCGTACACCAACACCAGTCAGTCTCTGTAATAGGTGAGAGGGTTGGTGAGGTTGGCAGGAGTCCCGGCGCGACGCGGTGAGGGAATCGACTCACCTCACCTCGTCTCGCCTTGCCTCGTCGGGTCGTCAACCTTTCTGTAGCGCACTGCGACGTCGGGGTCGTTATTACTTCCCTCTCTGCACCATGAAGCTGGCTTAAATCGCGGCGTCGGCGCCAATCCCTGCACCCCACCGAAAGAACAAGTTGCTGGGCGAGGTGCAACCCGCAGAACCAATGGCCCCTCGAGTTGCTTCCATTCTCGAGGATCTACCTCTAAGGTAACAACTGGAAGGGCCTGGAGGATGCCACCAGTCTCGTAGGGTGCCACTTTTTCCTTCTTTTTTTCCTTTACGAGGAAGGAATAAAGACCCCGGGAAGAACCAAATCCCCGGGACCGATCTACGCCGAAGGGCAACAAACTCGTCATTCGTACCTTACGATTGATCGTGTCTCCTTCACCCTCATACTCTTGTTTCATTCGTCACTTTGCTTTGCTTTTTTCTACAACCACTACTACATAAAGCTACAATTTTATACGTTTTCATCTTATACAATTTCATTGAATTGTCTCAATGGATATTCATGGAAAAAATTAATCACTTTTACACAAATAACTTTAGCTGCACAGAAAAACATTGAATAATGGGACGAAATTGTTACTATTTAAGCAATTCTAAGCAAACCCACTGGCACTGTAAAAAGAAAGTCTTATTTTAAGGCCGAAAAGAGGGCTTATTTTAAGAGGCAAAATTTTTAAGGCAGCTTTGCTGAATTTACGCAATGCAATTTTCATTAGAGCTATTAGCGCTGCTTTTAAGACTCATCTGAAAATAAGATTTTCTTTTTACTGTGCCGACTTAATCGATACTTGAATTTCCACGCATGCCAAGTTTAATCCATGATAATTTTGTAAAATTGTAAAAAAAACGTTTTCAAATTCAATTTATAAAGATGAGTGTAAGTTAAAAATGGTCTGGCAATATGGTATGTGCTTGAAACGATAGTAATTTTTTCGAATGTCTTTGCACTTGAAATTCTCATTGAAAACTAAAAAAATGGGATTGAAATTGCTTGCGAATTAGGAAATTGAGTTTGAGTTTAAACATGATTAAATGTTAAGTTGGGGCTTTCTACAACTGCAGAAGCAACTCTTTTGTATCGCATGTGAGTTGCCATAGCGAAGCTTCAATCAGTATTTTCAATCGATCGACTATTGTCACGGTTGTATCAATACAACTCGGGGGAAATAAAAGTAGGAGACCTACTGTGTGGCCAAATACTATGAAAATGAAAATATTTATTAGTAACAGAGAGTATTGTTTAAAGTGAAATTTTCCAAATGAAAATCGCATTATTATTTGAATACGCATAAAAGTATTGACCTTCCTTTAGAGAAGTTTTTCCTGATGATAAGGGGGGTGCTGTGTCTGAGGATAAGGAGTGGATGAGAAAACGTTGATAGAATGAACTGAGGGCTAAGGGATGAAATTTTCTTGAAATATCCAAGGAGACAGACGTCTTGAGGGTGAGACACATACATATAGCAGAAACAGACTGAGATAGATGTAGAGTGGTATAAAGGGGAGAAACAGAGGGCGAATGACGTAGACTGTAGGTACAAGGTGAACTGGTAGTCGTCGATGGTACAGGCTCATACACAGAGGTTGGGGTAGGTTTCATCAACCCTCCTCAATTCCTGTAGAACTCCTGCTGGAGCCGATCGATGCCAGACAGCAGCAATCCTGTTCACCAACATTCACACAACCAAATTCAGTCCTTTTACCTAGCAGCCTCTCTCACACTCGCTTGCCGCACCAACCTATATACCACGCCACACCGTATACCCAAAACTTCCTCAACCTCTTTTGCGCCCTTGCTGCGCTATCCCATTCGTTGATCCTATAGGTTTCTCGTGACAAAGAGACGCAAGTGCCGCGACGAGGTCGCTGTACGGACTATACGAACAGTTATCGCTATCTGTGTTGGTTTGTACAATATACAATACTTATACACATACGAGGCATTGAAATTCTTCATTATTTTCAGGGAAACTTAGGTGAACATACTTCTTGCATTAGCTCATCCTAAGTTCAAGGCGAATAAGCATTAATGTAGGAAATAAATATTATATTTACAGTTTAAAAATTAAACACTTCTTTCTTCATTGAAAACTTGAAAGAATTCAAATTTCAAAAACTGAGTATTTGAACGGTAGTTTCTTTGATTACAAGTTTTTCTTTAATAT